CTTAGAACTTGTTTTAAAAGTGAAAAAAGGACTGTGAAACAAAGCATTGCTTAAATGTCATTGAACACACTTATTCCATAACAAAACCACTTTCAGCAACGTTAATTTAGGGTTCGATTTTCCTCTTGTATGGTGAATTTGTTTGGCTCTGTGACCTCTCCATTTCTCTCTTCTTGAGGGACGCAAACTTTGGTCCTAAAACTCTCTGTGACCTCTACCGTAATTCGATTGACACCTTTATGGAATGAACACTTTATCCTGTCCAGAGGGTATGCACCTCAGCTAGGCTAATACCTGGCCCCCAAATGGGGCTTTCAAAACACTGTACATCCTTGCAGAATTCAGGAAGGTCATGTCATGTCATGAACCTATCCCAAGGCCTACCTGTAGCTACTAACGAAAGGAAACTGCAATAATAAGGTCATTCATGTTGGGTTGAATATCACTGGAAGTACTCACATCTTCTATTTCCGAGTATGCCTGTACCTGTATCACTGAACAACATTTACCATTTGTTTACGCTTCACACAGTGAACATACCATGTATATTTTTGATGGACACACTACTGGAAATGCATGTATATTGTAACATCTCCCCTTTTTTTTTTTTTTTTTTTTTTTAACCCATCACTGTAATGTAATCCAAAATCATACATAACGACAAAAAGCAGTGTCCAATGTTCTGTTCCATGTTCAGTGTCCTTATTCAGTTTAAATGCTCATACATAATCTTCAAATCTCACTGGTGGCCTAACTGTTCTTGTATGGGTTATCCTCGTTGATGTACTGTTACTCTTGTGCTGGGTGTCGTTCACTTCACTGTGTTGGTCAATGCTACTTGCTCTCCTGTCTGTGGTGGTGCAGGTGTGGATGATTTTACTTCAGTGTCGACTGTCTCATCAGTCTTCAGTGTTTCATACCTTGGTCTCAATGTCTCTCTGTTTCCAACTGCATCTCCTTTGACTTCTACCACGTATGAGTGGTCTGATGACTTCTGAACACATGTACCGGCTTCCCAGATTCTGTTTTGCTGTCCAGCTACTATGAATTCCTGACCTATTTCAAGCTCTGGTAGTGACTTGCTGCCTTGGTCATGATAGCTTTTAGCCTTTTGTCTCTTGGCCTTCAATTTCTCTTTGACACCTTTTTCTACTCTGGGGTACAGAAGATTTGCTGATATGGGTAACAGTGTACGTGTTCTTCATGCCATCAGTCTCTGTACTAGGCTAGAATGTACACTTTGCATAGGCGTGTTGCGCTGATCTAACAATGCCAGCCAAGAGTCCTCGTTGTCCCTGTAGGCTTTCTTGACAATCTTCTTTGCTATTTTCACTGCCGCTTTGGCCTTACCGTTGGATTTGGCATGCCTGGGTGATGACATCACGTGTTTAAGCTCCCAGTCCTTGGAAAATTCCGTGAACTCTCGGCAGGCGTACTGCGGCCCGTTGTCGGTTATAAGTACATCAGGTATGCCGTAACGGCTAAACTGCTCTGTGAGAAACTTTATGATGTATACTGCGGTTGTGCCCTTCAACTCGCCAACTTCTATGAAGTGTAAGTAGCCGTCTGTAAGCACAATATATTCCTTAGAGTTCAAGGTGAACAAGTCTGAGGAAACTCGGCTCCATGGTCGATCGGGTATTTGGTGTGTCTGCATTGTCCGCCTCACATTCTTTGTTTGGAACTCAGCACATATCTCACATTTCACGAAAGCTTCCTCTGTGTCCTTGTCCATGGAGGGCCATGACTATGTCCAAGACTATGTCCTTTGCACGTTTCAATTCCTTGGTGACTGGAACGAGCTCTAGTGGTCAGCTCTGTTCTCATGGCTTTTGGGATGACGACTCGCTGAGTCTTGAAAATGATGCCATTATGGAGCGTTGTGTGATTCCAGTATTCTTTGATGTGGAATGGTACGTCTTCTCTCTTTTCTGGCCGACCAATCAGAATGGTGGATTTGAGAGTCTGTATGACAGGGTCTTGTGCTGTAGCCTTTTGAAGCTTTGGCAGTCTCTCGCTGCTGATCATGATTGTGTCGAAAGGGATCATTGCTTCCAATTTCAGAGCAAAAACTTGAAATTCTTCTTTGCCTGGACCAGTGGCTTTTAGGAAGGCTCTGGTAGGTGGTAAGCTACGAACATTCGTGATCCCGGTTTGTAGACTACTTCAAGGTTAAATCTCTGTAGTCGAAGTATAATTCTTTGGAGACGACATGGCGCGTACAGAAGCGATTTCTTGAAAATAGACTGTATTGGTTTATGATCTGACTTGATAGTGACACTCTCTCTTCTTATAATTTATTGTGAGAATTTCTGACAACCAAACACAATAGCCAAACATTCTTTTTCAATTTGAGCGTATCTCTGTTCAACTTTAGACAGTGTTCGTGATGCAAAAGCAGCTGGTTGGCCATTTTGTAGGAGTATCGCACCCAGACCCCGTTCACTTGCGTCGCACTGAATAGTAACCTCTTCATGATTTGCCACTAACTTTATTACTTCGTCAAATGCCTTGTCATGTTGCTCGGACCATAAAAATTGGACGTTGGCCTGGGTCAGATCTCTGAAGGGCTGTGCCACTTCAGATAGTCTGGGTAGAAATTTGGCCAGATAGTTTATGAAACCCAGTAGACTCAGAGTCTCGTTCTTGGAAGTGGGCTTTGGCATGTCTTTGACCGCTTTAACTTTATCTGGATCTGGTTTAAAACCATCCTTGCTAATTACATGGCCCATGAATTTGACTTGTTCAGCTTGAGGTTGACTTCCCTGGGTCTGTCCAGGAGTTTTCTGAGATTTTCATCATGGTTTGCACCTCTTTCTTCCTGGGTGTCTCCATACCCAAACACTAGTAGATCATCTCGAAGAATTTCTACACCTCCTGGACCGGTAAGTTTCTCATGTAACTTGAACTCGAATTCCTCGGGGGCGAGGTTCATACAAAATGGCATTTTTAGATATCTGTATCGGCTAAATGCAGTCCAAAAAGTTGTTTTCCTACTGCTTTATTCATCTAATCCAATCTGGTAAAAACCATCTTTGGCATCGAGGGTGGTAAAAACCTTCGCTTTGCTAAGTTTGGGGATATTTCTTCAAACGTAGGCATCAGGTATTTGGGCCTCTGAATCGCCTTGCTCAAGTCTCGGGGGTCAAGAGAGATTCTTATCTTTCCTGGCTTTGTAACTACTATCATGCTGCTAATCCATGGAGTGGGCTCAGCCACTTTTTGTATGATGCCTTTTCTCTCCACCTCTGCGATCTTCTCCTTGACTTTTTTCTGTAGAGTCACTGGTATGCGTCTCGGTGCGTGCTATACTGGGGATAGTCTTGGTCGATAACAAAACTTCTGGAATCTCCTGTATGACGAAGGCCTTCGAACACATCCTTGTATTCGGTCAAGACTTTCTCTCTAGTCAGTGGAGCACTCGACTTTACTGATACTGGACTCACACTGTTTACTTTTACTGTGTTTTAGATGGTAAGCTTTAACAGTCCCAGTTTCTCGCAGGTTTCAGCGGGTAGTAGTGGCTTGTTTGTTGTTTCGAAAACCTGGAAATCCAACTCTTTGGCCGTGTCATTTTTGGTGTAACTTCAGGGTGGCTACACCATAAGGCTTCATGAGGGAACCATCAAACAACTTAAGTTTCACCTTACTACTTCTGAGAGGGGAGTCGCCCGTTTGGTCTAGACTGCCAAGTCACGGAGCCCATCGCATTGTACGTGGCGCCGATGTTTAACTGACGTCGTAACTTGGTGAAGTATGATTCTTTTAGGTCTGAGAAGATTATCTTGGGGTTAAATTGCTTGCCTGGTGTTTTCACGCTGGAGTCTTCTTCTATCTTAAAAAACGGGTCTTCATTATCGGTCGCTTCCTCCTCGGATTCATCCGTTTCATGTGACTTGTTGTACTCTTTGCGACCTTTTTCTCCTGTGGGCTTGTTTTTCTGACGACAGACAGATGCAAAGTGATTTGGCTTCGAACACACTAGACATGTTTGACCATACGCTTTACACTCTTCTTTCTTGTGTATCCTTTGGATCTTTCATTTTGTCGCGCGGCCATTTGTTGTGGGGTCGTTTCGCTTGACTGCCCACGGCGTTGACGTGCTCGTCTGTTAGGCTTTGATCCTGTTTCATGAGATCGAGCTGTTTAGTCGCCACCTCCTTCGATCTGCAAATGCTGAGTGTCTAGTCTTGATCCAAATTCTCTCCTATGAGTAGTCGTAGCTTTGTAGCTTTGTCTTGGATTTCTATTACTATCCTGTACCTAATCATCTCGTCCGCGAAGCCATCTTTCTCAGTCGATTCACGAATTCATCTATTCCCTCTTCGGTATTTTGCGGAGCTGAGTTGAACAGGAATCTCGCGTAGATCACATTTGTTTTGGGTTTGAAATACGTTTCAACGGTTTCTTGTGATGAGTTACGACGACTTTTATTGCTTTGAAGACGTTTAATTCTTGCGCTTTTATCCTGACACCATGTTTACGTTTCATACAGTGAACACGCAATTTTTAGAGGAAACCTTGTATATTTTTGATGGACAGTTCATTCACAAAAACACTACCGGAAATACATGTATCTTGTGACACCATTATCACTCGAAAGTTCCACAGCAAAATACTGATCTTAATACCATAGTGATGATAATGAAAATGATAACAAGTACAATAATACCCATTTATTTAGCGCCTATACAATAAGCTCCAGGCGCTTTGCCACCGGTGATAGATAAACAAAGCGACAGAATGCCAAACTTCACAGAAATTTTTGTCACATTATTTCATTTTGACGGGCCAACCTTATACATATCTTGCCACGGATCTGAAAATCGTCACCTTTGACTTTATGTCTGGACAATTATTTATAATCTTGAACCTTTTACAGTCTTTTTCTATAAGACTTATCGTGGCATTACTCGCTTTTAATTTTGTTATGAGTAATACGATAGCAAAAGAAACCGGGAAAGGATAATATTTAACTTGACATCACTTCATAACATTAGGCATTGCTGGCTCATTCCAACTTAATCTTAAGGACGCTCACAAGCACAGCTACTATGACGTCCAAGAACACGATGATTCTGGCATCTTTCGAACCAAGTATAAAGTTATGTCTGCCAACGACACACACGCGCATCTGCATCGTACCTGGACGAACGTAGACTATCGAAAATTCGCAGACGGCACTCCGGCCAAGGCTGAGCATAAGGTGCAGTCCGAACACAGTGCTCATGTTCATTTGAAAGATGGGAGAGTGGAAAAGGTTGAACGCACTACAAGGGCGCAATTCAAGCCTGCCCATGAACATCCCAGAGCAGAGAATATGAAAGACTTCAAAAAGCAAGATATAGAAATATCAAGCAGTGGATACAGCAAGCTCGTCTTAAGGTCATGTTTTGGAACTCAAAGTCATCGTTCTAAGCGCTCGACGGTCGAAAAACGGCATGACTTCAAATACCTAACCAGTGACAGTTTAGTTTTTGACGACACCGAAAAAATTAAATGGTCGAAGATCGGTGGCGAAAAGAAGAAAAGAAGACCTCTTCATGAAGTTCTGCGCTGTTTTGTGGACAAGAGTGTTAAAGAGCGTGAGGTGGGTTATTGCACTAAAGAGCTACACAACATGGTACAAAGCGATCAAGGCGCGTTCAGAGAGGTCAAGCGACTTGTTCAAAATCGAAATCATCAAAACCTAACCTCTTGGACAGTCTACGTTGGTGCACTTGCTGCAAATGGTGGAGGCGAAGCCCAGGTTGCCTTGGCGGATGCTGTCAAGACAGATAGCCCACGACCACTCACCAGCGAGGAGTACGAGGCTTTGTTACTATCAATCTTCTACTTACCGGAGGGACCATTACACTGTGATCTCGTTAACGCCATTTTGGATTTGACGTTAAAAGATGAGAAAGGTGAGGATATAACTGATACTGCGATGCTGGTATTAGCTGGACTAGCAAAAAGAGCGCAGAAAGCAGGGTATAATGATTCTTTAAGCGATAGCGTTGCCGAGTTGATCCACCACAGGTACAGAAACAGGTCAAGTCTCTACCATCCTGACAGTGATGAATACGAGTCTCACTTGAGAGTCCATATCTGGGCGTTTGGAAATCTGGGCCACCATTCTGGTTTTCCAGTTATTCTCCAACATATAGATCATGACAACTCAGACATTCGATCAGGCGTGATTTCGGCTATGCGGAAACTGTCTCCTCAGTACACCGATAGTCATCTCTTAAACGCCTTGTATCACGATGAGCACAGTGAGGTCAAGGCAGCAGTTGTTAACGTATTTATACATCGGCACCAGGAACTGACCGATTCAGTTGTTCAAGGCTTGGAGCACGCAATGTGGCACGCTGTGAAAGATGAAGCCTTGGACTGTTCGATACAAGAGTTTTTAGAAAACCATGGCAACCATACTAAAGCTGTTTACTTACGCACTACGCGTAACTTTATTCATCGACGCAAGCGAGCGTTGTTCCCTGTGCTTCGACCTCGAGAATACACCCTCGGCCGAGGAAAACGCTGGCGTAAGGGTCTTGGAGGACAGTGGTTAGGAGCCGAAACTGGAATGCAATTTTTAAACAAACTTCAATTACAAGTTGGATTATTTGGTGGGAAGTTTGAAGTAATTTTTGATAACTATGCATTTATCCGAGGCCACATTCTCACGATACCATTTGATGTGGTAAACGGGAAGGCTGCATTTAAGGCAGCAGCAAGTTTCAAGAACGACTTTCCAAAGGATCTTATTCATAACTTTGCAGATGTTGGAGACGAACTTCTGAGACAATTCGATAGTATTACAAGTGTCATCACGGAACAAATAGCCAAGTTCAAAGAAAAGCTCGTCGGCCTCTTGCCCATTAAGATCGATAAGTTTGTCGAATTTGTGGGGAAGATTGATCGGTTTTTAAAAGATCTAGCGCTTCCATTACAAGCCCTAAAAGGTACCAGCAAGATAATCAGCTTCTCAAAAATTTTAGGCCTTCGCATGAATCAATGGGCATCACTTATGGATAGAAGTAAGAGAATTCAGGAAAAGTTTGTGACACTAACCGATCTTGATGCAGTTCTTCTGAAAGCTCTCGGCACAATGGATACAATACTGCACTTTATCGATGACATAAGTAAGTACCTGCCCCACAATTTGCCGGAAGACTTTATAATCAACAATCTTCTTCAAACCCTACAGAAAGTCACAGTAAAGCAACAGACTAACGAGATCAAGGAATATTTTATGGCTATCAGATCGACTGTACCAGACGGATTTCGCCTCCAGTTCCCTTTCAAGTTTTCGATTTACTTTGCCGGTTCCTTAAACACGTTTCAAGAAGTCCTAACAAGACTTCATAGGTTTAGTGACGGGTTTGTTGAAATGACAAGCCTTCTTGACACACTGGCAGGTACACATTTGCCGGAACTGAGTCTGCCTTTTCTTAAACCTCATTCGCCAAAGTATCAGGGCAGAATGTTTAATTTTGGCCTTGGCTTTCATTGGAGAGTCAGCCTAAAGTTTGATCTCAAATTGAAGTCTCAGGATTTTCAAGAATTCCTTGCTCTTCTGAAAAATATTGGAGACTTTTTCAGTCACTTTAAGCTTCCCGATTTCGATCTAGAAACCTTCTCTCGAGAGATCTTTCCAGGGGGGAAGTTTGACTTAAGAGTGAAATTTCCATCGGTGCTAAAAGGAGTTAACGTAAATTCATCCGACCCATCCGACCTGTTGCGAGGATTTATTTCCAGAATCAGCGATATACTTGACCTCCATCTCTTAAATGTGTCTGCTATCAGCCACATGACAGATTTCTTCCGGGAACTTGGACCTGCTATTAGCCAGTTTGCAGAACAGAACATCCAGAAAACCTGCCGAATCCATGAGGTAGCTCTGAACTTCTCCAGCACGTTTAAAGAATTTGGGGAAAATGCTGAAATAAAAGGAATCCATCCCCTTCAGGACATGTTAAATACGACCCAAAATGTTCTCTTAGAGCTTCTCAACCTCACGGTAATCTTGGACAATTCATTAGATACTATGAAAGGGAATTTTGCTGCTTCTTCGGCAAGCTTAGTATCAAACTCCCTGCGGGATGTTACAGATAAGATGAAGGGTATTCAAAGTCTAGCAGACGATGTTGCTAGTTTCTTGAACGGGACGTCTTCAAAAATGAATGGGGCATGTACCAATTCATCAGCATTCGCCGCTGATGTCATCGATGAAGTGCAAACGAACGCTCGTCAGACGCTGAATGACCTGGCCTCAGTGACCGGACCGGTGACAGCAAACATCAGAACTGCTGGGATAGAATTGAAGTCGGCAGTCACAGAAGTCGAAAGGTGGCATAAAGAGAATCTGGCAGCTCGAGTTGGAAAGATGTCTCGTGTTTCTCAGCTAGTTAGGGACTTTATATCAATTATAAACTCGAAAGAAGGATTTGGTGACACTGTTCGTGATATATCCACACGCCTGAATGAGGTCCTCGAGGAACTCCAACAACTTCCACAATACACAGAAAAGGCAAGGAGAACGGCAGACGAGGTGATTAATTTTGCAAAAGACGCTCAGAATTACATGAAAAACATCGCGAAACTTGACCTTCGAAAACAGTTTGAAGTCGACTTTGATCAGCGCATAAAGAAAGTTTGTACCGATTTCAGTGCTGTGAGGGCCACAAGCTTAAGTAAAATACGAGGCTTTGACTTTGTGGATCAGTTTCAGGAGTTTTCGAGAAATGGAGCCGCCATCCTACTTAACAGAGCCTTGCCGAAATTCAAAGGACTAAAAGATTCTGTACGGGAGATGGAACAGGAAATACGTAATTTTAAAATCTTGGTTAATGATATGATAGTAGTATTTCAAGATCTTAAACCTTTTACAAGCTCGTTTGCACCCATACTTGATACAGCAAGGAAGCTACCTGATTGCCAAGAGATGAAGAAGCTATTTCTCAGCAGCACGAAACCATGCTTCCGTAAGGCAATTGAGGTCGGTGGATTCATCAAAGATCAGTACCAGGACTTCAAGAGTGATTTAGCTGTCTTGAACGAATTGATACCTGAAACGTGGAAAAACTTCAGGCCACAGAGATGTGTAAAGGGTGTTACTTGCATTTCAAAAGTATTTATTGAACAAGGTAAAGTTGTCCGAAATAAGGTGATCGCCGTTAAAGATAAACTTGAAAAAGCGAGTGAGTATACTGACTTGCTCAGCAACTGCAAAGAAGGAGTCAACAATATAACACAAGTGTTGGACAACATGAAACTACTCATGGAGCAAGTGCGAAACATTTCCTTTCGAAGTGATTTCATAAAAATAGACAAGATTTTGAAGAAAATCACAGGACGAAAACTTAATGATCAAGATCCTGGGATAAGAGTCAAAGTTCGTAAAAGGTCGTTAAGAGAAGAGAAAACTGATTTTAAAAGAATAGCTGACTATCAAATAAAAGCAAAGGAACTGGAAAGCAAAATTCGAGATTTTCAAATTACCACTTTTAATTCACTGCGTAGTGTCTACGACGAAGCTGTACTTCGGTACCTACAATCACTTAAGAGTTTGCGCTCGCAGCTTAAGACGTCCTACCAGCTTTGGGGTACTACGAAAAAATTCGACAGTTCCCTAAAATTATTGGATAACGGTACTAAAAGTGCGTTGGCATTCGCCGGTATGGTAGGAGATGTCACAAGTTTGTTCTCGAATCCAGTTGCTATCATTCTGGCTGAAATAAAGGATTTTGACGATGTGATAAAACCTCACCTTGACAAGAACGTGCCATCAGTGACTAAAGGAATTGACCAAGTGAACAACTTTTTGGATAAAGTTTCCAATTTCTTGGACACAATTCAGACGAGGCAGAGAGGTTTGAGTGCGGGTGCCTACAAACCTTGGCAAGACATCTCTTACTGCTCTGAGGAAGTTTGCTTGCGATCTTTAAGACGATCATCATCAACATATTTATCAGAAATTTTTACTTGGAAATTTCCTCATCTCGACGATCTTTCCTCAATGCCAAAAAGTGGCCGCTGGCCAACACCAGGCCTTTTTGATGATTATAAAGTGGAGGGAATCACTCAGCTCTCCGATAATGAGATGATTCTTGGAATGCACGGTGTGGCAAGTAACAAAGGCAAAGCATCACTCCTTGTTGTTACTAACTTCGATAGAGGCGTTAAAAAGATTATTCTTCTGGCCAAACAAGGAGCCCCTCTGAATGTGAAAATAGGAGGAGTTGCTTTAGCAAATGATTACATTTGGATTAGTGATAGTGACGGAAATGGCATTCTTTCAGTTAGAAAAGACCACATTACGTCGACGCTTTCTTCCCCTCAACCCTCAAAGGTTAACATCTACAAGACTGTATCAGTCGAAGGAAAAGCTGGGTCTGTCTCGTATGATCAACAGCATAATTTTCTATGGGTAACGGACGGTATCCAAGGTAAAGCGTATGGGTATAAGCTCTCGTCTAACGGAGATCTGGCTCTCGCAGGTATAGCCCCAGACAGAGTCATAAACATTGGCAAAGATGCTCAAGGGATGACAATTGTGAGACAGTTCGGTAAGGAGTACGCGTGCATTTCAAGATGCGCACTGATTGCTGGGTTTCAGTGTAAGCTTGAATTTCATGACCTATCTAGGGGTGACGAAACAGGAGAAAATACCATGGCAAGGGTTGTCCGAACTCCCTCTGGTTTAGAATCAGTCACCAGAGTTGACAATGAAGTGATTGCGGTGGCATTTTCGAGTGGAACGTTGTCAGAAAAAGAAAACGTCGAAGTCATGGGCGGTGATTTTGAAGACAGATACTTCAAATTAAGGCTGCCGATACTTAGCACGACGTTTAGTGTAAATGAAAACTGTCTTTACTTTAAAGTTGTTTTCGACTATGTCATAAGACCTCGCCGGATCTTTCCCGTTGGAAATATGATATGTGGAACTAGCCGTAAACGAAGTACCTCAAAGCAGCTACTGGAGACAGATGTGTACCACGAGAATCTTGAGATCATTCATGAGGACAGAAAACGAGTGCGAAGAACTACGAGAGGTCCTGATTCGTGTTTCTCTCACAGAGGAACATTATTGCGAGGCTTTCACGAGTTCTATCGCTATAGGACTGTGATTCTAGTCTTTGGAATACCCGTAATATTGACAGCAGGAGTCACTGGACATTACAGTGTAGGATTTCAGGGAAGTCTGTGTTTGGCTAATAGGAACTTTGCTCTGGGCTTAATACCTGGAGCATGGGTTACCGCCTATGCCGGTGCAAGTGTCAATCTAATAGTCCTTGAAGTTGGAGTTACAGTGGAAGCGAGGATCCTTGAGACCTACCTCGTCCCTGAGTTACGTATCTCATTCCAGAGGTGGCCATTATCAGCATGTCTAGAACTGAGACTTCTAATGACGCCACTGAGCATCAGAGTTTACCTTTGGTATAGATTTGCTCATATCTATATCAAATGTTGGCTTTTCGGTTGTCGCATAGGATTCCGATGGGGTTCGATGAGAACATTTAAGGAATGGTCGTGGTCCGCGCATCAAATAGACAGAGTTCTGTTTACCAACTGCGAGGATAACATCGACAGAACACCACCGATGGCTGGAAGATGTCGAGCACGACAAGTAGCAGATACTAAGTACTTTGTGCAGTGGGATGGATTTAAAGAGGACACCCAAATCAATGCCTATCAAGTCATGATAGGGTCTATTAAAGGTTCTGGGGATGATTACTCTTCCTGGGTGGGTACGTCGCTCAGCAAGGTCGTTACAAGCTTGAAAATCATGCATGGTAGAGACGTATTTGTAAGTGTAATGGCAACAAATGATGCAGGCATAGATAGTACGTTGGCCTTCTGTCCCTTGTTCCAGGCAAGACGAAAAGGACCGAAAATTCGTTTTGTTTTTGACGGTTCAGAAAGAGGAAAAGATGATGAGTATCAGTTGAATACTTTTTCGATCGGAATGAACTTTGCTTTTAAAAGTGATTTCAATGAAGTCGTGAGTCTAAAGTGGGGAGTCTCATCCAGTCAACCCTGTACATTTGATGAATCTGAAGCAGACATCGTTCCTCTGACATCTTTAGGAGATTCTAATTCCATTCAGGTTTCTGGTTTGAAACTGGAGCACGGTAAAAAGTACTTCACACGTTTATATGCTATGGATACATTTGGATTAGAGACAGTCATGTGCAGCAATGGCATAATGATTGACAGAACTCCACCTCTACCAACATATTTCCAAGACGGAGCAGGTGAAGGTGATATCAACTTCACACTATCGCTAAAACGTGTTAGAGGCAAGTTTCATTCCTTTGTTGATCCCGAGAGTCCGATTGTAAAATATGAGTGGAAAATTGTTAACAAGGAAACTGACGAGGATATCACTGGTTATGTCAATGTGCCCTTGACCCAACGGACGCCACTTATAGAGGGTCTTTCTCTTAAATCGGGAGTCAGTTACAAGCTTGTACTCCGTGGAACCAATGCAGTTGGTCTTCAAGCCGTTATTGAGACAAACGGATTCATACCTGACAATACGCCCCTGGTGTGCGAAGGAAAAGTGATTGACGTGACCAGCGCCAGCGACACGTCCGATTTCGACTTTGTTCAAGTTCTAAACAGCATTCAAGCAAAGTGGAGATGCTTTGACCCTGAAAGTGGCATTCGTTCACAGCTTGTAGGTTTGGGAACGTACCCTGGCGGAGTTGATATTCGAGCGTTTGAAGAAGTTGGTTTATTGTCACAAATTAAAATGGAAGATGGGATGTCTTATGTGCAATTTTCAAACATAACAATCAACGAAAGAATTCGATACTATGTCACTGTTAAAATTATCAATGGAGCAGGTCGTAAGAGAACTGTGTATTCTGATGGAATCATGATTGATGTGACATCACCTACAGTTTCTCCAACATATATCAGAGATGGACTAAGAGGTAAAGACACGAATTACAGTAGTGAGCAGTTTTCTTTCAGTGCTCATTGGCAACAAGCTTTCATGGATGCTGAGAGTGGGATAGATGAGTTTCGCGTAGGGCTTGGCACTAAACCTGGACTGGCAGACATAAAGGCTTTTACTGCAGTGAGCTCGAAAGATAATGTAACAATCACAGGAATCCTCTTAGTTAGTGGACAACGTTATTTTGTGACTGTTGTGGGCTGCAACGGGGTAGGAATGTGTGTCAACGGTAGTAGCAATGGTGCTATTGTAGACTTCGTTCCTCCTCATTCTGGAAGAGTTATCACTGGGTTATCAGGTCCTCCAACGCTTTATCAGTGGGAAAACAAAGTAGTATGGGCGAGGTGGAATTGGTGTCTAGCGGATGAGAAGAGACTTCAACCATTTCTAAATCTCAGCCAGTGTACCAATGACAGCTTCTACGATATCCATACCGGAATTCGTATGTTTGGTATTTCTGTGATGTCTCAAAAAACAGATCAGCTGCTAACACCATTCAAGAAAGCTGGACGTCAAAGATTCGGCAATCGTATTGTTAATCTTCAAGATGGAATCTACTCAGTGGCAATCGAGGCAAGTGACCAAGCTGGTCTCTCTGTCCGTGGTCTCTCAAACTCTTTCGTTGTTGATAGCAGTCCTCCAGCGATAAAGCTCTTACAACATGGCCATTATGGTGAAACAATAGCATACACAAATGCTTCGTCCATAAGCTTCCGTTCCTATTTCATGGTGGAAGACAATGTCTCCAAGATTAAAGCTTACAAAATTGGTGTTGGGAGTTATCCCGGTGCAGATGACATCATCAAATTCCAGCCCCATTCTTTAACTCTCCTTAAGACATCAATTCAAGCTAACTGGACGTCGCCTATGCAGACCTCATTAAAGAATAACCAGCGCTATTTTATTTCTTTACTCGCTATAAACAGTGCCGGTCTCTTCACAATTAAATCATCTGCTTCTCTTCTGGCTGATTTTGATCCACCCGTAAATGGAGTCATATTTGATGGATGGGGCCCACAGGACGCCAGATTTCAGAGCGTTACCTCTCTCTTTCGTGGACACTGGTATGGATTTACAGATTTTTCAGGAATCGAAAAGGTGTTCATGGGACTGGGCAACAAATCTGTTTCCAGTGAGTGTGATTTTAGAAAGGAAGAGATTGTACCGCTTAATACAAATTTCCATATGTTATCTGGGCTTTCCATGATATCAGGGCAAAGATACTATGCATGTCTTAAATTGGTAGACAGAGCAGGGAATTTTGCATTCTTTCTGTCCAATGGTGTTCTTGTAGACTCGACTCCTCCTCGTCCAGGGTATGTTACCGATGGTAAACCAGGCTTAGATATCGACCTACAAATAAATGACGTAGTTCTTACTGCTTCGTGGGCAAATTTTACTGATCCAGAAACAACGATTCTGTCATACCAACTTGCTTTTGGATCGTTCCTGGGTGGGAACGACGTTCAAGAATTCACCAACGTAGGAAACGTGACCACAGCTATGAGTTCGACTTTGAAAGTGTCAAAACTTAAGACTGGCATCCGTTATTATGCAACTGTAATTGCATATAATTTTCTTGGAATACCTAGCATCAAGGTCTCGTCGAACGGTGTATTAGTAGATGTTACAGCCCCATTCTTTTCACAGCCAACCCGCGATGGTGATGATCATATCAACGACTTGAATTATACGTCTGTAAACACCTTGAAAGCAACTTGGAAGTGTGAAGATTCAGAGGCTGGCCTTTCCAAAGTTGAGATCGCCTTTGGACTTCAGCCCGGAGACACAGACGTTATGAACTTTAGAAGCCTACCAGTTGATCAAACGTCCTTCATTATTAACTACAAGCTCAGATTGTCTCATCGCTATTTTGCTTGCGTTCGATGCACCAACAACGTTGGACTCACTACTGTCTCCTTCTCAGATGGCGTTGTGTACGATGATACCCCACCTGTTCCACTTTATGTTCAAGATGGGCACTACCAAGACTCAAACAAGACGGTTTTTGTTACTTTTATGTTTATTGATGCTGAAAGTAGCATTCAGGCCTATCGCATCAAGATTTGGAGGGGTCCTCTTAACAATTCCAGCATCATAGCCTCCTTTAGTTTTGATGGTAATGTTACAAAGGCAACTTTGGATCTGTCAGAAGAGCTTGGTAATGGAAAAACATACTATATCAATGTTACAGCAGTGAATAATGTTGGTTTAGAATCTACCTCAAAATCGGATGGATTCGCTGTCGATACAACTTCCCCAGTGTGCTCCAAGGTCTGGGATGGCAAGAGTCACTATTTCAATGACATGGAATACGCCTCGAGCTCAAACGAATTTGCTATTTCATGGGATTGTCATGATAGTGAGTCCTCAGTAGTCCAGCTTCGGCTTGCTATCAAGGACTTACAAAGAGACGAGTACGTAGTTCCATTTTACATCTTTGAGGCCCCGTTCAACTTGTCAGGCACTGCGGTAATTACAGGCAATGGTCGAATTCTATTTAAGTTGGAGGAAGGGTATAAATATGCAAGTGGTATTGAAGTCGTTAACGCCGTTGGTTTGAACGCGACATATTGGACAAATGGTGTGGTGATTGACAGTACGCCCCCTTTTGTGAGAAATCTGAAGCTGCAGTTTTATCCTGAGAAAGATGTTCTTTCAGCAGAATGGTTAGTTTTTGACGACGAAAGCGGCCTTCGATCTCTTTTTTGGGGACTTGGAACAACACCAGAAATGAATGACATTAGGAACTTTACCGAAATTACACCGTCGAAACAAAAGATATCCGTCTCAAGTTCCTCGTATCGGCATGGGGTTATTTGCTTCTTGAATGTTTATGTTCTGAATAAAGCAGGATCATCGAGCCAATCATCTTCCAATGGCATTGTTATTGATCGATCGCCACCAAATCCTGGAATTGTGAATGCATATTACACCTTTCCCAACAGTTTTAATCAAAGCTTAAATACAGTCCGAAACTCATCCTTTGCTGTGACATGGACAGGATTTACCGATTCTGAAAGCGGTATCAAAAAGACCGCCTGGGCAGTCGGAACAGACTGCCAAAAGCTGAAGCAAAAAAGTATGGACATGTACTCCGAGGTTGCAGTAGAGGACTCTGTCGGTGGATTTATCATTGGAAATCAAACCCTTGTGGGAAACAAGACTTATTTCGTTGCCGTTCGAGTAACTAATGGCGCTGGATTGTCTAGGACAGAGTGCTCCCCAGGTATACTTGTAATACTGGGGAAACTTTCTGCTGGAGTGGTAAGCGATGGACCAATAACCCAAGAAAACGATATTGACTTTCAGCTTAATGACAAAGCTATTTGGGCACACTGGCACGAGTTTAAGGACCCTTTATTTGGTATCGCAAGATACGAGTGGTGCATTCGAGACTTACCGCCAAAACCAAATGGGCCTGGTCCGTGCGCATGGCCATACATGGATGTACATCATTTGAAGACTAAAGCCAGTCGCTTTTACAACTTGACTCTTATACATGGAAGGAAATATTACGTAACGGTGAAAGCTGAGAACACTAAAGGTGATACCGTGATGTCATCCTCAGATGGAGTTCTTGTCGATCGAACCCCTCCGATAGGAAAGTCACTCCAGATCTCTCCGTCTTTCGGAAAAGAAACTTTTTTTATAACTTCATCCTCTCCTCCCGTAGTCACGTGGACAATTGATGATATTGAAAGTGGAATAAGCCATTTCCTTGTTGGCGTTGGAAGTTTTCCATTCCAGAGTGACCTTTTAGCCGGTCAGCGCGTGGACAGTCTGAGCCGTTCCCTTGATTTAGACCAGGTAAACTTGACGCTTACCGAAGGGTTGATGTTCTATGTCAGCGTTACAGGCGTCAATATGTTGGGTTTGGAGACTACCCTGACATCAAAGCAAATAGTGGTTGACTGGACGCCCCCGAAATCTGGTAAAGTTTTGGATGGTAATCGTACTTTGCTTAGAACTGAGGTATTTATCGACACGGACTACCAAAAAACAAACGGGATGCTGTTTGCTCGTTGGAGTGGCATTCAGGATGTTGAAAGTGATATAATTGAATATCGCTGGTGCATTGGAAGAGCTCAAGGTAAGGGTGTGTTTAGTTTTGTGCACCTCTAGAGTAGGAAGGCAAATCTTAGCTTTTTCTTCCCTATTTTAATAGGCTTCATTAAATTTCGAGACGCTTATCGCGCAATCCTTTTCATTTATAGGTACGTGCGAATTAAAAAGTATGACCTCAGCTGGCCTGCGCACAAGCGTTTATCATTCCATTATTCCTCAAGAGGGCTTGCGGTATTTCATTACGGTGGAAGCAACTAATGGTGCCGGCTTCAAAACAGCAATCTACTCCGACGGTATCATTGTCGATAGCTCACCGGCTGTTCTGAAAGGGGTTTACTTTGAGGCAGAGAAGAAAAGTATAGGCAAGTCTCAGTTCATCGTTCAGACGGATGACAGATATTTAGAATTCTACTGGAATAAAGCAACTGATGCAGAAAGTGGTATTTCGTCCATTGAATGGTGTGCAGGTACCAGCAACAACTCGTGTGATATCGTCGCTTTGAATCCTATTAGTTTAGATGCTACGAATGTAAAACACTACTTGTATGAGCCATTAGCCTCTGGTACTCACGTGTTTGTTCTGCTAATGGTTACAAACAGAGCCGAATTAACAACAACAGTGGTCACCAAACCTCTATTAATTGACACAACTCCACCATCAGTGGGAAACGTGACAGTTGGAACTTTTCCAGGAACTGTGTATTTCAAAAAGGGGGATACTGTGAAGGCCAAATGGTATGGGTTTAAAGATAACGAGAGTGCTCTAGACCATTACGAATGGGCTGTATGTCAAGCAACTACCAAAGGTATCTGTTTTGGTCCATATGTAAACGTTGGCAGCAATACGACATCGAATATCGACGTCCTAGGCATTGAATTTGGCGTTTCGTATGTCGTTGTTATCCATGCCTTCAATAAGGCCGGTTTATTCAGCGAGGCCACTTCCAATCCATTCATTGTGGATAATTTGAGTCCATCGGCTGGAACTGTGTATGACGGATTACACAAACGGAATGACATCGAGTATCAAAGCTCTGCTTCTCAATTGTCAGCAAATTGGTCTCCATTTAAAGACGTCAATGGGAGAATCGAAAAGTACGAACTGTGCATAGGAACAAACCAAGGATCGTGTGATGTAAGTGACTTTGATAGTGTCGGAACTAAGCTATCAGGAACAGTTATAGGACTGAGCTTGAATCACGATGTAAAATATTTTGTTACCGTACGTGCGACGGGTGTGTCCGGCTACAGCTCGATAGCAGCCTCTAATGGTGTCAAGATTGATACCACGCCACCAGAATATGGCCAAGTGAGAGATGGTGAGACGCTTGTAGACATTGATTACCAAGCAGATGACACCTACATCTATGCCAACTGGGATGACTTCCATGATAAAGAATCAGGCGTAGCTGGGTATACTTGGTGTGCGGGAACTGGGAAGGGCTTCTGCGACATCATTTCCCCTACCTACGTCATGGATCAGATGCGAGCTGGACAACAGGTTTTGGAACCACTTCCCGCGGGAATAGTAATATTTGTTACCATTACAGCCGTAAACAACGTAGGAATTTCTTCCACCGTTTCTTCAGACGGATTCAAAGTTGACAACACGGGACCAATTCTTTCAGGAGTAAGTAAAGTAATCTTGATCGACATGGGTATCTTCATTTGGGTTAAGAGATAAAAAGTGATAGAAGTTTCGACGAGCTGAGCGGCAGTCCTCATCAGAGTCAAGTGAGTTGTTGAGCCAACAGTTGTTGTCGTTCGAATGTACTAAGTCCAGGTCGACGGAAAACAACTAACCACTTGACCCTGATCGTAACTTGCTCTCAGGTTGCCAAAACGTCAGTCGCTACTACCGACAACGGCCCTTTTCAGGGCTACCCTCTCCGGACGATCGAACACTATCAGTTATACTGTGACGAACATGTGATGATGACGACCGACATGCTACCTCCGAGTACAAACTATTTTCTGTAAATGATTTGAATTAAAAAAAACGTAGTGAGGAAATTGCGCTTTTTTGTTCGACGGGATTCTATTAATAACGAGTGCGTGTTGCGAAAATAAATTTTGAGTAAAAGTGAAAGGAGAGGGGATTAATTTTTCTTGTTCGGCCTTTGAACGAGTTTTATGCAACTAAAGACGTTTTTTACCTGGCCATTAACTTTGTTAATGAAAATGAAATAACCCATAGATGTCAATTCATTAGGTTCGCGACCTGCAGCATGGCTCAAGTGATGATGACATTGATTTCCTCCTTTCGAAAGACAGTTACTGCACTCGCTGGGATGCTGTCGCTCCCGACAGTGGCATTCTGAAGAGCGAAGTTTCCGTCTGCTCTGAACTTGACTCCAATGACTGTTTGTTGCGTAACTTGGATGTAGGCAACCAGACATTTATTTGTATGGCTGATCTGGACTTTAAAGGAGGAATCAAATACTTAACAAAAATCAAAGCGGTAAATCTCCTCGGAGTTTCCGCAGAGGTCTTTTCGGATGGATTTGTGTTGGACTCTACACCTCCCTTAATGGGTGAAGTTTTCTTTGCAGAGATGTTTAAGTCAACCATAGAAGGTGACACAAAACATTACACTCGCTCCGTTATTGCTGCTCAGTGGAGGGGATTCTGGGACAAGGAGAGTGGTGTTCGCACTTCGTACGTTTGTCTTGGAACTACATCAGGGAAATGTAACACAAGGAACTTTACCATGGTTCATAACACCACAGCTTACACTTTCGCGGATGCACCCCTAGTCCAAGGAGAAACCTACTTTGTATCAGTGAAGGTGGAGAACGGGGCAGGTCTAACTAGTGACATCCAAACATCTGAGGGGATTCTTTTTGACCAAACAGGTAAATTTTGATACTTTCTTTGTCTCAAAAAAATGAGATTTCATCAATGAAGATCGTTCTTTTTCTCTTCGGTCATAAATCAACCAACGAGATATTCGTCGTTATATACGTCAACTGCCCATGCTGACTCTGCTATTAAATTACTAGGTCCTACCAATGAAGGCACAGTACTGGATGGCAATACACAAGGTAAGGATGTCGATAATCAGCAGAGTAGAATCCTCGTCGCTGCTCACTGGAGCGCCTTCGACGACCTCGAAAGTGACGTGGTGAAGTTATCTTGGTGCGCAGGACTGTCCCCTGGTTTATGCGATCTCGTCAAGGAGACTGAACTGATCAACAATAGCACGTCAATTCGTTACTTTCTTTCTAAACCCATCATGAATGGTTACCGTTACTTTGTCACCGTTAAAGCAACCAACGGCGCAGGTGTTACATCGTTACTCAAATCTGATGGCGTCATGGTAGATGACACCCCTCCGACTTCTGGCTCTGTAGTCGATGGATTAGGGTCAGATAGAAATTATGTTAATGGAGAGGATGACGTTAGTGCAAGTTGGTCTGCCTTTATGGACTTGGAGTCTGGTATAGATTCTTACAAAGTCGCGTTATGTCATGAGAGGAACCTATCTAACTGCCCTCAGCCTTTCACTTCTACTGGGAAAACTACTAACGTCACCATCTCAGGTGAGGAATTAGTTTATGTTCGTGAGACATCTTTTTTTTCTCGTAGCGAGTATTTTCATGTATCAACTCATGTGCTCTACTTACCAATAACGAATAATGATGGTTACCTTTCCATCATCGTGTTGAATATCTAAGGAAGCCAATCTTTTTCAACTTTGCTTTCGAAAGCAAGTTGAAGAGTTGAAGGTGATTAACGTTTCTCCGCCATGATATGAGAAATAGCCTACCACATGTACGGTAGATAAGCCACCAGCAAGCTGTTCTCTTACTGCAAACTTCATTGCACTATAGAGACGAAAAGGGAGAGCTCCGAACTCTTTTTTTCTTTTTTTACGATAAACAGCACATGTATCGCTTGAGAACAGGACATGAGGACAAAAAGAAAAGGATGATACGACCTTTTTAAACAAGGAGCCATGGCTTTTAGTTTCCTAAAAATAGTTGCTAGTTCTAACATACGATTTATTACAGGTTTGGATCTCGAACGTGGTACACAGTACGTGTTTATTGTGCGAGCCATAAACCATGCTGGTCTTGCAAAAGAGACTTTCTCTGACGGATTCACTGTGGATTTCAACCCACCGGAAAAAGGCAAAATATGGATTGGTGCTGGAAACGAACATATCATCTATCAAGCGGATCCTACAAAGATAGTCGTAAGGTAGCGTAAAACGTGACTGTTACCTGTTTGCTTGTGTTTTTACAATCGCTCTCATTATATGCTGTGCTAAGTTACGTCTTTACAAGTAATTTCTTTACAAATAACACGTTCGTTACCCATTTCTTTTGAGTAGTGTCGAATTATTTATCCATATTTCGAAAGTCATAAGAACGCCCAGTCTCTAAAAAGTCCCCTCTCTTTAATCAGTAGAGTACAAAAAATCTAAAGGAATAATTTTTTTAATTAAATATTTTCCCCACGAACACCGGTAAAGTACTAGAACGGAAATAAATCGACCTTAAATGTACAAATAGAACAATTTTTCGTTGCTTTTTCTTTCTTACAGATGGTCAGATTTCATGGATGTTGAAAGTGGTATAACAAAATATGAGGTTTGTGTTAGTTCTGTTCCCCTAAATTGTTCAGTAACCACCTTCGTCGACGCAGGACTTAATACAAGCTTTACTGTCAATGGTCTTAACCTTGAGCATGGTGGGACGTACTACGCTATCGTTCGAGGGACGAATGCGATTGGCCTGTCAACGGAGAATACCAGTGGAGGTGTTCTGATCGATTTGACTCCACCCATACAGAAAGATGATAGTACCCTTTCCTCTCCGTCACCTGGAAACAGAACTGATTTGAATGCTTCCCTATTACAAGCAGACGTCTCTAATTCGTCAACAAATAATGCCAACGGCCCTTCCATCACATTGAGATGCTTGGAAGAATACTTAACTTCTAGTTGGGAAGAGTTTGAAGACCGTGAAAGTGGCATGCTGAAGTATGACTGGTGCGTCGGTACAGCAAGAACTTTATGTGACGTGGTGCCCATGAGGTCAGTTGGAATGAAAACAAGAGGTGCAGCAATTGTCAACAGTCTGAAGACTGGAACGGTTCTTTTCTCTACTGTGTACGCCATTAACGGAGCCAAGCTGAGAAGGCAAATGATATCAAAGCCATGCACAGTTATTGCTGTTGCACCAAAGTTTACCGAAGTGATTGACATCTCAAGCTTCAGTTCGAGCAATCTCACTGACACTGACTGGAAGGCCACTATGCAAAGTTTGTCATTTAGGTGGAAGGCTATTGGAAGCTATTTAGATGAAATTTCACTTTTACGCGTTCAAATAGCAGTAACCGAATTGTCTTCCAATCTATCCGTACCTCGGCTACTTCAGGACAAGTCTTGGAATAGCGAGTCTTTAGAGCAGCCCTTCATGGATGTGCTCTCTGCTCAACACAACGTCACAGTACGAAGTATAACCCTAAATCCTTGGATGAAGTATCGTGGGATAGTTCGGTTATGGAACGAGGGTGGTATTTTCTCTGAAGCCTCTAGCGATGGAGTGAGAATGGAACCTAGTCCACCGGAAACCCGTGGTCTCACCATCCACGACAAAGCAGCCGCGAATGAGCACCTCCGGTGGTGGCCAAACCTGAGAATTCCTCCAGTTAATAAGAGTATTGTAAACAGTGATATCACTTTCATATCGTCTCCAGCGAAGCTAGAACTCACTGTTCACAGTGCCACGTCGAACTCCACCGCTAATTCAACAAACTTCATTCTCGAACATGATCTGTTTAGCCCTACAGCTGATTTTAAAATAGTCGTCAAGAGAGTGACAAGTGGCGGAAACGACACAAACAGCACAACTGATTCCAGAATAATGAAGGTCATCCCCGGCTTTGCTGACCTTGAAGGTCCGTGTTGTGCCAAACATCCCAGCAATACCCTGGATGCCTTAAGTGACACGCACTTTAAGCCCACCTCACCAGTCTATGAGTTTGGTGTCTCTTTGGCCATTCTGGCAGAAGATTTTTTAGCTGTAGGAAGTACTGGAAAAGTGCTTCTTCAGTCCTTGAAGAACAAAACAGCAAGAAACATCGTTACTTTGAGTGATCAGTCTGATTCAAATGCCACAGTAAAGATATCTTCTTACCGTAACACGACAGGCTTTCTTGTGAATGGTAAGCTCTATCTTTACAAGCGTACATCCGATGACCTGGATGGTGTGCTAGGCAAAAGCATCATAATTGGACATTGTAAAAATGTTCCATCATCAAATTGCCCTGAAAGTGAAGAATGGGCAGATTACCTGGGACAGTCGTTTGCTCTAAATGACAATGTAGTGGCCGTAAGAGGCACCAGATTATCCACTAATAGCAACGTTGTAGCAGTTTTTCGAAACATGTCAGGAAAATGGATTTTCGCCCAGACCGTTGGAGACAAAATGAAGCATCTAAACTTTGGACAATCCATTTCTTTAAATGAACACTTTATGGCGATAGCCGCCGGCGATGGAAGAAATTGCTGTGTCATGATATATTCATTAACGACTTTGACTCTTCGAAAGACAATTTGTATAACTGATACCGCAACCAAAGTGGCACCTCTTTCTTTGTACCTTACCAAGACCAATGCACTCGTTGTATTATCCAAGACAGCAAGACTACTGAAAGTATTTCAGTTGAACATGACTTCAAATTCTCACTATGAAGTTTGTAGGTACCGAGCTGGGGGCCACATTGATGAATTGAGTGGAAATCTTGATGTAAACACTCGAGAAGAAGGGTTCATTATTGCTTTTGGCTTCGAAGCAATGCGTGGTGGTGAAGGGTTACAGCTACTTGGCTTTCAAGGAATTTACACAACATCAGATCATTCCACTTCGAGTAACGAGAGCAGTGAATGTCTCAATCTAGGGTCGGTGCTTGCGCGGGAAAGTGGCTTACGAGCTGATAGTTATGGGACTCGAACATCTGTCTCCTTCAAAGGCGACATGATCCTATTTGGAATACCGGGCGTTCTTACTTGGCCAAAGAATGATCAGTGGCTAAGTACAGGAAGAGTTTACATGGCAACATATTGTCCCGTGAACCATTTTCGTAGTACTATTTCTGAACTACAGAGCTTGCGTCCAGTAGCTTGTCTGCCATGTGAACTGGGAAGAAAGTCATTTGGAGGCTTTTCTAACGCTTGCTCAGTCTGCGACGAGAAGTTGTGCTTTTCCCCTCCTGACAACGAGTCCTCCAGCTTCACCACAGATATATGCGATGATACGTCCTGTCTTTCCACCATATATCTAAGCAACAAAACAAATGGAATAAACGCTCACATCAGACGTGGCTCTTTGTTCGTTTCTGGACCCGAAAATGTCTACAGTGTCGAGCTTCTTGAAACAACACGGGCTGGCAAATCAGAAAGTTCATTTTCAGAATCTTTTGTGATTGATGCAACCGCTCCTGTTCCTGGCATGGTTTATGATGGACTGGGGACTGATCAAAACATGAACTGCTCCGAGAACTCAACCTTTGGCGAAGACAGCCAGTGTTCAACAAGAAACTTTGAAGATACGGATGTAGAGTTTACTAATAACACGCGGGAGATCCATGCCAGGTGGATTGATTTCCTGGACAATGAAAGCGATATCGTAGAGTACTTCTGGTGTGTTGGCACTCGACCAATGGCAGACAACATCCGCATGTGCGAAAGCACAGGAATGAGGCCAAATGGAAGTCATTTTGGGCTGAGCTTAAGTCATGGTGATTCGTATTACGTCACAGTTATTGCCTGCAATGGAGCCCGGATGTGTTCAGCCGCTCATAGTAATGGCGTTACAATAGACTCCACTCCACCTGTGATGACATATGTCAGGGACGGGATTATGGGACCAGATATGGACTTTCAGGTGAGAAGCTGTCTTCTAGATCTGAAAGAGTCGGTATCTTAAATAGATAGTTCTAAACGGATACATGCAAGTGGCTACTTGCAAGTCATATGGTATATATGCTAAGATTAATTTGAGTTTATGGACTGTTTAATGGGTGTCGTTTTGTTTAGTTTTGAGAACTAAATCCTTCATATTAGTGTAGGCGAAAGGGCACAGTAATTTCCTTAAGGTATTTCTCAAATCGTGATTGTTGGACTTTTCTTTTAAGCCTGTTCAGAATATATGACGGAATATTAAATCTAATTCGAATAACTTTCCTTTGGTAGGCTTTTGTCGATATCATCTTTGCTTACTTCGCCGCCAGCGACGAAGAAAGTGGAGTAAGTTCATATGAGGTAGCGTGGGGGACTGCTCCTGGTTTAATCGACATAACCGACTTTGAAGAGCTAATTAACGCCACCATATGGCGTGCAAAATTTAAAGACGACGTACTCGAGATTGGAAGAAAGTATTACGCAACAGTGCGTGCGACGAACGGTGCTGGGTTACTATCCGATCATCTTTCATCTAACGGAATCGTGGTTGGGAAATCTGAATATGTCTTTGATAATTCATCAAAAGCCTCATTCTTCTTTGACACAGTAAACGTGAACGATGATGGATCACGTAAAGACGGGGGTGTAGGAAAAACCTACGGCACGTTGAGTGTCCCTGAAGGTGCTGTTGAAGAAGAAGTAAAACTACGATGTTACAGTTTGGACGAGAAAACGCTGGAAGAAAATACAACTGAAGAGGGTCCAGTCAGCGACCCGAAAAGAACTGCCCCAAAGGTACACTAATGTAACTCGCCATGCTATTGTATTATGTTACATACAAAGCATTAGTGGTAGTCCTTACTTGCCAAGGTAAACTTTTGTTTTATGTTTTATTGCAAATTGTACTCTTTGTAACCAAGAAAGATGTGATCAACACCCATGAGCCTTGGTTGTATTATAGGTTATGTGAGAGGTTTTTTCCATGAGTTTGAACAGAGTACATGCGCCGTAAGAATTTGGGAAATTTGGCGTATGCACTTGTGGTTCATCTTTCCAATATAGCCGAGTGTGGATGTTGTCTTGAATTTGGACAAAATGATCTTGTTCGCATTTCCATATACATGTACTTTGCAAGTGTTTTCTCTATCGTTTATTTTGCGCTGTCTCTTCTCCCTCTTTAGCAATTTATGCTGGGAAACTACAGCTTTCAGATCAAAGCCCTGGATCCTATTAACAATACAGTGAAGGAAGGTTTCCGGTTTGCTAAACCTATCAAGCTTACCATGTTTTATGACGTGGACAACCTGGTAAAAGCCAACAAAAAGCACGTCAACAATGAAGTTACAGAGAAAGACATAGATCCTGTGTTGTTCTTATGGGATCCAAAGAATGAAACTTGGTGAAAATTATTAAATTATACATATACTTTTGTCGCATATTTCGTTTCTTGAATGAAACAAACTTAATAATTATGCTTTTACCTGGCTTTTTTTTATATTAAATAACAATCTAACTTAAAGTATCTTACTTCTTTGTGATTTTGCACGGCCTGTCGTTGTGTTAGTGGTTGTTAAAGATATCTTAAAAGATAACAAATTTTAAGTCCTCATTAGGAAAAGTTTTGACTCGACGCATTTCTAAGACGAGGCGTAACAATTTATTACCACCAGTACTCTTTCACATACACATCAGTAAATGTGCAAACAAGTAACTTTGAAAGAATACATGCATATTGGTTGCAAGGATTCAAAGCGTCAATTCTTTGTTTCAAATATGATCGAAATTATTGGAAAACTTAATCTTAGAGTTTAATGTATGATCTTTTCATTTAGGTTTGACGCAAAACTTACTTGTCCAGAGCCCTGGAGTCGAGTGAACCGGTCGGTCAAGCTTCTAGAAGTGAACGTGTGTCACCTGACTCAGTTCGCCTTCTTCTTCTCCTTCCAGGCACAGCATGGCTTACTTCTCTTTGGGAAGAATCACTCAAGTATGAAAAGTTCAGTTGCCTTCGAAGTAAATGAATTGTAGATTGATTCTTAGGTCTGTACAATATTTGCTCAAAGAAGCCTAAAATTACCTTTTCATTCCAAACTGTATTTCTGTGAATGATCTGTTCTTTGCATCCTTATGGACGAATTTCATTTGGTATCAACAGCAAATATCGTACTCCCAAAATAGAGTAGAAAATAGCATATAAACGACATTATACCCCCCCTCTCCTCATTTTAGAAAAATAATCGATCAGTTACTTTTTTTTAAGAAGACAGTGTTGATGACGAAAAATTATTGTGCGGTGCCTCTCTTTCACCCGTCTATAACATCTCTTACAATGCTCCGTTACCATACATAAGCCATGTTCGTTCTAATTGTTTTTCGTAAGTGGGTGTTTGTTTTAATGTTTCCTAATAGTAAATAATTTATTTCGTACTTCATCTGTGTATCAGTGGCGTGGTTTAATTCCAACTTCCTATAAAATTAGAAATAATAATGATGTCATAAATATGTGTCCTCTATGTGTTTGGTGGATTGATCGTCTTTAATCATTAGCTATACTCTATTTCATGAAATGAATGGTATCGAAATAGCATTTGTAACCGCTATGACATTCTTGTAATGCTTCATGATTTCGTTTCGATAGGGTACAACTTAGATGGAGGCATCCAAGTCTCTCGTAGGATGAGGGTCACCATGTTGGAGATTCTTCTACGAAGATCTAAAGGTTCGCAGGGTGACATTGCTGTACAGTGGTCGCTGTATCAAAATGATTCCTCGGACAGCCTCGACCTAATATGGCCAAGATCTGGGGAGGTGTCTATGAAGGACGGTCAATGGAACGATTCTTTTATTCTCACCGTAGACAATGACAGAAGGCAAGCGCCAGAGGGGGTTATCTGGGTTCAATTGGAAAATCCTTCGGGCGGCGCTTTGTTGGCGTCACCTGATGAGACCACGTTAAAAATCACGATTGCGTCAAACCAGAGGCCTGATCAGGAAACAGGAATAATAACAACAGTATGTATAAGCGTGGTCTCCGTACTGGTAGTCCTTGTTGCCTCATATGTCGTCAAGAGACACAGAAATAGAAGAAAAAGGTAAGCACAATTGAAATTGAGGATGTTTCCGTTAAGGGCAAGAAAAGGCGTTTCACGGCAATTTTCACCGCACGTTCAAAAAGATTCACGCACCTAAAGGCATCACAGGAACAAAACTAATTTAAGAGCGCTTTCCGCGCGATTTTTCACACCAACTTCCTTATAAAACGGTTTCTTTATCATCTTTACCAATCCACCAGTATTGCAGAAATAGAGTAGTATATTTGGACATACGATTTGGAATATACTATCCCTCGAAAATAATTTATTTTGCTTTTGCATCGCTTAAGTCCGGTGTTCCATATTTGATTTATTGTCTAATTAATGGGTCGCTGTCGCAGCCATTCCAGCGCCAGAATGGTTATATCAGCACAGATGGATCTAGTCTAAGCTTTATCCTGGTTATTTAGAAGAGCTTCTTCTTGACTTTTCACCGGCCTATGGTCAAACTAACATCGTAACTTAAGCAAAAACACTAACCTGCCCACTTTTTTTGTTAGGATTGTTACCAAAATAAGTGGGCGCCAAGATACTGAGATGACTCATTGTAAGTAAAGCGTTGATTGATAGTTTGGTTTCTTGTCAATTTTTCTTTCTTCCTTAACTCTTCTCTCCGTTGAGTTTTGACTGGCTCGTGAAATGTCGTTTTACTTGTTAGAAGGCCCTTCTAATTAAATGGCAATACTTTCCATCTGGCTCCGCTGTTGGATACACTGAGTAATCTAACGGTATAAAACCATAGCCATACGTAACAGATCACATCTTGGGTTGATGATGAAGGGTCAGGATATTTCCAAGCGACTGCGACACAACACGATTTCGGGAAATGAACCTAGTTAAGGAGGCTTTTAAAAAAGTCTGTTTACTTGCTGTTTGCGGCTAAGTTCATATTTCATAGTCTCTGTCACATCACTTGGGTTCCCTTTTGAGCTCATTAGAGAAGCATTAGTTTCCTTTGACTCAATGGCGTTCAATCAAAGGAATGTACTGAGATTATTGTTAATTATTGTTTTACCAAGTCGCTTGCTTTCTTCGCCCTCTTCCTAGTGAGAGATGCTAACACCGGGCACGCCAATAACAGTTGGCGATCGTCTGACCCAGTAGACCATGACATGGAGACGGAGTTAAATTCCTCTGGATTCAAACCCGAAGTCGAAATGTTAACATCAAATCCACTCTACGAGTCACTTGGTCTAAGCACTGACCCAGATGTTTCACAAGTGGTAGCTAACCCTCTTTATGGGTCCGACAATCTTACAGGCATGAGTGGTGCTTGCGTGATTGCGAATCCGTTGTGCAACTCAGCTTGTACCCTTCCAGGTGCTGATTCTGCTCCAGCAATCGAGAACCCCCTGTATGAAGCCACCTCCTGTATTGAAGGAATTACGGGAGAAGTGAATTATGGCGAGAATGTTGATGAAGATGGAAGTGAGGAGAGTTTCTTGGGGTGAGTACCGATGGTTTGTTTTTTGTTTTTGTTTCTTAACTGTACTCACAACAAAGACATTTAGAAAATTTTTATGCCTTGTTTAACTGTGTTTTGTAACGTCACCATGTACTTTAGACTTCTTGAAACTTTTGGTCTTAAAAATTTCAACTGATCGAGAAAATTTACCGAAAGAAATTTTACCAACCATAGCAAGAATTGTAGACTTGCTTAAAACACTAAATTATGCATAATGTGTTCTTAGCATTAGGTTACCAAGTAGACGATTTAATGACAACTTTCATTGTCTGCCTTTCTTTAGGAAGAAGACTTCAATGGTTGAAAAGTTGGACTGAATATAGGAACGAATAACTTCAAAAATTTTGCTTGGATTTTTTTCTTTTTTCACTTTGATCACATTAATCTAAGGGGTATACTGTATTTTAGGCAAATAAAGCAGGTAGACGCGATTAGCTGTTCAACTGATACGTTTTCAGAAGAATGCGTGGGTAAAATTAGGTAAAATTTATGCTCTCTTTCGCCTGAAATACTTAAGTTTTGCACGCGCAGAGTGAATTTTAATAGTCACTAGACAGATCTTTTGTTAAAAATCTCTCGCTGATAAACTCGTCCTGGTACTATTTCTGGTAAGATTCCTTTTGACATCTGGTTCTTCTTTTAGTCAACTGAGACAAATTTGATAGTAGACATGATGTCGCTGGTTCATAGCCGACCTTTTCTTTTCTGTTATTTCATTCTTTTTTTGCCCAAACAATTTTTTGAGAGCCACTGATCATTTAAATTTCTGATCTCTGACCATAACATGATAGAATCAACTAAATTGTTTTTCCTCCTTTATTTGTTTTTCGTTTGATTTCTTTTATATTTTGGAATGAGATGGAAAGAACGGAAACATTGATTTTTCAAGGTAGAAGCACCATTGCCTTGTAGCCTTTTTGGACTGCCTTAAGTCATTATATAACAATTTGGTTTTGCTGGTAAATTTAGAATGCGACTTGAATAAAATGAGATTTTGAAAGAATATGTGAATGTGTTTAGTTAGTGTGGAACGTACATTAAGATGTTTCCGATACTTTTTTTTGCAGTTCAGTCACGGCATAAGCGATTTCTAGGTAGTTGCGATATTTCGTCAGCTAAAACACCAACATAGTTTTTGGAACTGACTCATAAAGAGCTCGAATCCTTGGCACAAATGATAATTTTCGAGGAAGGATAAATGAGAAACTTCGAGGATTTCAGCTTAACTCGAAAGGAATATCTCTCTACTCGTTGAATTTCACTTGTTTACCCCTGTTTCCAGAACCAGTTATGCTTCTTTTGGTTTTGAAAAATCATAGAAGTTATGGAATTGCATTATGTTAATCTCCACTCAAAAGCAAATGATTTGTCACCTGGTTTATCCTGATCATCGCGATGAATATTTTGCAGGATTATTAAGTTTCGAGGAACTTTCAATTGTCTTTACAACATGTGTGCTTGAAAATCTGGCACAATGCAAAATCCAAAGAATTTAAAGTGTGCACCTTGAGAGGCCTTGATTTTCTCGGTTTGCCATTTCAAGTGGTGTTCATGAACTCAAAAGGCTGGGGGCGCAATGGGGAGAATCGAAAAGTCCACTTAAGGTAGTTCTAAATTTGTCGCTTTAGAAGTCTCAAGATGCAAATTTTATCTTCAACTTCCAAGTCTCATTAATATTTCCCCTTACTGCCATACAATTCTTATGATGTTAGTTCGGATAATTTTGTATTAAATTAAGAAATGATCTCCTAATTGACATTTCTTTTTTATTATTTTCACCACCTATCTACTTGATGGTGTATTGATATTATAAAGAAGAATTCTGTCTTGGCTGGTCACTCATTGTAAAAGTCTTAAAATTCATCGAGCTGAATTCAAATTGAATCTTACATCTTACCTGCATGAATACAATTTCATTAAGTTTTAATGGGGGTATAATTTTTTGAAGTAGTAATAGAACAAAACAGAAGAGAATGTTCAGTCAAATTAAAAAAAAAAACGGAAGGGAAGTTTTTCGTAATTGTTTTAGAAGTGTTTTACATAAATTTCCGTTGGAAGTTAGGAGGGAAATCTGTCCAGCTCGAAAAAAGTTAAGCTATATTTTATTGGGCGTAAAGTAAACAACACTGGGTATATTATATAATTGTCTTCTGATTGTGATCAGGTTCTGAAAGCCATAATTCCAATTTTTCCTGCTTTTCACAGAAAACATGATTATACCTAATTCTTAGGTAATTTAAAACGCATATTCTGTCTTCATTTAACAAATAGAGAAGCTTTGACTGTGCTCTGTAAAACACGCAGGAAGCGGCTAAAGCTAGCACGAAAGAAGTGTACTGAGAAACACGAGACGTACTCGGGTGTTTCTCACCACTTCATGAGTGCTTCTAACGTTAATAAGTTTTTAAGAGATGATATATCTTTATGGAAATAATTGCTGGTTCCAGTTTTCTGAAAAAGTGATAAAGAAATTGTTCAAAGACTGACATATTTTCAAAGACCACATCCGTTTCCATCAAAACATTTCTTTTAAAAGATCTTTTTCGAAATTTAATAATAATAAGCTGGCCTTCCAGTTCTTTTTAATTTGTCCAAAATTACATATTTCGAGAACAAAAGAGATTATTATTTTCGGCTAGGAAAATGCAGTCTTCAATGCGGATACGCTCAGAAAAATACCAATATAATACTGCTCATGTATCTCAAGAGAAATAAATAAATGATTCCTAATAAGTGAATTTGGGGTTGTCAGAGAAACCAAATCTCTCGCTTGACTATGCACTGATCAGTCCAACGTGTCCCTCATAAATATACAATTCACTCAAAAGAAAATGTACCACAATACTGTCAATACTGCTCATGTTTTTCAAAGGAAAGAAATAAATGATGCCTAGTAAGTGAATTTGGGGTTATCAGAGAAACCAAATCTCTTGCTTGACTATTCATTGATCAGTCCCACGTGTCCCTCATAAATATAAAATACATTCAAAAGAAAGTGTACTGTAAAAACGGTAAAATAATAAATTAAGTAATTGTGTATATCTAATTACGTGGACCACTGAATATTACAATTTCATACGTTAGTAGTAGAGGTTGGAAATATAATGGTAAGCCATAATTCACTGCTTCCGTGTTTCCAAAATGTTCACCTATAAATCCAGTGATTTCGTAATGAAGTTCAACATGCAACATTAAAGTCCTAGGATTTTCAGGTAGAAATTTAGGCAGTTTCGTGGAATTTAACCGGCGAAAAGTTATCTTGTCTCTAGGGTGAATTAATGAAGTTTTAAGTAAAGGAAAGAATCTCTGACAACGAAGTTGTTTCTAAATTTTTTTGGCTTTCCTAAAGCAGTAATTGATCCGAGTAATAAGAGTTCTTTCAGTATGCTACGTCTTCAAGTTTGACCAATTGCCGAGCAGGTTCTTGGCGGTTGTGTTTTGTACTTGGGTAAGTCACTACTCTATTTCACAGTTTCGCCTCTCTCCACCTTGGAGTACCAATCGGATCCAATGAGCTGTCAGGAAAGCCTGTCTTGATGAACCAGCACCCTGTCCAGGCCATTATGCAATTTTACTATCTAAATGACAAGGTAGAATACAAATAACGCGCGAATAGACTACAGATATATATATGTTATTTGCCGGCTAAGGGTCGGTCCGTATGGTGAAAAACTGTGACCGAGGTCACAGTTTTTCACCATACGGACCGACCCTTAGTCGGTAAATAACATATTTATTGTTTTTAAACTTGACGAAATTCTTTCCGAAAGAACCCGAATGATTTATGGCCGTAAATACGGCAAGATCTTCTATAAACTGAACAATTTTTGAGTGAGTAAATGGTAGTTAAAATAGAGGTGATGCAAATTTAAGAGAGATGCCTCAGCGAAACATTTTCATTTCCGTAACGATAAAGGTGATTTAAAAGGCTTCCAAACAAACTTTGAAACATTATTTTTACAAGTATCTGTCACAATCTGACACCTGTCAATTAGAGAGCGCCCAAGAAAAAAAAAAAGCGTAGGAACATTTGAAAACCAACTAGTTTGGCAAGGACTGTCACGACAATGTTTTCTTCAAAATCAGTTAATGATCTAACGGAAAGTATTATTCACTCTCATCGACCATTCATGTACGAAGATTTACCTCTGTTCATTAAGTAAACGGCGAGGAAAGTAATTGTGAGTAAATTCAATTTTTTTATTTTGAAGTTGTGAGAGTTTGCTCGTTTGTTTGCTGTAATGGCGTGTTTAACTCTGATCTTTCCTTCACAAAAAGCTAAATTCGAACGGCACACTCCAACGAGACACAAGCGAATGTAATGCGGCCTTTTCTCAAAAAATTCCTTCAATTTCTGTTGTGCAATTTAAGGTACAAATGTCCAAATTGAACGGAATTGGAAAGACTCACCAGGAGCGTATATTTGTTGTAGAACTTAAATTAAAACTTCGCTCGCTCTTTCACTATGAACAAATTGCTCGAGAAACTTCAGATATTAAATGAATGAAAGTTCCATCGTTCAGTTTAACTGTAACCAAATACCTCACGTTTCAACTTTCTGGGTACTTTTTGTGAACGATTAAAACTAATTGCAGACGGTTTTTAGGCCGCTTGTCAACCAACGTAATGACACTATTGTTTATATAAATTCACTCTGAAACCAATATTTTTCTGTCAACCAAAGAGATTTGATAGAGAGAAAAGAGAGGATTCATAAGCTATTTATCGGCTTGAGGTAGTGACCGACGTGTTTGCTTAAAAATACTGCCCAGCCGGAAAACGAGGTATATTTATGAAAAATGACAACGAAAGTTGGGATGTATTCGGCGACTCACGAAAGCGTTACCGTGGCCCGTGGGCAGAGATAGGAAAATACTGACCGGGTAAAGAACCAATCAGATTGCAAGATTCGTTACCGTGCCCTCTAAAAAAACAATAACATGTGATATGTAATGAGCGGTAACTTGGATGGTTGGTTATTTTGTGCTGTAAAAAAACCCTGTTTAACCAGTCGGCTGCGCGCGCTACGCTTCTCTACCCGCTTTGCTTTCCCCGCCTTATGAGAAAATAGCTGAAAGACTTAGTAGGAAAAAAAAAGCAGTTGGATAATAAATAACTTATGAGACGTTTTGGTGTGTAGTATCGCTAAGTATTTTTATTTGCCGTATTTTGACGAGCCCCTAGGGCGAGTCAAAAACATACAATGAGTCTATCGCGATATATTTCTCATTATATTTGTAAACGTCTACTTAGATATGTTTATCGCTGGGCAACAACTTTTTTTACACGAGTATTCACTATCACAATCGCTCGTACGTGTCCCTAATATTTATGCAAGTAGTTTTACAAAGTAATTTCAAAAGACACCTTCACAAGAGAAGAGTGTTCATCCGACCAGTTACTGTAAGCTGAATCTTATAGAAATGAAGATCCTGGCCTTTCTTTTGGCGTATCTCTTTTTGCCCTTATGTGGCGGTAAGTTAGCATTTCAGTATCCCTCAACTTGGATTATGGAAAGAAGGTTACGATATTGCTAATTTAACTGTTCCTTGTGAAGGAGGGAAACGCAACTATCTTGAAAAAAGAAAAAAGGAAGTAAGAATGATAAAAAAAGAACCATTTACAGATGCATAATGCTATTATGAAGTGCATAGTTTTCATGTCTGCTTCGGGAAGCCAAATAAGTAGACTAATGAAATTTTATGGGATTGGGAATTTTTTTTTGGATTGAAAAAAGCAGGGTGATTTTCGTTGATCTAGGTTTTCCTAGTAGAATCCTGTTCAAAACTTTACTTGGAGGAAATCACATCTATTACAAACTCTGCCATCAGGAATTTAGCCAAATAATACTAGAAACAAGATAAATTAGTAACATTATTTAAAAAGAATTATTCTTAAGCGCAGAGTTCTTATATTTGCCTAAAGAAGCCAAATAAGTACGTACCTATTCAAATTTGATGGAACAACATTTCTTGCCCTCCTTCTTCTTTATTCTAAGCAGGTCGTGTTCACACCAAGCATGCAGAATTGCAAGATGATGCATGCAAAGTGCTGCTGGAAACCGCGACTTACGAAACACACACTCTTATGGAAATCCTCTACGAGTCATCCTGTCAGCCTAAGGGGTGGGAGGGATTCTTTAACCGAAAGGACGTCAAGGCGATGATGCAAGATATTTCTAATCGTCTGCAAAGTGACTCCCAGAATGAAGGACTTGGTTTGAATCCTAAGATAGGCTGGATCTTTAGAGCCTTTCACATGGTTTCTCCTGATGAAGTGAAGGCCATTATCATGGGTCAAGATCCAGCTCCTCAACCCGGACTAGCAACCGGGCTCTCTTTTAGTCTGGATCCTACAGTACATCCCCAGGAGGTCCAAAGTGTCTTGAGAGTGATCCTTGAGGCTCGAAATGAGGGGTACTGCGTCAATACTTCTGTTGGTTCCTTGGAAAGCTGGGCTAGGCAAGGCGTTCTTTTACTTAACAAAGCATTGACCCTGGTTCACAATAAAATTGGCTCCCACTTATCATTGTGGAAAGATTTCAGCAAGGAAATAATGAAGTATATCAATGAAGAAACAAATCCATCGGTCTGGATTCTCTGGGGTAGCGAAGCCAAATCTTTAGAAAACAAAATTGACAAGAGCAAGCATTACATTGTTAAAGGGGGTCACCCATCCCCAAGGGCACCTGGAAGAAAATTCTTCTGTCAAAATTACTTCACTTGTTCTAACGAATGGCTGTGCGCGAAAAAGCGTGGCACCATTGACTGGAACCTAGTTCCGCTACCTTGCAAGAAGCATGCAAGTCGCTTATTTACAAGAAAATATTCAGATCCAGGGTTTTACGAAGGCGACGAGTGCGAAATGCAGCCATGCCCTGCATCTTATGAGAAATGAATAAAATATATTTGATGAATAGAATCAATAGCATGTCTTCAAAACTGAAAATGTCGGGTTTTCTGTTTTAGGGAATTAAAGTAGAAACGGTAAACAATAAGATGGAATCCAAAGCTCCACTGTTTTGTGAACGGATCCTGCATGATAAAGCAATAAACAATAAATAGAAGAAAGGAATGCATACTGTGTGGTTTCATAGTCAATGCCGATAATAAACGACCAACACGGAAAAGGTTGGTATGTTCCTGTACGTGTATCGACGAACATGCTTATCTGGTGGCAATGCCACTATTTCCAATTGAGACTGAGGCGCTTAAGAAAAGGTTTGGGGAAGAGCAGTGTGGTCGATTTCACTTACGACATGTATTTCGCTCATTTCCTGTGTGTTTCAAGACATTCATTTACTTATACTTAAAACCACAATCCGCTTATCCGGATCTCTTTCTTTCGTCAAGTTATATGGAAATCAAAGTTTACTCGATCAAACGCTTGTTATAAAGCTAATTAGGACGCAAATTTGACACATGCAAGTTTTAAACACAATGTGAAAAAAAAATAAGAAAATCATTTCAAAAGAATGACCAAGACCATGTTTATCATGTTTCTCCATCGAGTCGACCTTTGTGAAAACTTCGAGCTGCCTCGAAGTCTCCTGAATTTTTTTCTCCTCCTTTTCAAAAACACTTCCGATCAAAGAATAAAACCTAAAAACCCGGAAAAGAGCACAATCTGCACAAGTCAAAGACCACCCCCCTCCCTTGACATAGGGTTGCAAGAACATCCATAAGACCTTCGCTATGAAGGCCTCATGGAAATTGAACGGGTCTCGGCCTATGTGCACATCTGACTTCGTCTTTCTGGAGAGTACAACTGTTTAGTCTCGTTAGTACACACAAAGGGCAACATTTACCATGCACAACTATTTTAGAAGCCCATGAAGATAATAATAACTACTCCTTGGGAGCGGATTTTAAGTTTTTTAGAGTTATTAACATATCAGAATTGCCAGAACGCCTTTTTTTTAATTGAAATTGTTAAAGGCCAAACTTTGACAGGAAAACTCGCGGATGATTCTTTCTCTTTTACTTTTCTTTTTCAACGGCTTTGAGAGAACTTTCAATTGCACTCGGAAGTTATGTGGAGTGATGTTTAAGACCTGAAACAATAAAGCAATTCAAGTACGTTCTCCCGTTTTTACTTTTATGTCAAGACTATACATATTTAGGCAGCTGAATCGTCCTGTCTATGGTCTTTGATTTTGAGCTTGAAGGAATTTTGGTGAAGCAAGACTCAGGACTCAGAAATTTATCAAGTGAACATGGGTTATAACACATTCCGTGTGAGTTTTCCCAAATTGCAAAATAATAATATTATTTTACAAGATTTGAATCTTTCTAACCAACAGAGGCTTGGTTGCCACAGACAACAGAACAAGAACGCAATAAGCTTGAAATGTTTTCATTGATTTGATTATAACTTTTGTTTCTCACAATCATGGCATATTTGACACCGTGTCTCCTAAAATAACATTCGTGAACATAAAGGCTTGACAAAGGCGTTCTGGCAATGTTGGCATAAGTTCTGAACACAGCTGAATGGTCTTTCTTTTAAAGTCAATATAATAATTCGAGAGCTGCTCAGAGAGAGGAATTAATTTGAACTATTATTTTAACTGCTATTCAAGTCCTAAAAGTGTCTAATGATGAGAACAAAGAAAGAAAGCAAGACCATCGACAATGCAATTTTGTTTTAGCTCAGATAATTATTTTCCATATTAATTTCGTTTTGTCACTCTTATTATCAAAACAAGACAGAAGGTTTCTCTAGTCAAAGGATGTTTTATGTAATATTTCTAGACTTCAACTAAAGTTAGAAATAATTCAACTGTTATTCTATCAGTAAAGAGGTTAGGTGTAGTGGTCATTTAGAGAAGAATTAGAATTTCTTGAACTAACATATAAATTTTGGGGTGTTCTTTAGATTGAATAGTCCTCACGATCTTCGGTTTCTATGGTGTTTGAATTGATTTTTACAAAGCGTGTTGGATAAAAATGTCAGCCATGATTCTCAACCTTCAAAGAACTCTATCACAAACGTAAATGTAAAAGCGTATAGCTGTTATTCTTTTCTGACAGACTTACAAATTAAACAAGTCAGAAGAGCCTCAAAGCTAAATGATATCAGTTGAGGAAAACATGTGCTTACTGCATCATCACTGATTAAAAATCGTTCACGTGTGCTTCCTTATCCAATCACGCGCAATATCGAACTAAGTATTCATTCATTATTGCACTATGACGTGTTAAAGATACTCAGAGACATCGATTACAAAAGGGAAGGGCTGGCCTTTTGATCCATTCTTACTGGAGGTGTTAAAAGAAGGAGGTAAGATTTGTTTTCCCGTGTTCTCCTGTAGATTGACCTTTAGATGTCCTCGAGAACCAATCTTGCGATACGCAGAACTGTAGTTTTTGCTTGCAACTTTAGATTCATTTAGATATGATGTTTGTGTATTTGCCTTTTTAACACCAAAACAAGACCATTTCTTGTTTGTGCCTTTCTCATATATTGTACGCACAAATTAACGATAGGAAAATTAAATCTGCGAATTTGATGTCTTAGGCCTCTCTAACTAACACATACTGCCAACTCCTCGAGATTCCACCCTAAGAGAAAGAGAAAAGACAGTATTCATCGTTTGCTTTTCTACACATGCCCGTAGGGCAAAACGTCAAGTGTTCCACTACTTTTCTTCACACAAAAACGGAAGTTTTAGGCCCCCAAGACCCATACCCTTAGTTCCTTTACATGCGCTGTGCTCACGTCTACTTGCGGGCCATGAGGAAATCTTTCACCCCTTCTTAGGTGAATGGCTCTACTTTTTGAATTGGAATCTTTTTTGGGGGGATGGATTAAGAACACTTCCGATTTACATTTTAAAACCCGCAGAAGAAAACTGTTTGCGCAAGTCAAAGACCTTAACGTAAGGTCGCAAGAATATTACATATCAAATTTGATGAAAACCTTGGAATTCTTACTTCGTGTTCTGGAGACTAGAACCGTTTGGGCTCACTAGTACAAGCAACAAGCAAATTTCCCAAGCACGAGTATCTCGTAAGTCTACCCAGAGAATAATAATTACTCCGAGGTAGCGGATTGTTGTAGTTGTGTGGCGTATGTAAAATCCTAGAATTTGCAGAACTACTCTGAAAGCCTAATTTTTTTTTATTTTCAAAAAAAGAAATCCTTCCTTTTTTTTAAGTGACATAGTAACAGGCCCAACTTTTTCAGAAACCTCGTGGTTAATTAAAAAAGAGAACTTCAAGTTATTGTTTCACAAAAATGGACAAAAATAATTTACACGTAAGATCCAATAGAAAATATTTAATATTCCTTTGGAAACACCAAGGTAGCTGGCGCGTGCTATTAAAAATATGATAATAGTGTTAGTGTAACAAAAGAATTGAAAATTTTCTCCTCAGGGGCTCTTCTTAAATTATTTGCGAAACGTATTTTTTAATGAGTCGGGCAGTTCAACAAACAAATACATTCTTGTCTGCGACTTTTCTCTATGTTTAACTGCGTGTTTTATCATTCATTTAGAACTTAAAACGAACAAATGATAGCTAAATCAGAAGAGCTCCCTCCCATGCCAAGTGATCATCTTGCAATATAGCTGACGTTTTTTTTTTTTTTTCTAATGAAGTTGTTTTAGTTGCCTTGTGTGGAAAAAGTCTGGCTTCGTGTTCAGTCGAAGAAATGAAGTTCATTGTTCTTTCCTTGGTACTTTTCATTTTGGTCAAATGTGATGGTAAGTGATAAACTATGCTTTTTTTACTCACCTTTAACCTGAAGTTTACCGCAATGTAACCAACAGCACGGGTGCGGGAACAACAATTTTGGTCATTTACGTTTATCACCTTTGAATGATAACATCTCTCTCGTCGTCAGCGTCGATGTCTATGAAATGTCATCAGGAGGTGTGGTTTTGATGTTCCTCCAGAGTAATTGCTCCACCCCAGTCTTAATTGTCTAGTTCTTCAGGGATTTTTCTTGAATAGCGACCCTCATCCATGTTCTAGCTTCCGATTTTTCTTAAGAGCCCAAAAAGTGTATGTTGTAGATAGGCCAGTAATGAATCACTACTGCTCCCTCGGGATCAAGCGTAGGTAAGTAAGGCACTTGTAAGACAATAATATCACGTCAAACTGATCTTGATGTTTACAGGTGGAAAACAAAAAGCTGCCGTGGATTCGCACTTTGATGACTGTGAAGATTTACTCGAGACCGCAACCTACCAGACCCACACTCTTATGGAGTTACTTTACACTTTCAATTGTAAGCCTCTTGGGTGGGAAGGTTTCTTTGATCGGGCAGACGTCATGCAAATGATGGAAGTCATCTCCGAGCAAATTCAGTACGACTCTCAAGTGGAGAACTATGGAATCAACCCAGATATAGGAAATGTTTTTAGAGCGTTTAATATGGTTTCACCCGAAGAACTCAGGGCAGTGATTTTAGGTCAAGATCCAGCTCCTCAGCCCGGTCTAGCGACAGGCCTCGCTTTTAGTTTGGATCCCTCGGTGGACCCTTCAGAGGTTCCCAGTGTGCAGAGAGTGATCCTAGAGGCCCGCAACGGGGGATACTGTGTTAATGCTTCAGATGGTGTCTTGGTTAAATGGGCCGAGGAAGGCGTCCTCCTGCTCAATACAGCGTTGACCCTGATCCAAAACGAAATTGGCTCTCACCTTGAGCTTTGGGAGAATTTCACTCAGGCAGCTATTGATTACACCAACGAAAACACTAATCCATCGGTCTGGATTCTCTGGGGATCTCATGCAAAAGCTTTTGAGAGCAGTATCGATAAGAGCAAGCACTACATTCTGAAGGGAGGCCACCCATCTCCAAATGCAGATGGAAAATACTTCTTCTGTCATAATTATTTCGCCTGTGCCAGTGAGTGGTTGTGTGAGAAAGGGCGTGGCATGATAGATTGGAACCTGCTTCCTCTACCTTGCCAAAAGCATGCAAGCCGTCTTTACCACAGGATACATGAAGACCCGGGTTATTGCAATGGGGATCTTTGTGAAATGTGGTACTGTCCATATTAACAAACAATATGTAGCACGCGCAAGCTTGGAGTTCAAATAAAGAAAGATATGCGACGTTCAAAAATGTGTGCTATCTTTGTTGAGATTTGTGCGTGGCGGAGAATAATTCGTGATTAGTTGCTGCTGCATCCTTTACTTCTTTAAACAGTGATTCCAGTTGATTTGATTTATTTATATATATTTTCAATTTTAAAATTCAGGAAAGTTAGGGAACAGAAGTATAGCAAACATGAATTACTATTCAACACTAAATTGTTTCATTCGGATACTGATCGGAATTTTCCTTGGAAACTCGTGTCACCAGAACGATTCTTCGACAGTGTGCTAACTATAATTCTTTCAAGTTGCGCCGCGTTAATGTCTGATGTAAATCAACTTTAAACTTGCACAACTTTTACTATATGTTTTGCTGTGTAGGAAAAATAGAAAAAGTCGAACCTCCCTTTGCAACAATCTCTCGTGAGCGACCACCTCCCGTTAGCGACCACTATTTCAAAATACCAAACGTTTTCAAGTCTAATCACTATAAATGGAACCTCTCGTAAGCGACCACCTCTCTAGAGACCACTCTTTGAGATGCTTGTTTACAATTTTTGACCTCCCATAGGCGACCACTTGACAGACAATCGGCTTCATCCCTAACGAGCAGAAATTGAAAATTGTTTCAACAGATGTCATAGAGCCTCCAAAGTGCTTCCGGAAATAGCCTTGCCGCGTGAATTTTTGCTTGTGTGGTGTCATCGGAAAGTGTGGACAGCACCTTCTAAAGTAACCAACGAACTGAGTTTCTTTCACGTGATTTGTCCCATATACTGTATTGAATAATATGTTCAATACAAATAAGAAAATTATCATAGATCAAGGTTCGACAGTATTTCGCGGTTGTTAGGAAAGACTTTGCCGAAACAGTTCTCAATACAATCTCCTCTCAGTTTTATTGTTCCTTCTATTTCAATACTAATACAATTCGTTCCCTCAAAATTATTGCGCTTCATTCTTGCTTATAGCAGACTTGCAGGAAAGTTACTTGTTTATTTGCAGCGAGCGTAAATGGAATAGGATGAGAGACAGAAAAAAAAGAAGAAAATTGAGAGGAAAATGGAAATCAGCTGCCCACAAAAACCAAGCATGAGAAGTCGCCATGCCCGGAGGCATAATTTTTACTAACGTCGCTCCGTTCGGAAAGAGGATTTTAGCTAGGTCTAATCTGGCGTGAAAACTTGCATATATCGCTTCAATCGCTTCAATGTAGTCGTAATACATTCTACTCAAATTTAAGTATTTGCTATTCCTCCACATTAAAATTAAGGAGAAGGTGATAAATGTCTCAGTATTAGCCAGTGGAAGCTAACAGAACATCAGAATTTCTCATGAAACCTATGCTCAACGCGCATGTGGCGATAATATGGTCTTCGGTGTTGCCATGTCCCTCAACTGAACGTTTTTTTTCTTATGGAGGATCTACTACCTTACTAGCATCAAGTTGAATTCCATTTATTTTGTAGTAAGAAAAAAAGACCTACATACTTCACTTTAAGTCAGAAGTTGGAATGGTGTCTATGCAAGCCGGGTGCGTAGGTCGCATTAGAGCTTTTTTTTATTTGTTTAAGTAAAACCCTGTCAACAGGTAGTGTAAAATAAGTGCGACCGCCAATTCGAAAAACTCGGAAAATTCTTGCAAATCGCCAAATTGTCGCCACTGTCCTACCTCGGAGGCTTCCAGATTTTGGCAGAACAAACACTCGTGTTTTTTTTTTTAACTATTTAGCTGTCATGATATGCAAGATATGTCTTGACAAAAATTCATTGGGAAGTCTAGAAGTTTGGCGCGCGATGGCATGGTCTGATTCTTTTTCTTTCGAGCCAAACGAATTTGAGCGCCGATTTTATTCAATTGTCTGTGACTTGTATCCTGGTTACAGTTATACTGGCGGCAGTTTGGCGGAAATATGGCTTCAACGAGAAATTCTCCTTCCGCTGCAAGTATTAAAGTCAGCACAAGTAGCGCAAGCGTTAACCAAAACGCAAAATATCATCCAGAAAAAAGGATCAGTTCCTCAGTAGCAATTTGCGCGAGAATTTTTCCACCTCCCTTCAGAGTAAGCTGGCTTGGTGATTGACATATGAATCAATTAGTGCCGTTTTGACGAGACCGCCGAAAATTTTGTGTTCGCGTAAAATTAGAAAATATTAGAATCCGCTAATACGACCCGACCTTGAGCTCTAATGTGCTTGTTAACTGCCTATGATTTGAATATTTCAAAATTATATACACAACGAACAAATGATGAGCAAATGATGAATAAACGATGCATGTTGAAACTTCCTGTTAGAATTCTTATCTACAAGCAGCCGCGTAATATTCTCTGTAAACAGCTCTATTAGGCTACAAATGATCATTGCGTTCCGTCTAAACATTATAACAGAAAAAGTCTCCTTCCGCTATATACTCTTCCTTATCTGCTGAAATCAACCTTGTGGGAGGCGATGTACTTTGCGTTGCCAGACCTGCTGAATTGCGTGATTCGACTGTCACGTACACAATGCTACCTTCAAACAATGTGCTCGTGCCATTTAAAGGTAACGTGAAATTTGTGGTGACACCGACATCATGGAAGGAAAGGACGTCTGTTGCGTATGGATGTTTGCCAACTGCAACTCGAAATCCGCTTATTCCTGATTCTTCATCATAGAAGCCAAACCAGTGAGCCCGCAGTGTTCTATTGAAAAGGTGGCAGCTGGAGTGAAGTCCAAAAACGTCATGCGTGCGGTCTGGGCTTACTATTACCGAGCCCTGTAGAAGGAAAACAAACAAAAAACAAACAAAAACGTCAATCACACCTTATTAAGAGATCTTTTGGAAACGGGTACTTTAATTTCCTTTTTTTATCAAGCAGTAATTAAAAAAAAACAACCTCAAAATAAAGACCTTTAATGCAACGAAGATTACCGCGTTTCTACGGTCGTTTAGCGAAAACTTTCTGATTACTAGATCGGGATAAAAAACTACTAAATATTAGTTTATTTATCGTTGCCTAAACATTATTGGTTTCATACCATATTTCCTTACCTTGGTGGGTGGAGTATCATCAACCAGGACCGGTGTGGAAGATACTCTTTCTGTGACAAGTCCAACATTATTTTCGCATCTCACAACAGTGTAGTACCTTCCACCCGCCACTAACGAGAGCCCTGTTGCTACTATGGCCGTTTTAAAACCATTATCTACGAAATCGCCTATTAAGTGAGTACTGTCTCGAATAGCGTAACTGCACGATTTGACCCCACTTTCCTCATCCTGGAAGAAGGTGACGTTTGAGATCAGAGAACAGTTTGGTACACATGATATGACATCGGTGGCCGGCAGCACTTCGCCAACAGACGGCGGAGTGAAGTCCACTTTTATTTCGTCCGATGTTGCCAACGTAAAGAGCCCTGCGTGATTCTGTACTCGCACCGTGATGTAATAGGTCTCTTGGTGTCTTGTTTTACAGTCATTGCAAGTGATTTCTGTCGTATTGTAGGCTATTTTAGTAATGGATTTCACCTGGCAGCCATTGGGAACTGTTCCCACGCAGAATGCTGTTTTCGATATGCCACTCTCGAAATCAAATGATTTCCAAGAGGCATGAAGTTTCGCCTCGGGTCCGAGCCACAAACTAGAACCACGCGTGAGCTTCAATGATGAAAAAAGATCATTAGATGGAACATTCACGAATCAAGACTAAAAAGTATGTTAAATATTTGAATTGGGTAGCCAAACATTTTGATTTGAATTGATGGACAGGAAATATTTCTCTTGAAATTACAGAAAATATTACCATTAAAAATGATTTCCAGGAGATTGAGGGTAACAGGTATGAAGCAATGAAGCAACCATTGCTCCAAGCTACTATGCTATCCACAAATAAGGTATTCATAACGCTACAGCAGGGATATTTACTGAAGTACAGACTAAGCGGACTTCTCATAGTACATAGACCATCCCATAGTTACTCCCATAAATAATCACATGCTTCATACCTCTGTTAACTCAGGTGGTGAAGTGTCAACGAGAAAGCCATCAGACCATCCATGCGACGTCATTCCAGCACCATTCGTGGCCTCCACTGTAATGTAATACCTTACTCCGTGTGCGAGGGTAAGATTCCCGGCCATCGCTGAAGTCATCATGCCGACATCCGTAAAATGTATGACGTCATCATTATCAGGGCTGGTTCCAAGGCCCCAGCGATAACTTGCTATGCCACTCTCGTGATCGCGGAATGGTTCCCATAATGCCGCTACTGCTGTCGTGGAGAATTGAAACTGAACATCAAAGAGGAGAGATAATCCATCGTGAACTACACCAGCATTTGGTGCGGTAGCGTCAACAACAACACCATCCGACGATGAGGTGCTACTAAAGCCATCACCGTTTGTACAGGTTACTTGACTGGTGTAGCGAGCGCCAGGAACAAGACTGAGATTTTCTTCAGTGAGGTTTCCACTGCTTTCCACGACTTTCTGCGCGACAGTTGAGTCATTTCCAAAAGAGGAGCTGTTATGTGAGACGGATTGCTCGATCAATACCCACGTGCAGCCAGCAACACCTGATTCTTTATCTTCAAATTCGTCCCACTGAAACGACAGGGTATTGGTCGAATCTATAAAGTCGACATCTTGGCCAATCCCATCTATTACAACGCCCAATGAAGGCGGTGTCATATCAAATATCAGTTTTTCTGACGACATAACAGACGTTAAACCGGCTCTGTTTACAACAGACACAGTCACATAATATGTAGCGCGGATTTGAGGCATAAATGGGCCAATCATACCCGAAGTAGACAAACCTGCAGGTATTGTTTCAGCCACACAAGTGAGGGGTATTGTTCCCAAACAGTACGCACTGCTTTTTATACCGCTTTCATCGTCTTTAGCTTTATTCCAAGAAACATCTATCTCAACGCTTTTTTGTTCGTTGTCCGTGACTCTGTGGTTGGTGATGACCTCTGTTATCAGGGGGGGAGTGTAGTCAACAGTAAAGCCATTAGACGAGCTTACACTGCTGAGTCCTTTAGAAGAAGTGGCTTTTATGGTATTGTAATACTTCTGACCTAAAGTTAAGACTTCAAGACCTGGTACGATGCCTTCCAAGTCTTTCTGAACTCTTGTCCTCAGCCCAATGCTGGTGAAACGCAAAATGTCATCCTCACCTGGAGCTGCTCCTATACCCCACGCATAGTCAACGACTGGATCCACCATATCGTCCATAAAAGGATCCCAGTTGGCACCAACATTCTTTACACTGGTCAGATAGTCGACGTCAACACCTTCTATAAGTCCATCTCTAACAACATTCGGTATGGGCCAGATAGACTTTACTCGAAAACCATTGGATCGAACAGTTCTATTCATTCTCGCGTTATTCCAACATGTCAGTACATTGTAGTAGGTTGCTTCTTTGAGGAGATTAAGATCAGCGTATTTCTGAGAATTCGAATGGGCATTTCTTTTCCCATAGGTTGAGTTATTTGTAACATTAACTTGAAGGATTTTGCTCTTCTCTCCACCCTCAATAATCCACATACATGATTGCACGCCACTTTCGGCATCTTCTACGCCAAACCAAGTCATAGAGACGTTCCACTCCTCAAGTACAATGTTATAGTCCACTCCTAATGCATCGTTTCCGTCAACGACATTACCCATCAGTGGCGGGCTTGTATCCAAAAGCATTCCATCAGAGCTACGTGTCACAGAAATACCAGCTCCGTTGGTAACGTGTACCGTTACATACACTCTCTCCCCCGCATAAGCACGACAGGTCGGACAGGTAATTGACATGTTGGCTCCAATATTTGTCATTGCTTTTATTTGACAACCGCGAGGCTTGGTTCCTAGACAATATTTGCTGTTCACTATGCCACTTTCTGGATCTCTTATGTTCTTCCATTGGGCCTCAATGGCCATCTTTGGTGAAAAGTAATCGATGTCATCCCCACTTGGGCCATCGTGAACGTCACTGTCAGCAGCTAATGGTGGAGTTGTGTCTATGACGAGTCCAAGCGAAGAAATTGTTGTACTTAAACCCGCTAGATTTGTTGCTATAACTGTCATGTAATAGACGTTTGCATGGGAAAGGCCGAGGTCGTTTTTGGTTACCTGCGTTGCCAGATGCACGTTCGCAAAGCTGACGATATCGTCTTGGTAAGGCCGAGTACCAATGGCAAAACGATAATTCTGGACAGCGCTCTCGTATTCGGCAAATGGAGACCATGTGGCAACAATGGATTCTGTGTCCGACTGATATTGGAATGACGGATTGCGTGATACCCCGGCTATAACAGGACCTGTCTGAATAGGTGGCGTGTTATCGATGGTAAAAATGACAGTTGTCAAAGCTTCGAGACCTGCATTGTTCATACAAACTACACTGACATTGTAACTTTCACCGTGAAGAAGACCTGTCAAAGACAGAGAAACATTACCCGAGGATGCATTGCTCTTCTCAAGAAATAAAAGTTGTTCCGCTTTGTCCCTAACGGAGATGTTGCAGATTTTTATGCCACTTTCTATATCTTTAAACTCGCCCCACGAAACGGCGATGCTGCTGTTGCTAACAAACATTTTTCTTCCATTTTGACGTGATGATTGTCCAACTTTGACTTCTCCTGGATTCGGTGGTGTGCCATCAAAGACCATTGCATCCGAACATGATCGCGAGACGAGACCAGCTCGGTTTCGAGACGTTACAGTTACGTAATATTTTACTCCGGGCGTAAATATTAGGCTCGTCATCGTAGTGTTGGCGTAGTTGGACCGGCCAATGTTAATGAATGTTTGAACTTGAGTTCCACATCTACTCGTACCTATGGCCCACTTGTAGTACCAAAGTTCACTTTCGGGCTCGGAGAAGCTCTTCCAGTAAACTGCGATGTTAGATTCAGAAGCCGAGTAGAAAGTATTGTCTTGTTCGTTATACCTCCATTCAGCCTGTGACTCGAAGCCTGGAAGAATTGTACTCGGTATTGGTGGAGTCCTATCTGGAATGACACCATCCGAAACCAATTCCCTGACAGAGCCAGCCTGATTTGTCACTTTTAAATGCACATAGTATTTTGTTCCACTGAGTAAAGTAAGGACTCTCTGACTTCTGACATGTGTCGAAAGACCAACATTTGTGTAGTCTTGAACACTGGTTTTGTCGCTTATGCTTGTACCGATACTCCATTCAAATTTTTCTATACCACTCTCTAAGTCCCAGATCCCTTCCCAGTTAGCGGCTATTTCTGACAGAGACGGCTGATACTTTAGATCTGGTTCAATGACTCCATCGTGCACAATACCTTCGCTTGGAGGACTAATATCGATAAGCACTCCGTCAGAGCTCATGCAGTCGCGTAGTCCAGCATTGTTCACAGCACAAATAATGAAGTAATAGACATCATCAGCTAGGGAAAGACCGTGGACGGTAGCTGAGTTATTTAGTCCTGCGCTCTGAAACGGAGACACACCTGCAGTACTTCCACGATTTCTGCTTACTGCATACTCATAATACTGGATTCCAGACTCGCGATCCTCAAAACCATCCCATTCTGCTGACAATGCTGTGGTATTTTCTTGATGGTCGATGTCTGAACCTGAACTTCCGTCACGCACTTGCGCAGCTCGTAAGTTCGGAGGAGTCCCGTCGGCGATGAAGCCATCCGAAGACACTTCGGAGCTTATCAATCCAGCTCTGTTTTCAGCTTTGATTTTGACACAATACTTTTGACCATTTGCCAGTGTGATGTTAGTTAGCATAAATGAAGTAGCCTCTGGAGGTTCAACTCTTAGGAAAGTATTTCCCGTTACATGATAGTTACCAGGGACACAGCTACCGACAGCAAAATAGTACTGCTTGACTTCAGTGTGAGGTTCTGGGAACTTTGTCCAGGAACCGTAAACATGCCCCACGTCTGCTTGATATTCGATATCTACATCAAATTTTGGCCCATCGTAAACGATTCCTTGGAACGGAGGTGTAGCATCAGGAATGACAATGACTGAATGAGCATCTTTATACAATAAAGCATTATTGTATGCTCTTATGATGACTTGATATGCCTTTCCTTCGGACAGTGCAAGATTGTTAAATGTTGCAGAAGTCGGCAGACTAGATCCTGACACTATTTTGAAGTCTGAGTTTGATGGCGACGTGCCCAAGGGCATAACAGCCCAGTCGTAGCGCTTGAGACCACTGTGGGCATCAGAAAAACCAACCCAGTCAACTGATATGGACGATACACTTGGCACGTATACACATTGTGTTCCGTTAATGAAGTCATCCTCACCGGTTACTTTGACTTGACCAGTGAACACAGGATGAGTCGTATCCACGGTAACACCATCAGTAGTGACGTCAGTGGTTAGACCAACTGCGTCGATTGCTCTAACAGTCACGAAATACTTCGCGTTGTTTCCTAACATCAGTTTGGTATGTGTGATGTTTGTCGCATTTCCTACTGACGTCCAAGAAACAACAACGCGTCCACTGCTATCTGTTATTCTGTATTTGTACTCTACGATTCCGCTACCTTTGTTCCCGTCTGCGAAACTCTTCCAGTGTGCTGCAATCAAGGTATTGTCTGATTGGTAGTCTACATCACTTATGTGGCCATCACTAACAACACCAGCTTGTGGAGCATCATGGTCTATTAGCACGCAGTCTGATTTGACTTGAGTGTACAGACCAGCTTTGTTATAGCCTCTGACGACCGCGCAGTAGCTTTCCTTAGAAACAAGATTCAGGTTTGTTGCAGTTGAGGAGAGGTTCAGAGCTGCGGACTGGAATGACGTGATTAAACCAGCACCTAGCCGCTGTATTGCCAATGTATAAAGTGAGATAGGGGAATGAGGATCTGTAAAAAGGTCCCAGTTTGCGGTAAACGCGGTTTTCCATTTGGCGTACTTGAGATCTATACCAAGTTGATTGCCATCATAGATCCTGCCCGCTATGGGTGGGGAAGTGTCAATGATGACTCCATCGCTAGTGAGGTCGGAAAACAAGCCCGCTTTTGTGAACGCGCGAACGACGAATGTCACCTTTGAGCCATCTGTAACGCTACTGAAGGTCTTGCTTGCACTGGTGTTTAAATTTGCGTTGGTAAATGACTTAAGCTCAGTTGTCTGATTGTTGTTAAAAGAAGTTAGGAGAACTTTCCACTCATACTTGGCAACACCATGTCTTGTTTGGAATCCTCCCCAATTTACCTGCAAGAACTTGGAGGCTTGGTAGCTTAGGTCAGCTCCGGGACCATCGTGGATCCACCCAACTTTAGGCCTCGATGTGTCAATTGTGATCTCACCGCTGCAGATAAGCTGTGGAATGTTATTTCTTAAATCAGAAGCTTGTATTGAAACTTTGTATTTGCTGTTATCTTGAAGATTTAATCCTGACAGCGCTTGTTGGACATTGTTATTAGAAAACGTCCCAGTCACACTAGACGCGTTGTTGCAAGTAGAGGATGCTGGTAAAAGAAACCATTGAAGTGTCAATGCGCCACATGAGACGGAAAATCCTGTCATCTGAAGGTAAAGTTTATCTGTATAGTACTGAGAGTGAATAACTGACTGAAATGTTTGGTCCCTAAGTTGTGCTGTGCCGGTTGTTAAGGCGATACTATCTATCTCAGCACCAGGGCATGTTCCAAGATTTCCGTCGCACCTGCGGAGAATTTTACCACTGAAGAATTATTTAACAGGAAAAGATGTGTTTCAGGAACGAATGTTGTTAAAAGCTAAAGATTTTGAGAAGCTCCGCCCTGATTCAATGCAATGATTTTTTTCCTTAAAGCTATAATTAGAAAAAAAAAGACAACAGTAGGAATTAAAAAGAAACTTAATTAATGCTCATCTTTGACTGTTTAATGCTCTTTGAGAGTACTTTGCTTGATTCTTTCTCATTTTCTTCAAGGATTAGCTTCCTTAACATGAATTCATGGAACTACCTTAGCGAGAACTCTTGCTTTTTGTTGTTTTTTTCCTCCCTCTTACATCTCGCACCCACAAACCATTTTTTACCGTTCATTTCCAGTGACCAAAACTGTAACCGTCTTTGAGTTTACTCGTTGTTCATCCGTAGGATGTAGGGTGAAAAAACAGGCAGCAATTTAACTTAACTTAGTGAAAGTCGATTCTCTCTCGAAAAAAAAATCGGATTTTCAACCAAACAAAGTTTGCTGAGATTTTTTTGACATCAAATTGAGTTTATCTAGGCTAGTCAATAGAGTTTTGGGGAATTAGTAACATAGCCGGAAATGCTGGAAATTTTCGTAACAAATTAACTGTGGCTTAGCGTGGCGTCTGATAGGTGAGGAGATTGGCTTGCATATCAAACGAGTAAGGTTCTTCTGTTAAAAAATCAAGAAAAAAAAAAGGATTTCGAGAAGCTAAAATCGCTCTTCCATCATGAATGTCGTAAGATTATGTCATCACTCACCGTTCATGCCGATCACAAGCGTCTAAAGCTGGGCGGCAAATTGCTCCACTTGGCCTCATGATCGCGCGGCAAGATCCGTCACCAACACACTGAGAGGTTTGGATACAGCTTGTGGCGGGATAAGAAGCTTGGCAAGAGTAACCTTGTCCAATGCACCTAATAAGGCAATAAAACGAGAGCCCCTCTCTTAGTCAAGTGTTCCTATCCATCCCTAACTGTATCGCATTGGTTCTTTACATCTTCGGTAGTTGATACTCAAGGGTGTTGGTTGATGTTGGGGGGTGGCAGGTAATACATTACAAGAAAAAAATAATTAATTACTATTGTATACATAAATAAACTTTAAAAAGTGCTTTTCTCCCCGATACTAATTAAAAGATAGAGAAATGGAAAGCATATCGACAAAGTCACGGGTTTATTTTGTCAGTAAAAGGAATATCATTTTCAGTTCCGTCTTGCAATTTGGAATGGCCTCTTACCCTTTGCCTCCATGAAAATGTAATGAGAAAAGACCTCGTAGATATTTGGAAGATTATGATTGTGATTTTTAGTTCGGCTTTCACTGATTGTTTAAAGAGAGCAATTTTTTTCGTCAGTTAACGGGTGTTACTCTTTAACCTCCCGGAAGTGATTAACATGTAACTTCCCCCTATCCATAACCATACATTATCCAGCATGCAGGTAATGAGAATACTCAAGCTTATCAGGTAGATATTGTTATCTCGATCTTACTCCAAATTCTTGTAACTAATTTACAAGGGGATGTGTAACATCCAGAAGGGAGAATTAACAATGAGATCTTGGGAGGTAAAGGGTTAACGATACTAACTTGCCAAGGTTACACGTGTCTTGTTTTGTGCAATTGTTGCCATCATCACAAGAGACCGCAGGGCGATGACTCCAAGCACTGTTAGCACGAGCTACTGTATCGTACAAGTCACACCACTGACACGGATTTAATGGATTCACTGCCTGGTGACTATGGTCCTGGCCTGCAGCACGAGCAGAAAAGTTATCAGATAATTTCATTTGCTCAAAAGACTGACAATGAAAACGAGATACCAGCCGCCAAGTGACATTCTACGTTTATTATTGAGATAAGATTGCGATAAATCTGGAAGCTAGCAACTGATTCCAAAGGATAGCCATCAAGGATTGATGCACCATATTTTGTATTGGTATGTTACTCGTAGCGAGTATCGATTGCGAGAGAATGAGTATAACATGGAGCAATAAGACTCACCTGCTATCTTACACATGCACTTGCTGTTCGCAAAACCAAATCCAGTTTTCATACTGCAACTGTTTCCATTACAGTACTGGCAAACCGGGTTGCAGTTGTAAGGTGTGGCCGTGCACTGGCCGCTTTGACACGTGTCTGCACGTGTGCATGGATTACCATCATCACATGCTACGCTGTCCCGATTAGACCACGTACTGGTACTACTGCTAGGGTTGCACGACTGAAAGAAACAACAGCGAGGAAATTCAAGCGAAGAAACGACCCTCGTACATGAGCGTCAATTAAAGAAACACTTAAATCTTATCCGCAGGTCACAACATCACGTATTTCAATTTGTTGCCATGAGATTCCTTTAGACAAACGAGGAACCTCTTTCTTGACATTTGACTTCGTAGCTCACTTGGAAGAAGGGCTCTTTAAAGGATACGGCAGACCTTCGAGGGACGCTTTGTTAATTTTTCTTTTCATGTCAAACTAAACACTATTTTTTTCCCAGAAAAATTTAGGTAAAATATGGAAGCGCGCGCTATTTATTTGCACAAACATATTTTCGAACTGAATTCTTTAGCTCGCTAAAGCATGAATAGCCAATCATACCATGTCAATATAGAGACTCCCTAAGGGTTTCTTACGGCAGAACAGCCTGGTCGCGTAAACATCTCCTGATTTCGGTTGTACGTGGAGATCTTTGCTAATTGTTTGCGTTTAACTAGAATGTGAATGGCGAATGATAAAGGAGAAAAGCCCCTAGGTGAAAGTTGAAAAAGAAGCCTGGCTGTCAGCACAAGAGTTAAGAAACTCGATGCAGAATGGCGAAAGAATCTCACCGAAACGGTTGAAGACTCGTGAATTAGGCAATCTAGGCTGCTCGCACTCGATCAGCAACCATAAGGTTTGCCGCGGCGTGCCTGAGCTGCTTTTCACTTGAAAAAAAAAATAAAAAAAGGGTTGAAATCAAAATTGCTGTTCAGCAGAATTGAAATCACGAAAAGTATGTTTTTGCAGAAAGTCTTCTGAGAATCTGCAGGGTGCTTCTGTGTCTTTTTCGGCGGTCGGCATGAGTGTTGACATAACTCCCTTGATAGTGGTCACTCAAAGGCGTGAATTGTTGGGAAAACTTTGAAAGCAAAAGTAGTCCTACTTGAATTTTACGCGAATGTGCCTTCTTTGAACTAATTAATACGGACTGCCTCTAGAATTTGGTCCGAAGACTAACCTGAAAAACTACACGGGAGAATTCCGTAATTGCTTGGCCTCCGACTCAATGCGTATCGGTAAAAATTTTGACCAGCAAACTTGACAGATAAATTACAAAGGAACTTAAGAATATCGAAAAATCCCCCACCCGATTTTGAAGACTAACCATCAGGACTGAAATTGGGCAGAAGTTTCATCTGTGCGGTCAGAATTGATATGCAACTAATTCGCTCCAAGAAATATCGTCTGTTTCGAATTGTTGTGCTCCATTAGTTTTACGACTAGTTCAAACTAAAACGAATAATTCTTGCCAAATGGTAACATTTTCATTGATATATAGTTCATGGTGCTTATACTTCAAATAGCGCGTTTTTTGTTTTTGTTTTTTTTTTTTTCGTGTGTGAAGGACACCCACGAAAGTCTATTGTATCCTTACTAATTGTGGGACAGACAAGTTCGAGTCCCTTCCAAGCCTTATTTTTTCACATTTTCTCTCTCAAATTTCTTTTATTGCGGCTTACCCTTGCGGATCATTCTTTTTTTTTTCAGTAATATTCACTGGTCAAAATATTATTTATTTCAATTGATCGTAAACAAACAAACAAACAAAAGTCTTAGTCTGAACGGTGGCGTACCTGACAAGGATTTCCTTGCTTGGAGTGGTTCGTTGCGTAACATGTTCTTTGGCCCCCCTGTTGTATTATGCAATATCCAGGCTCGATTGGACAGCCGCTGCCGTCATGTGTTTCACAGGACAGGCAGTTGTAAGGCGTTCCCACGCACGTGCCACTTAAACAGCGGTCGTCCTTTGTCTTCAGATTGGCGTCGTTGCACTTAAGGTTATTGTTGTTCTTCCATCTATCATTTTGGTTACTGTCACATTCCTAATAAGATCGAGAGTAGCATGAATAAAACAAGAATCATTTGTGTATATTTCATCATTTAAACGACTCGTAATAATCCTGATTATAATTACGAAGAGTTTCTAAAGGCGACGTTTCGAGCATTAGCCCTTCGTCAAAGTGAAGGGCTAACGCTCGAAACGCCAGCTTTAGAAATTCGTTACAGTGACCAATTTGCATTATAAACCCAGTGGGTAAAACCAAATTATATTATAATACTGACACAGCCCGCAGTTTCTCTAGAAACCTTATATAGTCATTGATTACAATAAGAATTATTTTCAGAATTTGTCTTTTTTTTATGAAAGATTTAAATGTTTTGACTACTCCAGTTGAGAGCTCAATGGCATATTCGTATGTCCATTTTTTGTTTGTGAAAAATAGCATTTTGATGGTTTCATCTAATAAAATTACAACCTGAAACTCAAACCAACCTTCGATGTGACTCTGTTAAAATTTGCCTTCCTCTATTCGCCCTTTTAGACATACTCAATAGTATCATCCCTTCATTTGGTCTCTACAAGACGATTCAGTATTTACACATATTTTTCCCTTCTTCGCAGAGGGCTTTATTGTTATTCCTACGGGAAGTTCAACATTAATTTTATGAAAGATACAAGGATGCCAACCATATTACCTGGCATTGATGACCTGGTCGAAGTGCACCGTGATTGAAACACTGCCGTGTACCTCCTTCGTTAATTACACAGTATCCCGGTTTCACGCGGCACGCGTCATTGTGGCACTCCTCGCACGGGAGACACGAGAAAGGCGTGCCGGAGCAAACCCCATTAGAACAGCGATCGTTTTTAGTGCATGCTATGCCGTCGGAACATGACAAAGCATCGTTGTTTGTCCAGGCGAACTTATTGTTGTTGTTACAATCCTATCCAACGACAAAACACGATTCAACAACATTAATCAGTTGGATCACGAAGATGTTGGTCACCTTTGTTTAGCGGGCTAGCAAAACACCGAGGAGTTCATGAAGTTAATTGCAAGATAGAGAGGGTAATACTTCCCCACGAAAAGTTTCATTAAGAATAGGCATTTTCAGGAGTTATTAATGAAACTTTATTCTTTACTATGTAAACTCTGACATTCCTGGCCTGTGTAGACCTTTTAGCGAAAAAACGGAAATTTAATCTACCCTTATAGACGTCTCAAGCTTTCGTTGCAGCTTTTAAAATTAATCAAGATGTTATCCTACGTTAATAAACTGCATTTCTCTCCCTCTATCCGATTAACAATGCGTATTGTGATTACGATCAATGGCTCTTCTTCTAAATAAAATTAATAATAATCAATATGATTACGTATTACTAATATACATGAAAAATACGCATCAAGTGCAAAAATAATATTTATTCAAACCTGTGTGTTCGGTCAAAACAACCGCGTACGATCAAAACAATAATATACAATGATATTTTCACATCTTTTAGGTGCAAGAACGTTCAGAGTCCGAAAGTTCAAGGAATTGTTCAGTCAGTGTGCGAATCACTTTCGATGAGATGGAATCGTCGTTTGCGAGGTTTAACCATGTTTGTTTTTAATTTCGGCGTAGAATCGCTCGAGCAAAGTGTTGGCTGGGTCAACACGTAATTTTCGATTTCCTTGGCAATTCCATTCTCTAAACACCACTTTTCCCAAACCCACAACCAAAAAGCAGTACTTTTTACATCGTTTTCGTTGTTAGAGCTGTTTTTCAGGTGCTGTATTGTTGTTGCAGTGGCGAAAGAAAACCTACTTAGAACGCGGGCCATTGTTTCGCTCGCAAATTTTTAGCATATCCAAATGTTGCGACATCCAAGGCTCGTAATTGATTGGCTATCTGTGAATTTCTTTGTTTATTGACCAATCAGAATATCCGGCTTGTTACTCATTTGCACTGAATTAACCCTCCTCTGCATTGAATTACCTGAAAACTGCATTTATCTTAACCAGACAGAACTGAGTAATTTTTGCATGTATCTTATTAATACAGTCATAGAAATGTTACCTGACACTGATTGTTAGGGTTCCTTGTACCATACGCGTGACAGTGATTGTCGATCTTACACTGCCTCAAGTCACATCGTGTACCCAGCTTGGTGTAGCAAGATTTGCATTTGCATGTGTAACTGCCATTTGTGTTGATGCAGTTATGTTGACATGGACTGTTGATGCACTCATCAACGTCTGTTGAAAGACAATAAAAAGGAAATGTAAAGATCTTCAACAATGAGCGAAAATTTGTAAGCTACTTATATTTTGTAAAGAAATAGTAATGATAGTAATGATGATCAAACAATCAAATTGCTGAACATTACAACTTCCTATCACACTCGATATTAAAATTGTCAAAAGTGCTGCTTGATTTTCAATCATTTAAAAAAACCGATTTTTATTTTATGAATTAAATGTGCGTTATTCAAGATGAGGTCAAGATGGCTGGATATCAGTCGAGGTCTCTTCTTCTTGCGTTTTTATGGACTGAGGCTAACTTGAGGTACATTAAGACGTAAAAAAGAAAGTAAGACTGATATCTAGCCATCTTGACTGGATAATCTTGATCAGTAATGGAGTTATTTGGCCTGAATGAGAACCAAGAATGACTTGTTTATTTTACGAGCGCTGGGAAAGAAAGCCAACTTTGACGGCGTGTGCTCGTTTTTTTTTGTACTCGACCCATGGAAAAAAAATAATGATTTGATAACTTCATACTTCATTGGTCGCGAATTCAACTACCTTGGCTGGAGGCCGAATGTTTATCAGTCCTGGTAGATACCTCGTATTCCTTAGATTTTCCCAGTTTAAACAGTTGGGATCGCTGAACAGTCTTTTCTTCGAGTTTACTGGATAATTTATTAAAATCCAAAACATTTCTTGAAATTTTCTTGAGGCACATCACAGTAAGAATATACCCTTTAAAATAAGAGTAACGCTCTTAAACAAACAGGATATACGATTTTCGTCCTTCCAAAATAAAAGGATCCCTATACGATATTTTGAACCAAGTTTTGAAACAGGAAAAATACTATACGGCCGAACAAGTATAAGAAAAATCGATTTAATAAGATAAATAAATACGCATTTTAGAAGCAGTTGTACACGATAAAGGATCAATTATGCGTTGGGTAGCAGAACATTTCAACGTCTCGCAAATCTTGAGTTTGAATGGTCTGAACTGACTTTTTCAAGATGCTCACACCGAGACATTGGTCCATTTCGCAGCCTGAATACGCCACTTTTTTTTAGGAAGGAGACTCACCTCTCGCGCAACATATTCCTTCGTATCCCAATCGGCAACTACATCCACCACTATTCGGGGTGCCACCGTTTTGGCAGTTACCCCTGTTACACGGTTGGTCCTCTTCCAAATGATATGTACATTGTCCACCGCACTGCGCGGAAGAAGTTATCTGTCGTGAGCGAGTCTCTGTGCCACTCGTTCCACAATGATGGGAGCAAGAACTCCAAACACTCCAGCTTCCAACCTGACAGTTTACTGGATTGCACACCGGTGGGCTTCGTCTTCTTCGTCTTCGTCTCCGCCACCAAGAGAATATCGGATTAATCCCAATACACAACAGCAGAAAGCAAATTGTCAAAATGCTGATTTTCATATCGCGTTTCTGTCAGTTGGTTTCTTAGTAATTTCTTTATAGTTAGACCTTATCAGATCGTCTTAATTTTTTTTTCTTAGCCTAAGAGCTGCTCCCTCGAAAGTAAATACTTCCGCTACTAAGGGAAGAAAACTTCCAACTGTTGTTGATGTAATTTTTTCCTAAAGCAGTATTATGCTAATTTTCAATAGCGCTAGAGGGCATTGCTGCTTGAAAGATACTTTTTTCGGGAAAGTGCATGGTGAGACGCAAAATTTCTCAGACTTTTCGTGATTTTTTGGCAGTCTCTTTGCTAGTGAGACGTTTGTGATGTTTTGGTAGTCTCTTTGCTGATGAGACGTTTGTTATCCTTCAGTGAATTCTTAATAGTGTTATCAAAATACCCCCTGCCTGGCTGTGCTTTTACCTTTTATTAGGCCGCTCGTCTAAACATGCACAAACTGAATTAACGACATATTCGAGGCTCGAAGCAGTGCTTTACGACTTCTAATTAGGGAATAACCAAACTTTATTGAAGGAAGAACAAACAACTTTATCCAGGTTGGACTACTTGTACTAATATATTCATTACTTGTACTAATATATTCATTGCTATTTATATTTTAACTTCATTCAACTGTATTATGCTCAATTAGCGGTGCATGACTTGTGGTCTCAAAGTAAATCGCACATTATTCTTTGTGGGAAGAGACATCTCGATTATTTAGTGATTTACTCTGTGTCGCTCGATTAGCAATACATAACAAATAGCATATAATGAGAAATACACAAGCTTCATAGTTGAGGGTTACATTTAACCTCACCACAGCTCGATTTGTTATCATTTTCTCTATTTTGATCAGTTGGCAATTCGTGATACATGGCGAGAAGTACTTCACTTTTGGAGGTGACATTTGACATGGCTTCAGCTATGCTAATTTTTTTTCTCACCTTGTTTTCGCAAATTCTTTTGTTTTCATTTAGAAATGCGTCGCGAGTAGTAAATCATTTCCACAAAAGGCAAAACTACAACAGGAAGTGTTTGCGTTTCAGCTTCGTGGAATTTGTCCATTGTTAATGAGCTTTTTAATAAGTTTACAGGATGAAGGAACAAAGTCTACAAATACGTTATTTGCTCAGAAAAACATAAGATAGCAAAAAACCTTTATCACCACGAGAAATCCTTACAAGTTAAAATGAATTTCTTAAGGCACAATATTAGGCAATATCTTCCGGTCTCGTAAAAAGTATTCTATTTTACAACAACATCGTTTTGTTAAGTGATTTTGATTGCGATGGTGTTCCATCATCTTTCGTGATTCCAAGAGTGACAAAATTTAAAATTGCAAATTTAGGAAGCAGTAGCTCTTCAGTTACATGGAATGTGAGGGTATATTAGCATTATAAACTGAGTTGACAACGTAAATTGGCCACAGCAAAGGGTTTCAAAGCGGACGTTTCGTGCGTTAGCCCTTCGTCAGAGCGAAGGACTAACGCTCGTAACGTCAGCTTTTAAACTCTTTAAGGTGGCCAATTTACGTAATCAACTCAGTTGATAATACTAAATTACCCTGTTATGCTCTCCCACCGACGCAGCACCACAGTTTCCTTAGAATCTTACCCCTTTATTCATACGTGAAATATGAGCCCACTTCTAAAAACTTTCTATGTAACTTAAGGTCGAAGATTGGACACAAGTTTTTATATTTGTATTCGCCTGAACGGAGCTTCATTTTTTTTTTGCTTTAGAAACATTTTAAACAAATATTAATACTTTCTGGGAAATGATAATCATGAGCACTTTCGCATGTTTTATTGACTCGATAGATTAATAAACAAATGTATAGTTTCCAGTCATGCAAAACATAACATAGCTTTGTTGTGCTTAACTTTCTGCCCACTAAGAAAATGAAGATTAACTTTAACCATGTAGTTAGTTCTCTGAGGCGAATATATTTCAATAGTTAACCGCAAGATACCACGATATAAGTGGAATTTTTCCGCGAAAACCATTTCTTGATTTGCATAATAATGATGTTTGCTGAACTGGCTCTAGAGGAATCCTTCATTGCTGAATAAGAAATTCGTTCAACTTCCGCTACTCCACTGTCTCCTTTGTTCCATACATTACATTCGAAAAGATGGTATGTTGGCTTAATCTTGGTGCTTGACTCCGTTGTTCTGGTAAACGAGAACGTTGGCAGTTACCGTGGATCTGAAAGATTTCATCTCCTGCTGCAGTTCGAATTGAGCGCCGACAGTAAATGTATCCGCACAAACAATTTGAAAGAGAAGAGCGCAAAACTACAACAAAATGAGCAACAAGTTCCTTTTCGCCTTTTATTTTATTTTACATGTAGAAAGTTTGCAAGGGAAAACTGTCAATCAGAAACCACTACGACTAAAGCCCCTCACCAAATGCACGTACGATTACGAAGTTACTGTTTACACCGCTCGAGGAGAAAAGTCCACCCATAGTGATGGTTACCAAGTTCACGCTTTGGTAAGTATGATTCATTTTCTTTAAAAGCGAGTGATCTTCCCATCTAATATTCTCTAATCCCTATTTCATCTACGACCAGCGTTACAAAATGTTCAAATTTTCTTCACCCTCCATGTTGGTTACGTGTCACATCTCCGCTTAGTATATTTGTTGTGGATAGTTCAAATCCAGTAGTTATGCTAAATTGTGTGGAGGAGAAAAGTATTTTTCATCCTAATTGTGTTTTTTTGGTACCCTGCATATTTTATACTAAAAATATCTGAAAAGATCCTTCCCTTGCTTTGCCACAGTAATATTGCTAGGTTGTCTTTTTATGGAGTAATGTTACCTCTTCTGAACTACCCTAGCTCCATGTCGACTTGGGTGTCTTTGGGTATTCATATGTTTACGCTAATTAATGTTGAGTCAATCGTGTTAAAGTCTTACTTCACTCGGGAATGCAGCTATATAGATGAATGGCCTTTTGACGAAATGTGTGAAAATTTCCTTTTTTGCGTTTAAGAACGATCGATAGCACTAAATTCCAATAATTTCCTTCTTAAACACCCAAAAGAAACTAAGAACTCGAAAGGCTAGAGACAAGTAAAAACGCTTTTGCATGCCGATCTTTAAATCTTAAAATGTGCATCCCAGGTTTTAACTTTTACATGGAAAAGCGGCATTCCAATTCATGGTATTTAACTTACCACTATGATATATAAATGGTACATAGAGTGTCAGCGCTAAATAAAAAACAGGTGAATTGACTTTTAGATCTACGTGTTTAAGCACGTCTGTTAGCATCCGCAGACAATTCCATCACGTACTTAAACACACTCTCAAAGTCGATCGATCAACCTCGCGTTAAATGTAAATTTAGAGCCTTCGGAGTATACCTCTTATTGAAATAGTCGACTTTTTGCAGATTTCGATCTTGATCTAGAGAGCAAATAGCAGAATCTGCCATATAGGAATTATAGTCACATTCCATTCTTTCTAAGAGATGCCTGACCTGTTACAATTACATTAGAACTTTCAACTTCAAAACAGCCTAACAAGGGATAAAACACCAACTCACACTTACAAGGAAACAAGTGTTTGTGGACAAATTCTCTTTTTGAGGCTCTGAAAGTGCATTTTTGAATATATGTAAATTATATTTGAAAAAAATTAGCGGAAAAGTTAGTCTAGTTTGCCACGGATTGTGGTTACGCACTCTCGCGTGAATTCCAAGGAACTCGCTTGAAGCAATTGATACGAAATCTATTTTAAGCAAATTTCTGTTCTTGTCGAAACATGCACTGCATTAATTAGCAAGAAAAATAAACACATACCTCCAGGACACATTGCTCTTGGAAGCCTGCTTTGTATCTCATACTTTCGAAAATTAATAATCGTAGAAAATTTTCTTCAAGAAAAAGGGTTTTCACGCAGATATGACGATGTACATCTTTAAAAGTTATGGTTTATTCGACTCTGATCACACATGCTTATGAGTTGTAATGTGTGGTTGGGTCTTACAGCCTTCATTTTCTTACCTCATTATTTCTAATACTTATTTAAGGCGAATGCTGTTAAAAGATTCATTGCGAGTCAACCTAGGCGGACGGCATGATGTTCGAAGCAAAGAGAAGGTCTTTGACTTTGGTGCCACCATGCATGCAACAAATAGGTTGAAAGTACAAGAGGTTGTGGTATCGTAGATTGGAATTAAAGCTGCGTGTACGCCAGCAAGAATTTTCTTGACAAGTTTTTCTAGGAGCCAGTTTCAGCGGGAGTGTAGATAAAAAAAATGAACCTTAATTGGCCCGACCCGTAGCAAATAGCCGGTTTATTTAAGAAAGACGGAGAATTGTTGAGGGCGAAAATTTGCAGATGTTTACACATTCACGAGGACAAAAGTTAGTGAAAAAATTAACAAGCTTTTCTTCACAAGTGCGCTGAAAAAGAAGGTTTTAGACTTTGAGCCAAACTTGTTTTTATTACTGACTCACTTATGCTTTCTGAACATGAACATGTAAAGAAAGAGAAATATCTGGAAGAAATGATGGCTACATCGTGCTTTCTGGGAAAAGTATACAAACATGTATGATTAGAAGGTGAAAACAAAACTATAATAGGAAATTTAATCAGTCATTAAAAGTCAATCTCCATAATAGCTATAGCTAATGTTTACTTCGGTGGCTCTTCACATGAAGCAATGTTTTCGCTTAGGTCGACTTAACACCAGCTTCATATGACCTCAATGGGAGACAGCACTCGTACCTGATCAAGCTCGACGTGCGGGAACCCCGCGTAAAACGTGTACATCGAGGGCGTGTTCCTGCTAGCCACCCTGTCAACGAAGAGTTTGAAGAGCAGCTCTCAAAGCCATTTTACTTCCAGCAGGAAGATCATGGTCCCATTAATGGCGTCTTTTTTCCAAAGAAGTCTGAGTCACCTGAAATTGCAGCCTTCAAGAAAGGTAGGGAGCAGTGAGACACAGTATGTTACCAGATTTTGCAACGGTATTAGTTTTTCAGACATAATTTTTGACAGGATAACTACAATCGCACTTGTATTTTGTAATAATTTCAAAGCCTTTTCGATTAACAGAGAAAGGGCTCAAGATATCCATGGTGATAAGCCACTTTCCAGCCATATTTGCATGTAAATGATTGTGGCTGAACGGAAACTTAAGAAAGAGATTCAATTTGTTACCTTTTCATATATATCTGTCCAAAATGAGATTTAAAAGAAACAAAAAGCAAAAGAAAACAAGTGTTTACTCAAAGTGCACAGATTTTTCCTTTTTTACTTGGAGACTTATTTGGCAAGGAAGAGTGCTCAACTGATTATTATACGTTCGTCATAAGCCCAAAAATGTATGTTTTTATGAGTTAGCTTTAGTTCATGCTATACAAGAACTCAGTTTAACAAGAGGGGAATAGTAGTTCGGCCCAGTTGCATGCTATTCTCCTCCCATTACCCATTGTTTGATCACAGGTATTGCAGGCGCATTTCAGCTTAATCTAAAAGAAGTGTATAGATCCAACATCTATGAAGTGCAAGAACACGATGATTCTGGAATCTTTCGAACAAAGTACAGGGTTATTTCAGCCAACGATACACACGCTCATCTTCATCGCTCCTGGACGAACCAAGATTATCAAGTATTTGCAGACGGTACCCCGGACAAAGCACACAGGGTGCAGTCTCAACACAACACGCATATTCATGTGAAAGACGGAAAGGTAGAAAGAGTTCGCCGAACTAATAAAGCTTTTTTTAGACCTTCCAATGGTCATCCTAGAGCAGACAATTTCGAGGGTTTTAAAGGCCAGGAGCAAGACATTGAAATGTCCACAAAGGGATTTAGCAAACTGACGTTAAGATCTTGTCTAGGACCTGAACACCATCGTTCCAAACGCTCGGCATCAGAGGAACCGCATGTGAAGATAGCTCGTACTCTCAACAAAGACAATCTTTTGTTTACTGATACTGGGAAGATAAACTGGTCCAAGATCGGTGGAGAGAAGAAAAAGTCGAGACCTTTCTATGAAGTGTTGCGCTGTTTCACCGACAAAAGCATGAAGGAGCGTCAAATTGCTGATTGCTCTAATGAGATGCATCGCATGGTTCGCGAGGACAAAGAAACTTTCCGAATAATTAACAGACTTGTTCGGGAACGGAGTCACCAAAACATCACGTCGTGGGCAATATATATAGCAACGCTTGCCGGACACGGAAACTATCACGCCCAAAACACTTTGGCGGAAGCCGTTAAGGAAAATTACCCTCGAATCCTAAGCAAAGAAGAATACGAAACACTTCTGATTGGAATATTCTACTTACCAGAAGGTCCACTTCACTCACAACTTTTCGATGCCTTATTGAATCTTGCATTAAGAGAAGAGAAAGGAGACGAAGTTACATCAACGGCGATGCTTGTCCTAGCCGGACTAGCTGAAAGAGCAAAGAGATCGGGATACAACGAGACTTTATGTGACAGAGTCGCCGAGATGATCCACAGCAGGTACAAAAACAGATCAACACTGTTTCATACCGACAGCTTGGACTACGAAACACAGCTGAGAGACCACATCTGGGCCTTTGGAAATCTTGGTCATCCTTCCGGACTTCCCGTCATCTTGAGACATATTAATCACGAGAATTCTGGTATTCGATCAGCGGTGATCTCAGCGATGCGAAAACTTCCTATGGAAGACACGAATCAACACTTGATGCAAGCGCTATACGTTGATGAACATCCTGAAGTAAAAGCTGCAGTTGTTGATATTTTGGTTGAGCGTCGCCACAATTTAAGCGATTCAGTGGTACAGGGGCTGGAACGTGCGTTATGGCAAGCCGCAGAAGGTGAGACTCTGGATTCTTCGATTATTCAACTTATTGAAAACCACGGGGATCACCCTAAAGCAGTTCATTTAAGGAAAAGACGAAGAGAAATTCATCGCCAAAAACGTGCTCTCTTCCAATTCCTTCGTCCAAGAGAGTTTGCTCTTGGCCCTTCAAAGCGATGGTTGAAGACCTATGGTGGTGAGTGGCTGGGAGCCGAATCAGTCATACAGTTCATTAATCAAGTAAAGCTAAGAATTGGCATTTTTGGTGGAAAATTTGAGGTGAATCTTGACAACCAAGCTTATATTCAAGCTCACATTCTCAAGTTTGGATTTGATGTCGTGCGAGGTAAAGCTACTTTCAAGGCTTCTGCCAGTTTCAAGAATGATTTCCCGAAAGACCTCATCCACGTCATTGCTGATACTGGCGACAGTCTCCTTAGGCAGTTTGATAGTATTACGAGCGTGATTGCTGAACAGATAAACCAGTTTATCAGCAAGCTTGCTGGTTATTTACCGTTGCAAATAGACAAATTTATAGAGTTCGTCAGCAAGCTCGTTCAATTTGTGCAGAACCTGGTGCAGCCTTTACGACCGATTAATCTGATCGGAAAAATCATAAAGTTTACCAAAGATGTTCTAAGCCGCCTTAAGGACTGGAAGTGGCTAAGAGACATGATAAAGAAAATACAGCAAAGTCTCGGAAGGCTGACTGCCATAGACTACGTTTTTCAAAAAGTTATTTCATCTCTGGACAACATCCTCAGCATTCTGGGTAAAATAACCAACTATTTGCCTCATAAACTGCCGGAAAATTTCAATATCAAGACACTCCTGGACATTCTTCGCTCGGTCTCTGTCGACCTGCATTTTGAAAAAATCAAAGAGTATTTCAATTCCTTAGGGATGTCTGTTCCTGGCGGTTTCAATTTCCAGCTTCCGTTCAAGTTCTCCATCCACCTTTCGCTTCCTCTGGAAACACTTCAGCAAACTTCCTTAAATCTTTTACAGTTTGCCAATCGTTTCCTGGATATGTCTTCTTTGCTTGATTTTCTCCAAAGCATTAGATTCCCAAGATTACAGTTACCAGACATGAACCGACGATTCCCTTCTTTTAATTTGAGTGGTTTTAACTTTGGTCTGCGTTTTGATTGGCGAATCAGCCTCAAGTTCAAGCTCAATCTGAAATCAATGGGCTTCCAGAACTTTATCACTATTTTAGAGAAACTTGGAGCCTTTCTAGTACAGTTCAAACTCTCCGGTTTTGATCTCGAAAAGTTTTTTGAAGAAATATTGCCTGGCAAGAACTTCGATCTTGGAACACTTTTTAAAGAAATTTTGGGCGGAAACTCCAACTCGAATTCTTCAAATTCGGCTGCAGCTCTGCAAGAATTCCTAGAGAGTCTTTTTGAACTACTTGACGTTCAATATGGAAATGTGTTAGCAATAGCTGACATCACAGATTTCTTTCAGGAGCTTGGGCCGGCAGTGGAGCAGTTCACGAAGAGAAACGTGCAGCGTATATGTGGAGTGTATAAATTGGCTTTGAATTCATCACAGGAATTTAGAGAGTTTGGAGTAAACGTTGAGCAGAAAGGAATTCAGGTGCTTCGGCTAGTGGAGAATACCACCCAGAGTGCACTAACGGAACTACTAAACTTTACTGTCCTTGTAGATTCTCTAATAGACGAAATTCAGCGCAACTTTACCACAGCTGCAAAAGGATTCGTTTTAGACTCGCTGCAAGAGCTCACAGGCAAACTGAAAGATATTCGGAATCTTGCAGATGATATAGTGGACTTTGCCAACGGGACAGCCTCACAAGTCAATGGTGCATGCACCAAAGCTACAAATTTCTCCGCTGACATAATAGATAAAGTACAAGAAAACGCTCGTGAAGCACTCATGGAGTTAGGATCGTTCATTGGACCTGTCGCCACTAACATAAAGGCGGTTGGAGGACAATTAAAATCCGCCGTGTCTAATATCGAGACGTGGCATGCAGAGAATATGGCAGCTCGTGTCGGGAAGATTTCTCGCGTTGCCCAGATAATATCAGATTTCCTTTCAATTCTTAATACAAAGAAAGGGTTTCTCAAATCCGTCCGTGAAATAGCTATGAAAATCAACGAGGCCCTAGCGCATCTCCGGAATCTTCCAGAGTACGCGACTAAAGCAAGGAAAACAGTAGATGATATACTTAACTTTGCAGACAGAGCTCAAGACTACGAAAAAGAGATCAAGAAGCTTGATATCAGAAAGCAGTTTGGACTTGACTTTGATCAGCGAATAAGAGATGTCTGCAACAAGTTTAAGACCATCGCTGCTGAGACGCTCGATAAGTTTGGAAACTATGACATTGTCAAAGAAGTTGATACGTTTTTCAACAAAGAGGCTGATAAGCTCATCAGCAAAGCCATGTCAAAGTTTCTTATAATTAAAGAACCGATTGACGAGATGCAAGACGAATTACGAAATATCAAAGCCATGGTACGTGAAGTGATGGGTGTCTTAATTGAGCTTAAGCCTTTCACCAACAATTTTTCGCCTATTCTAGAGACGGCAGGTAAACTACCCGACTGCAAGCAGATCAAGAAAATACTCGTAGAGAGCACCAAACCATGCGTCCGCAAAGCTTTTGGGGTTGGGAGATACGTCATCGATCAGTATAAGGACTTCAAGAAGGAAGTGAGAGTTCTATATGACATGGTTCCGGCTACATGGAAGAACTTCAAAATACAGAAGTGTATCAAGGGTGGAGGTTGCATTTCCGAAGCTTTTATCGATCAAGCTAGAACCATCAAAGATAAGGTTGATGTGCTTAAAGATAAGTTTAAAGAAGCGAGTGGATACACTGACCTGCTTGAAACTTGCAAACAAGGAGTTGATAACATCACAGCTGTTATCGACACGGTGAAACTATTAGCGGAGCAAGTCCGGAATTTCTCCCTTAAAGATGATGTTCAAAGAGTAAAGGCGGTTTTCCAAAAGATCACTGGCCGAAAGGCTGAGAACAAAGAGGGGAGTGGCATTCAAAAGCGCTTCGTAGGAGAAGTAAAAGGACGAATCGAAAGAATTGTGGACTATATACAGAAGGCAAGGGAAACTAAGAAGAAAATGCAAGACTTTCTCGAAAACACATTCAAAGCAATGAGAAATGTTTACGATGATGCTGTTCTAGAACATATCGAAGCCGTTGAAGATGTGCGTTCCAAACTTAAACTATCATACGAACTGTGGAAAAAGACAAAGAATATCAACCACGTCCTGGGAGGACTAGGTACTGTTACCCAAGGTGCGTTACAATATGCTGATAGCTTAAAAGGTGTAACAAGTTCAGTCTCGAGCCCAATCATCGACCTCTTATCTGAAACAGGAGAACTCAGTGATGTCGTGAAGCCCTTTCTTGACAAATATGCCACCAAATTCACTGATACTGTAACAAAAGTCAACAACTTTATGGACAAGGTCACAGACTTTCTTAACAAGCTACAGCTGCGACAGAGAGGATTAGACCCCAGGGCCTACAAACCGTGGGAACAAATACCCTATTGTTCGGAGGAAGTTTGTGTACGATCAATCCAACGATCGTCATCACTCTATCTAAAGACCATTTTCACTTGGAAGTTCCCACATCTAGATGACCTTTCCTCCATGGACAAGAGTGGGCGTTGGCTGATCCCAGGTTTGTTTGATGACTATAAAGTAGAGGGAATTTCAAGGCTCTCCCAAAGCGAGGTTATTTTGGGTATGCATGGAGTCTCTAGCAACAAAGGGAAAGCATCACTTTTAGTGGTAACCAACTTTGGTTATGGAGTTAAAAAGATAATTCAACTTGGTAGTCAAGGAAGCCCTCTGGTTGTAAAAATAGGAGGAGTGGCTATTGCTCGAGACTATATCTGGATCAGTGACAGCGCGTCAAACAAAATTTATTCCGTAAAGAAATCTAGTGTGACAAGTTCGTTCCGGTCACCAAAGCCATCTTGGGTTGGTTTGTCCAAATCTGCATCAGTTGAAGGTACCGCAACCTCTCTTTCTTACGATGAGCTATTCAATTTCCTGTGGGTAACAGACGGGAAAGGTGGAAAGGCCTACGGCTATAAGCTATCTGCTAATGGGGATCTGTCTCCTTCTGGCTTGACACCCGACAGAGTAATCATCATCGGAGCAAACGCACAAGGCATGGCTATCGTCAGACAGTTCAGTACCGAGTATGTTTGCATCTCGAAATGTGCCATGATTTCTGGTTTCCAATGTAAGCTCGAGTTCCATGACATCAGTAATGGTGATGAGACTGGAGAAGCCACGCTCTCTAGAGTCGTCAGAACCCCTTCGGGCTTAGAGTCGGTCTGCAGAGTTGACAGTGAAGTAATCGCAGTGGTGTTCTCAAGTGGTACTTATGCTGAGAAAGATAATGTAGAGCTTATAGGCGGAGACTTTGAAGAAAGATATTTCTATCTCAGACTTCCGATTTTGAAAATGACTTTTGGAATCCAAGAGAACTGCTTGTTCTTTTCGGTTATGAAGGACTACATTCTGCGACCGCGGAGGTTGGTTCCATTCGGAGACATGATTTGCGGAACTACACGAAAGCGAAGCACCTCCCAAGAGCTATTGGAGTCTGATGTTTATTCGGAGCAACTAGAAGAAGATCATAAGAGCAATAGGAGAATGCGCAGGCAAACCTCAGATCTCGGATCGTGTATGACCTTGTTCCGTGGAAATGTTCTTAGGGGATATCAGCAATTCCTCCCTGAATATTCACAAATCATAGTTGTGTTTGGCATACCAGTAAAACTGTTTGCTGGTGCTGGTGGCTATTATAGTGTAGACTTTCAAGGACAAGTTTGTTTAAAGGACAAGGTTTTTCGTCTTGGTCTCATGCCCGGAGCTTGGATCTCTGTCTACGCTGGTGCCGCTTTATCACTCTTTGTTGTAGAAGCTGGAATTACAATTGAGGCAAGACTTTTGGAGACCCACTTAATACCAGACCTGTTTATCAAGATTGATAAGTGGCCATTGAAAGCGTGCATCGAGCTAAAGATGCGAATGACACCGCTTCGCATAAGAGTCTGGCTTTGGTATAGATTCCGTCTCTGCTTCCGGTTAAGGTGCTGGTTATTTGGCTGTAGTATAAACAACGGATGGTGTGGAAAAAATACCATCTGGGAGTGGTGGTGGTCAGCGAGAATGATTGACCAGACGCTCTTTACAAATTGTCACCAAGATGTTGACACGACGCCACCTATCGCTGGGGAATGTACGGCAAGGCAAGCTGCTGACAAAATATATTTCGTACAGTGGCATGGATTCTCCGAAGATACTAAAATCAGCAACTACCACGTTAGGATAGGATCCATTCAGGGTTCTGGCGATGACTACTCTGCATGGGTGGGAACATCTTTAAGCATAGTTGTCAATGATCTTCCAATAATGCACGGAAGAGATGTGTATGTCAGCGTATTGGCGACAAATGACGTGGGGCGTGATAGTAAGTTGGTTAAATGCCCTAAATTTACGGCGAGACGTAAGAGTCCTCAGATTCGGTATGTCTACGATGGTGTCAATGAACGCCAAGATGTGGATTATCAGTCAGATACATACACTTTAGGTATGAATTTTGCCTTTAGGAGCAATATAAAGAATATCGCATACATAAAATGGGGAGTATCGTCCTCTACCAACTGCACGTTTGACGAAGCTGAAGCAGATATCGTTCCCTTGACCACTCTCGGTGACTCAACTATTATCCAGACTTCTGGCCTGAATTTGAATCACGGAAAAAAATATTTCACACGCCTTTATGCGATGGATTTGTTAGGATTAAAAGCAGTCATGTGCAGCGATGGTATCGTGATTGACACAACTCCACCTTTTCCTGGACATTTTCAAGATGGTGCTGGTGAGAGCGATGTGATGTTTATCCCATCACTGAAGCGCATCCGTGGTAAGTTCGACCCTTTCAAAGATCCCGAGAGCCCTATGGTGAGATATGAGTGGAGAATTTTGAGAAATAACACCAATAAAGATGTTACGTCATTTGTGGATATTGCACTCACTCAACAGACACCCTTCATGGATGGCCTTTCTCTTGAGGCTGGTTTAGCTTACAAACTAGTACTCCGTGGAACAAACGCAGCAGGACTTCAAACGGTTATTGAGACAAATGGGTTTGTGCCAGATAATACACCACCGCATTGCGAAGAGACTGCTATTGACGTAACGAACGATGAAGATTTCTTTGATGTCGACTTTGTTAGAAAATTAAGCAGTATTCAAGCAAAATGGAAATGTGTTGATCGGGAAAGTGGCATTCGTGCACAACTGGTGGGAGTTGGTACTTATCCAGGAGGAGATGACGTGAGAGCATTTGAAGATGTCAACTTTGTTACCCACAAAGTCATCCCAGGTGGAATGCTTTTTGCGAGTGTCTCTGATGTCAACATTCTTCCGCGAGTTAGATATCACGTCACCATAAAGATCATAAATGGAGCTCACCTTAAGAAAACTATTTGGTCTGATGGCATTATTATTGACAATACACCGCCCTCAGTCGCCTCACAATACATTAAAGACGGCGTAGAGGGGAAGGATAAGAATTACACCAGCGAAAGATACACCTTCAGTGCGCACTGGGAACAAGCATTTGCAGATTCAGAGAGTGGCCTGATTGAGTACCGCGTTGCTTTAGGGACTAGCCCTGGATTCAATGACGTTCAGAATTTTAAGACAATTGGCTACCAAACCGGAGTGACCATTTCAGGTCTTTTCCTAAGCAGTGGTCAGCGTTATTTTGTTACAGTTGTTGCCTGCAACGGGGTTGGTATGTGTATTAATGGCAGTAGTAACGGAGCCATTGTAGACTTTGTTCCTCCGCACACTGGAAAAGTGATCACTGGATCAACTGGTCCTCCGCTTTTGTACCAGTGGATGACTAAATCAGTATGGGCAAGATGGAATTGGTGTTTAGTGGATGAGAACAGAGTATCTGGACCACTCGATCCTAATCAGTGTAGAAACGACAGCTTCTATGATGTACATAGTGGCATTGCGGGTTTCGCTATTTCAGTGGCCTCTTTGAAGAATGATGACCTATTAGCAGCGCTTAAGACGGCTGGACGGGTTAGGGTTACTGGGCGTAACATTGACCTCGAAGATGGAGTTTACTCAGTTGTAATCGAGGCAAAAGATAAAGCAGGTGTTGTTGCTCGTGGTTTATCAAATACATTCATCGTTGATAGTACTCCCCCACTAGTTACGTATGTTCAACACGGACATTTCGGCGAAACACTGTCAGCTATCAGGAAGTTACGCATTACTTTCAGAGCTTACTTTGAAATTGAGGATGATTTATCAAAAGTTGCGAAGTACAAAGTGGGAGTAGGAAGTTATCCTGGGACTGATGACGTCATGAAATTTCAGTCAATTCTATTAAGTACACCAGCTTCTTCACTGCAAGTCAACTGGACAGCGTTAAACTCGTTTTCCGTGGAAAACAACCGACGTTATTTCATTACCATTTGGGCCATCAACAATGCTGGACTGTTTAGCATCAAATCCTCGCCCCCTCTACTCTCTGACCAAGAACCCCCAAAGGGTGGAATCGTCCTCGACGGATGGGGCTCAGCTGATGCCCAGTATCAAAGCTACTTGACCCTTTTCCGTGCCCATTGGTATGGCTTTACTGACTTCTCTGGTGTTGAAACAGTACTATTAGGTTTATCGTGCAAGGCAGACTCAATCAGCTGCGATGTGAGAAAGGAAGAAATTGTTCCATCCAATACCAATTACTATCTGTTATTCGGGCTGAATTTGACTTCTGGTCACAAATACCACGCATGTCTCAAGATGATAGACAGGGCTGGGAATCAAGCGCTTTTCCATTCTAATGGTGTGATTGTGGATAGCACTCCTCCCCTTCCAGGCTTTGTGACCGATGGAAGACCTGGAGCGGAAATTGACCAACAAATCGAGAGTTCAGTTCTTCGAGCTTCATGGTTTAACTTTACTGAACAAGAAACAAGAATATTAACTTATCAGCTGGCATTCGGCACGTCTCCTGAAGCCCAAGATGTGCAACAATTTACAGATGTAGGGCTCGTAAACACAGCTTCAAGCTCTAGATTACAAATTTCAGAGTTGGCAAGTGGCAGTCGTTATTATGCGACAGTGATTGCACTCAATCTGCTCGGTATGCCCAGTAAGATGGTTTCTTCCAGAGGTGTTTTGGTCGATTTCACACCTCCCGTTTTCTCAAAGCCTGTTCTCGATGGTGACAATCCAAATCAAGACTTAGGTTTCACCACTGGAGGTTCCTTGGCTGCCACATGGACCTGCGATGATCCAGAAACATCGTTAGCGTCCATAGAGATTGCTTTTGGGTTACAGCCTGGAGAGGTCGATTTTATGAACTTCACAAGCTTGCCGATTCACAAAACATCGTTTACAGTAGCGGGCAATCTTCAACTGGGATATCGTTACTTTGCAACAGTAAAATGCACAAACAATGTGGGTCTTAGAGCCATTGCTGTTTCAAAAGGCGTTGTCTTTGATGACACTCCTCCAGATTTAATTTATGTCCAAGATGGGGAATACCAATACTCTACAAGAAACTTGACAGTAAAATTCAAATTTGCTGACGCGGAGAGTGGTGTAAAAGAATATGCAGTGAAAGTATTCAGCTCAGTCGACGACGGTTACGGGTCCTTTAGTTTCAACGGCAATGTTTCTATAGCGGCTTTGATTTTGGCCAAAGATCTTGATAGTGAGAGAAGGTATTTTGTCAATGTGACAGCAGTGAACGGTGTTGGGTTGGAAACTACCGTGAAATCAGACGGATTTACCGTTGATATTTCACCTCCAGTATGCCTACATGTATGGGATGGTCAGAGAGATCTTCAGCAGGACTTAAAATACGCTCCAAGCTCAAGCAAACTAAGTATTTCGTGGGTGTGCTATGATAATGAATCTCCCATACTTCGATATCGTTTCGCAGTTAAAAGCTTGCGCACAAGCGAATACGTTATTCCTTTTTATGCTTTGAAGACACCCGTAAACTCCACAGGGTCTGTAATAATAACGGGAGGAGGTCAAATTTCAACAGGATTTCAAGAAGGGGAAACGTACGCCGGTGGTATTGAGGTTCTTAACGCTGTCGGCCTGTCCTCAGTACATTGGACGGATGGTGTTATCATTGATAGCTCCCCACCTGAAGTGAACGACTTGAAATTAACATATGACCCAAATAATGATTCTGTGAGCGCTTCATGGGCTGCGAAGGATGACCAAAGTGGACTCGAGTTTGTCGCATGGGGATTGGGAACTAATCCAGAGAATAACGACATAAGAAACTTTTCAAAAGTGCCAATATCCATGTCGACCGTTTTGATTTCCGATATCCCTTCGTTATTCGGTTCGACGTACTTCTTGCGGCTCCTTGCTGTAAATAAAGCCGGCTTATCTAGTGAGACGGCATCAAATGGCGTCGTAATCGACAGAACCGCGCCGAACCCTGGCGTTGTGGTTGCTCAGTATGTTTTTCCGAGCAAATATGATCGGAACAAGAATGAAGTACCAGGATCATTGATGGTGGTAAGTTGGACAGGCTTTACAGATCCTGAAAGTGGTATTAGACAGACCAGCTGGGCCGTTGGTGAAGATCTTCTCTCGCTTAAATTAAGTAGCGGTAATTTTTATACCGAGATAATCGCAGACGACTCAGTGGGCGGAGTGGTAATCAATAATCAAACTCTCGTCGAAAACAAGACTTACTTCGTCTGCATTCGAGTCAGAAATGGCGTTGGACTTCAAAGAACTGATTGCTCGTCTGGATTGTTTGTCATACTTGGAAAGTTTTCTGCTGGGGTCGTGAGCGATGGCCCAGTAATTTCAGCGAAAGATATTGACTTCCAACTAGATGACAAAGCAATTTGGGCGCACTGGAGTGGCTTCAAGGATCCAGCATTTGGTATCTTCAGGTATGATTGGTGCATTAGGGATCAACCGCCTAACCCCTCTGGTCCTGATTTTTGTAAGTGGCCATTCTTGGAGTCATATCATCTGAAAACGTCCACTAACAACTTCCACAACCTGACACTCGAACAAGGCAAGAAATACTATGTCACAGTCAGAGCTGAGAATAACAGAGGAGAGCAAGTCAGTGCTTCATCGGATGGTGTTGTCGTTGATCGAACGCCTCCAGTAGGAAAGTCACTCCAAATATCCCCCACAACTGGAAAAGGAACTATGTATGTGAACACACCTTCTGCCCCTGTAGTCACGTGGTCCATAGACGATCTTGAAAGCGGTATAAACCATTTTCTTGTCGGAGTAGGTAGTTTCCATTTCCAAGACAACTTGCTAGGTTTTAAACGTGTAGACAGCCTTAGTCGCTCCATCGACTTGGACCAACTTAATTTTACTCTACACCAAGGACTTGTGTTTCACGTAACAGTTATTGGAGTCAACATGCTTGGCCTGAAAACCACTCTGACATCACAGCAAGTTGTAGTGGACTGGACGCCACCACAACCTGGTCTTGTAATTGATGGTAATCTAACCTCCACGGGTAGCCAAGAATTCTTCGACATAGATTATCAGCGCGAAAATGGGGTACTGTCTGCTCACTGGAAGGGATTTCAAGATACTGAGAGCAGTGTTGCTGAATACAATTGGTGTGTTGGAACGACGCAAGGTATGCAACTGACTATTTATATTCTTAAAACTACTTTGTATTCAAAGGGATCTCGCCAAAATAGGGCGATATTGGGATCCGTGAAGTTTAATTCAACATTCCTGCATTATCGTGGATATGAAAGAAACCACGTTTCTTTCTGTTCCAGCGTTCGGTATGAATCGTTGTTGGCGCACAAGGGTGATCACTTGAATTATGTTTCATCAACTCATATTCTGAAATGTCTTTCCTTCCGTGAAATGCCTGTGGCAGGCTCAGGCAAAGGTTTGCCTGATGTTCCTTTTTTATTATCAACGTATGTTTCGCGAACTATTTATCCGTTCGCTATGAACTATATGAAATAAGAACACCTCTTTTCTGAGCACTTTCACCATCAGTGTGACTTATGCAATATTTGTAATTTTCATATCACGCAGGAGCCTGTGACGTGCATAACATGACATCTTCAAATCCTCTAACAAGTGTGCATCCTTCCATTATCCTAAAGGAAGGCCAACGGTACTTTTTTACAGTGGAAGCTATCAATGGTGTTGGCTTAAAAGAAACAGCTTACTCTGATGGTGTAACACTGGATGCCACTCCACCCAATGTAGGGAAAGTTTTAGTTTTCTCCTCGTCTTTCCATCGGTGTGATGATTATGATAATTCTTCTTGCGATATTAAGCAACGTAGCAATCGTTTGTTGTCGTTTTCCTGGGAAGCACCTTCTGATGAGGAAAGTGGAATTTGTTTTGTTGAGTGGTGCGCTAGCTCGAGAGCTAAATCATGTGATATAGTCTCGTGGTCAGCTGTAGATACAAGTATAACGTCGATCGAGCACCCTCTTCCTCAGCCACTCGCATCGGGAACTGTAGTATTTATTAGATTAAAAGTTACAAATTGCGTAGGAGTAGTAGCCACCGCCATCTCTAAACCGCTGCTTATTGATAACACCGAGCCAACAGTTGGTGCCATTATAGTTGGAGACACGATGAAAACTAAGTACCTGCGGAAAGACGACCCCATAATAGCAGAATGGAGTGGATTTGTTGATCTTGATAGTGGATTAAGTCACTTTGAGTGGGCTGTATGTCACGCGGGTACTACAAAAGACTGTATCATTCCATTTGTTGATGTTGGACTCAAAAATAGCATACATAATTCTGCTCTAGACATCAAACCTGGAGTTTCCTATGTTGTTATGCTTCGAGCCCACAACAATGTGGGGTTGTTCAGTGAGGCTGTGTCTAACCAGTTCATACTCGACGTCGCGGCACCGATTGCAGGCAACATATACGATGGATCGAGCGAGAGAAATGACGCAGCGCTGCAGATATCAGAAAGTGATGTCTCCGCTAATTGGTCACCGTTTATCGATCCTAACAGCAGAATAACCGAGTACGAGATGTGTGTGGGAACAGCACAAGAGAAGTGCGACGTGAGTGCTTTTATCAGTGTGGGAACCGCCCTCAAAGGTATAATCACAGGTTTAAGTTTGAATCACACTGGAAAGTATTTTGTCACCGTAAGAGCAACAAATGAAGCTGGTTACAGCAACATTGCGGCCTCTAATGGAGTTAAAGTCGATAGTACTCCCCCTGTTGGGGGCAAAGTAAGAGATGGACAAACACTTGAAGACATCGATTTCCAAGAGAGCGGTGCGTTTATTTATGCTAACTGGGATGTTTTTCAGGATGTAGAGTCTGAGATAAGCAGATACACATGGTGTGCTGGAACAAGAAAGGGAAGCTGTGATATCATCCCTGTAACGGATGTCGGTGACAGCACAAGCGCTGGCCAGCAGATTTATCCATCCTTTGGGACCGAAATGGGCGTGTTCGTAACAGTAAGCGCTTACAACGGCGCAGGAGCAGTTACAAAAGTGACTTCAGACGGCTTTGAAGTAGACGGCACTCCACCTGTCATCGCAAAGGTAACTTACTATTCAAAGTCAGATTGATTCTTTTTTTTTACATGCAGGTCTTTCATAGAAGGATCGGAAAAAAAAAATCTTTTTCTCAAAGTAATGTATCTATTTTCGTAATGTGTAAGTCAATGTATTAGGTTCGAGCTTCTCCAAATTCGATTTGTTTGTTGAGACTTCTTTCTCTTTCATCGGATCAAAAATTTTCGAAGAAAACCAGAAAAATTGTTTCTTCGAGTTAAAGTCTTTCATGTAACTGAATTCCTTATTTTGGTTTTGCATCAATCCAAAGACCTTCGTTTAGTTTTATGATCGAAAGGTACCTAAGTGGCCCTCTCATTATTTAACCCGTGTATAATCCCTTGCAACTGAAAGTATTTAGAAAAAGTCCACTCCTTTCGTAAATTTTAACATTTTCATTCAAGTATGTTAATGCACCTTTACAGGTGGTTGACTTACACCGGGGATCATATTTTGTCGACAAAGACTATATCAGCGCCAGGGACGCTTATTGCGTCAGTTGGGAAACAGAGGATGCTGAAAGTAGTGTTTTAAAGAGCGAGGTCTCCATTTGTTCCGCTATCGACGTGAACAACTGTTTAGTAAAAAATATGGATATTGGAAACCGCACATACATATGCATTGCCGATTTAGAATTTCATGAAGGAGTCAAGTATGTAACAACGATTCGTTCTACGAACACTGTTGGTAGAGCGAGCGAGTTGTCATCGGATGGCTTCGTGGTAGACTCGACTCCCCCAATAGTGGGTGAAATCATGCACGTTGAAAATCCTCCGGTAGGCGAATCCCCTGAGGTGTTCACCGACTCGGAAATATCTGTAAAGTGGAGTGGATTCTCAGACATGGAAAGTGAGATTGAGAAATACTTTGTTTGTGTTGGTACCCAACCTGGGGAATGCAATATAATGAGCTTTGCTGACCTTGGGAACGCCACTAGTTGCATTTTGCAAAACCAGAGACTCGTTCATGGCGAAACGTATTTTGTCTCTATAAAGGCTGAGAACAAAGCTGGCCTTGTGAGCGTCAACGCGTCCTCTAGTGGAGTTACTGTTGACAATACAGGTAACCTATATGAATTGTGGTTTTTTTCCGGATATAAGGACGAAATTTATGGATCTAAAGCAATTTTTAGAAGTAAAATAAACTTTAAGGGATAGATCTTTCTTTGTTGCCTTTTTTATGCATGTATTTCTTTTCGACGATTTGTAGGGCTTTGACACACTAGGTCAACTTCATTTACAAATAACGATATCAGTTATATTCAATGGAAATATCTGTCTTATTTCAATGAGAACATTAAGCCCTCTTTAAGTCTATCAAATGCTGGTCGCTTTAAATGTCACCTTTCGCTAGAAATTTCATCGGCACAATTTCTCTTGTCATTATGGAGACCAACACGGCCGCATCTTAAAATGATGGACTGTTTTTGTTATCGTTGGTGTCATTAAAGCGATATGCTTTTTTCGGAAGGTCCCACATCTGAAGGACAAATTTTAGATGGAGCAAAAGAAGGTGAAGACATTGACTTTCAAAAAAGCAGGACTTTCATCGCAGCTCATTGGAATGAATTTGCAGACCTCGAAAGTGACGTCAAAAGTATCAGGTGGTGTGCTGGTTTGTCACCAGGTTCATGCAATCTTGTTCAAGAAACCGAACTTACTCCATCGAGTACCTCCACACGTAAGGTTCTCAACAAACCCGTAAAGAACGGTGAGCGGTACTATGTCACGGTGAACGCAGTTAACGGAGCAGGCGTTCAAACCTCATACATGTCAGATGGAGTGACTGTTGATGAGACTCCGCCAACTTCCGGGATTGTGATCTACGGAAATGGCATAGAGAGCAGTTATGTAAATGGAGAGGAAGATATTCGTGCACATTGGATTAACTTTGAAGACTTAGAGTCTGGCATCGAGTCCTATGAAATAGCTTTGTGCGACGCCCGGAGCGTGTCCATCTGTCCACAATCTTTTACTGGAGTGGGAAAAGCTACCAATGTTTCGATAACAGGTAAGATAAAAAGATCTGTATGTTAAGATATTCACGTCCGTTTAGGTGAGCCTCGGCGGACAAATTTTACAGCAACATGACGGCTTACCAGAGCAAGTTGTAGCGCCAACTCCAAGTCCAACTCAATTGCAAATTTGTCTGCAATAATTCTCAGACGCATTATAGACCTCTTAGTGACGAAAACCTTACACCAAGACAATTAAAAAGTATTTTCAAGGAATCACTATAAATTATATTCCCTTGTACTAGTTTGTCTTATATTAAAGTCAAATACACTAGTGATAGTGCATTTGATAAACAACCGACATGCTCATAGCCAAGCTATGAGTCAAACTTTAAGGAAGTGATCGATTTCTGCAAAATATATATTTGCTTATAAATTTTTGTGATTTGCAGGAGTAGACCTTGAAAGCGGCGGTCAGTACTTCGTCATCGTTAGGGCCTTCAACTTTGCCGGTCTCTATGCTCAAGCTTCCTCTGATGGATTCACGGTTGATTTTACCCCACCCTTGACAGGCGAAGCAAGGATTGGAACTGGACTCCAGCCAGCCAAATACCAATCAGATTTGACGAATTTGACTGTCAGGTGCAGTACAAAATTAGTCTTTGGTTTTCAAAATCGTCATTGGCTTGTTTGTGGATAACACAATTTTTATGCACTTCGTAAATCGATTAAGTAAGAAAACATTAAAACTATTTTGAAAATTTATGAGCAATCGCTGCAACACAGCACTTACACAACCATCACGCGAGAAGAGGTAACTCAGAACGCTACAGATCCCTTAAAATTCCTTTTCATCCTGACTTATCTTCGTTGGCTACCTTAATTTGATTATGTGCTACTGCGTGATCATGGAACTGGGCTGTATCCGATATTATTAGAAAAAATATTTCCTCCTCGAAACTCAAACTTCTGCGCTTGTAGTGAAGACACTCTTTCTTTTTCTAACTAGAATTACAATTTTTTTTGCGCAGGTGGGATCAATTTATTGACCCCGAAAGTAGAATATCTCTATATAAAGTTTGTGTCACTACTGTCCCTGGGAATTGTACAGTCACCAAATACATTGACGTGGGTATGGATGTCAGCTTCACTATTCATGAGTTAAATCTACTTCATGGCGAATCATATTTTGCAATTGTAAAAGGAACAAACCATATCGGAATGTCCTCGGAGATGGCAACAAACCAAATATTGATCGATTCAACGCCACCAGTTTTGAAATATCCCGACAACGGTCTGATCAACACTACTAGAGAAAATCCTACCGGAAACATTTCTGTTCATCAGGGGCTTCAGTTTCCAACCAAAACGACGATTCAAGGCAGCGATCACGTACGTTTCAAGTGCACTGAAGAATTACTGACTGCTGACTGGGATGAATTTGAAGATCCAGAGAGCCAGTTAGAGCGATATGACTGGTGTGTTGGAACATCTCAAGCACAGTGTGATGTATTAACTTTAAGGTCCGTGGAAAAAAGAAGCAATGGAGCAGATATAACAAATAGAATATCTTCAGGGACGCTGCTTTTTGCAACAGTATACGCCATAAATGGCGTAGGATTGAAAGCTCGTTTGGTATCTGAACACTGCAAGGTCATATCCGTTGCACCTATGGTTGTGGAAGTTATCGATATTCCCGCTTCGAACGGAACCACTCTCTCCGACATTGACTGGAAATCTATGGCCCAAAGTTTGTCACTCAGATGGGAGATATTTGGAAGATATTTTGAAGATATTTCACGTTTTCATATTCAGGTAGCTATCACACAGCCTTCTTCGAACCTGTCTTTGCCGCAGATTGACTCCGCGAAGTCCTGGCGTAGCGAACCGCTAGTACACGATTTCATGGACGTATTGAAATGGCAACGAAATGTGACTCTTCAGGGCGTGACTTTAGAGCCATGGGAACGTTACCGAGAAGTTGTGAGGGTCTGGAACGAAGGAGGTATTTACAGTGATTCTGCGAGTGATGGACTGAGAATCGAGCCTGCTGCTCCTCCAGAGCGTGGATTATTCCTCTCAGATAAGGCAGCCAAACAAGAGCCCCAACGTTGGCTCCCAGATCTAAGATTGCCTACGGTTAACGAGAGTGCATTAGACTCGGAGATAAGATATATATCTTCCCCTGGAGAGGTGGAATTGATCGTGAGAAGTGGCTTAAATGACTCCAGCAATAGAACAGCTTTCATTTTGGATCACAATCTTTTCAGTCCGACTAAGGAATTTAAAATTATTGTTCAAAGAGTTGCATCAGACACGAATGAAACCAACACCACTGAGGAGTTGCGCGTAATGGAAGTCTTCCCGGGTTTTGCCGATCCCGATGGTCCATGTTGTACCAGGCGCCCGCTTGATCCCCAATCTCTCTTCAGTGACACTCATTTTAAAACAACCATGCCCTCTTATCATTTTGGTGTTTCTATCGCAAGGCTACCAAACGATCATTTTGCTGTTGGTTCTGCAGATAAGGCGTTTGTTTTGCCCCTTCGAAACAGGGCTGCCAGCCACATAACATTGCCAGATTACATTGTTGGTTTTCCGACAACACCCATCACTGTGGTATCTCACGGTAATAGGTCCGTATTCATGGCCAATGGTAAAGCCTATATTTTTCAAAGTGAAGTCAATGACACCGGCGACCTTGACTTAACTAAGACTGCAATTTTGGGAAATTGTAGGACTGTATCAAGCGATATGTGTGACGCAAGCAACAAGTGGGCCGATAATGTGAAACATGTGATAGCCATCAATCACAATACGATCGCTATGACAGGAATTAACTCATCTACGAACACCAGTGTTGTGGCCCTTTTCCAGGAACGGGATGGTATGTGGAAGCTTGCGAAAGCTCTGGGAAAAGAAAACAATCATAATAACTTCGGACTTTCCTTGTCTTTGAACAAGCGTATCTTAGCTGTAGCGACAGGAGAAGGGAAGAATTCTTGCATCTCAGTGTACTCTGTTGAGATGTTTACATTGCTCATGACAATTCGCATTTCTGAGCTCGGAAAAATGACTACTCCTTTTTCACTTTTTCTTACGGAGACTGACGCGCTAATAATGGTATCTGAGGACCACAAGTCTGTAGATGTTTTACAGCTCAACATCACATCAAGTTCATACAAAGATGTATGCGACTTTCAAATCACACAAAACGAACATCTTAGTGGACACCTCGATGTCGATGCTCGAGATGGAGGTTACATCATCGCATTGGGTATGCAGACATCAGATGGCCGAGAGGGTGTGCTATTGTTAGGTTTTCATGGAATCTTTACGGACAATGAACTTAAAAAATGTGCCAACCTAGGACGTGTGATCGCACGAGAAAGTGGACCAAGAGTGGATGATGGAATTCCTCGTACTTCCGTTTCCTTTATCAACGATACAGTTTTGTTTGGTGCCCCAGATGTTATCGCATGGCCAGGACAAGGTGAAAATTCAGGTACTGGAAGGATTTATATAGCAACTTATTGTCCTGCTGATCATGTTCGGGTCAGGGTATCTCAGATAAAGGACATTGGGTCGGTGCGTTGCGTACCTTGCGAGACTGGACGGAAATCATTTGGCGGGTTCGCTGACATGTGCATGGAGTGTGAAGGAATGTCATGCTTAACACCTCAAAGTGACGATCCTTTCAGTTTTAAATCAAATATTTGTGACGCAGTTTCTTGTCATTCTCAATCGATTTTGAATGCATCAACAAACGGCTTGAACTTCTCCTTCGCAAAAAGATCATTTTTCGTCCCTGGCCCGGAGAATTTGTACACGGTGCAGTTGCTTGAAACAACACGAGCCGATCTTTCAACAACTTCTCTCTCAGAGTCGTTCGTGATCGATCCGACCTCCCCTAAGATTGGACTTGTCTATGATGGACTTGGGAGCGACCCAAACAAGAACTGCTCGGACAACTCGACTTTTGGCGAAGACAGTCAGTGCTCTTCTCGTGACTTTAAGGAAACGGATGTGGACTACACCAATAATACGGGAGAGGTACACGCCAGATGGCTTGACTTCCTCGACGACGAAAGCGACATCGTAGAGTACTTCTGGTGTGTAGGATCTAGGCCCATGACAGACGACATTCGGCAATGTGAAAGTACGGGATTGAGGCCAAACGGAAGTCATTACGGTCTTAACTTTGGGCAGGGTGACTATTACTACGTAACAGTTGTAGCCTGCAATGGAGCTCGCAGATGTTCTGCCGCTCACAGTGATGGCGTCACCATAGATACCACACCACCTGTGATGAATTATGTCAGGGATGGAATTATGGGGCCTGATATGGATTTTCAGGTAAAAAAAAAGGGTTGATGATATGTCATACCAATTCACCTTGTAACTCATGTCAAAATCCGTCTCACACTTTCCGAGTCTTACTCAGCCGATCGTGGTAAGAGGATAAAAAAATCCAGCTTCAAGTAAATTTGTGCTTCTTAAGCCATATCACAAAATGCACCTTACTCAAAATTACTTAAAGTTTATGAGAAGTTTGACTCTTTATTTATTTCATCGCTTATTTAGGCCTATACTCTGAAGTGAGGGCAGCACGAAGAGTTTGGTTTATTCCCGCTCTAATTCTTGTCATACATGTACGTAAGGACACCTATGCATGGCTTTCTTGTTTGACTGAGAGCAATTGTCTGATTTCTCAACGAAAACAATATTACTGAAATAAATGAGAGGTGTAGATATTAAGGTGCGCGAAGTCGTAAACTATTCACTAGCCTATCGATTGGTCACAACGCTTGCCACACTTACACCTGTTTCCTTTCCAGGTCTTCGTTGATATTATCTTTGCCTATTTCTCTGCAAGTGACCTTGAAAGTAATGTGACATCATATGAGGTTGCTTGGGGAACTGCCCCTGGTTTAACGGATGTCAAGGAGTTCGAGGAAGTTACGAACACTACCATATGGCTAGCTAATTTCAAAGACGACGCACTTGGCGTAGGCAATATATATTATGCCACTGTTCGTGCTACAAATGGAGCTGGCCTACTGTCGGAAAGGCTGTCGTCCAACGGAATCGTCGTCGGCAAGTCAGAATATATTTTTGATAACGCAACTAGTGCTGAGTTTTTCTTTGATACTGTGAATGTTAAAGAAGATGGTACTCGCAAGGATGGAGGAGTTGGAAAGACATACGGGACATTGACTGTACCTGAAGGTGCTGTCAAGGAACAGGTGAAGTTGAGATCGTACAGTTTGGATGACAAAACAATGGATACAAATAAGACCGACGAGGGTCCCGTTAGTAACCCTACTTACACCAGGCCCAAGGTATATTTTGGTTACTTTGTACTGTAGTTTTGTTTGTTCTTCTCTCTTTCTTCCACATCTTAGGTTATTTTCGATCACAATATTTGATTTAAATTTGGAAGGACATAATGACATATTAGTCTGTGCATTGATACTTGCATCAGTTGCCAATTGCCACAAGAGTGTAATGGGTGTGTTTCGCATGAGAGAAAAAAGCTCACTAATTTTTTTTTTATAATTGAACAGCAATTCATGCTTGGGAATTACAGTTTCGTCATCAAAGCGTTAGACCCACAGGACAACACAGTGAAAGAAGGCTTTAAATTTTCTAAGCCAATCACAATAGCCATGTTCTACGACGTTGATAACCTGGTGAAAGCCAACAGTAAGCACGTCAATAATGAAGTCACCAAAGAAGACATAGACCCTGTGTTGTATTTGTGGGATTCGAAGAATGACAGCTGGTGAGTTAATCGCTGGAAAGATTTTAAAAACGAAACATTAAAAAAAGAAAAAATATATGAAAGGACAATTGCGTTTAGAGAAGAAGTATTTGTTTACAAAGCTTTTGCGAACGCTTTCAGGTTTTGTGTAACTCGGTACTGAGTAAATGATGGCTTTATTGATTAATTAATTAATCTATTTATTGATTGACTTATACATTAATTGGATTAATTTATCGACATCAAGGCAAATCATTATCATCGTCATCATTCTTCTCGTTGTTTGCATAAGAGAAACTTACCTTTGCTGTTTGCCTTTTTGCTTTCATTTTGATGCTTAGGTTTGATGCGGCTCTCACGTGCCCTCAGCCCTGGAGTCACGTGAACAAGTCGATCAAACTGCTAACAGTGCGAGTCTGTCACCTGACTCAGTTTTCATTCCTTTGGTCATTCTACGCTCAAAATGGTTTGGTGCTACTTGATAAAAACAATTCAAGTAAGTGTGTCTGCTAAGCTTCAAGTGTTCCTTCGGAATACAAGATAAAGGCAACGAGTCCTATCGTAGTAATTTATTCCTGGTGGACAAAATTCAAAACTAATTCATCAAACAGATGATGATAATTGATTAAGGTTGTTAACTTAGAATACTTTCGATGAAAAAAACGTTGACACCTACAAACCGTTAACAATGAACCATGAGACCTAACGGTTTTTTGGGTACACATTTACATGATAACCACAACTGGTTGCTCATGGTCAGTGATAATCCAGTGAATTACCAAATTTTCCTTCTTAACTATCGCATAGGAACTGTATGGCAACCAGAGCGGTCAAATATGATTCAGAACTTGAAAGCTGTACCCATTTTTTGATTCATTGACATCTATACATTAATCTTTAAAAGCTTTATCTACATATATCTAAGCTTGCAGTTCTTCGAACTAGCTACTAAATACTTCTGGATACCTGAATTTCGGACAGTTATAAAGCGACATTTGACTGAATTACTAACTGGTGAATTTTAATATCACATTTCTCATTTTTCTGTGGTTTGCCTTTATCTCCAAGGCGAAATGACAAACTGATATTTGCATCTCGTGTCAAAATATCCTATCTCTTCTCCTTCTTATCCATAGTGTATAACGAAGATGGAGTAGTAAAAGTTACCCGCTCCAGACACGTCAAAAAACTGGAATTTCCATTACGAAGAGCGAAAGGTTCCCAGGGCGACATAACAGTACAATGGTCTTTGTACCAAAACGATTCATCAGACAGTATGGAGATCGTGTGGCCGAAATCTGGAGAAGTGTTTTTTACAGATGGACAGTGGACTGACTCGTTTATCATCAACATCGACAACGACGAAGAAGAAGGACAGCAGAGCGTAGTGTGGGTCCAACTGGACGAGGCTACAGGTGGTGCCGTTCTTGCATCACGTGATCAAACTACAACCAAGATTTTAATAACAGGAAATGAAAAGAAGAGTGGGGCCTGGAGATGGATTGTGACTGGGGTCTGTTTGGGGGTGCTTTTGATTTTTGTTGGTGCTCTTGTGTATTGGCTACGCAAAAGGAAACAAGAATCGCAGAGGTAATATTAGATGAGAAATCTTAAGTACATATTTAGATCAGTAATAAATTTCAAATTTACCTTGTAACCTACCATGTGGCAAAATATGGTTGCCTGGTAATTAGCTTGCTGCACTTTAGTTTAAGAGGTCCCGGCTAGATGAGTACCCGAAAACTTAACAGTAACGTAGTTTAAGTTCCCAACGAATCACCTTTGATATACTGTCGTTCCACTCGAAAAAAGAGGAGTTACTCTAAGTCCCACACAAATAATCGAAATCTATCCAAGCCTCAGGCATAAAAGTCAAAAGGCTTCGAAGACTTACGAAGATGCTATTATTGTACTGTTGCAGGAATGTGAGCAGCAGAACTGAGATTGAGGTTCCGTCCTGTAGTTCAATGCTTAGAGAACGAGGCTTGGCTGGTGAACAGATGAATTCTAGCGATGTGGATCCACCGAAACCGGTCCCGAAAACTGTTTCAGTAATGTATGGTGGTGGTACTGAGACACAGCCTGTCTCTCCCAAAGAAACACACGGGTGGGAAGAAACTCTTATTCCTCTTTGTATAGTATGTCTTATGTAGGATAATTTTAATATACTCTCTCGAGTAAGAGGAATCAAAACCAAATTGAACCCTTGAAGTAATCAAAATTAAATTTAGGGTGCGTTCCTTTGGGAGAATCCGGATCAGGATTTCTGATCTGTGGCGTCCCTTTCGAGCAAACCCATTTTCAGATCAGTGATCTATCAAATCCACTCTAGACAAGGATTCATCGGATAACTAATCTGCGTGATCTAAAGACGGATCATTGGATCACTGATCAAGCGCGTTCCTTTGGGCGAAGGATCCGAAATTAATCATTTTGCCCAGTGGTGTTCAATTTCAAGGTACTTCATATATTGACCGGAAAGATTGTTGGCAATCGCTCCAAATTCTGCGATAAACACGAAATAAAATCGATTTTGTAATGTTAAATCGATCGGCTACTGATCTCAGGCATTCAGGGTTCTCAAGTATCCATATCGTAATCAATACTTGCCTCTGTTTTCTTAATTCCTTTGTTTGAGTTTATCATGAAAAAATGTGCTTCTAATGATAGTGCTGTAGACGAGCCATCAAGGGAAGAGCTCAATAACCCACGTGCATACACAAGTCTTAAAATAGCGCACTTTTTGGAATTCTCTAAGAGCTCGTCCAAACTTCCTCTCCTTTCATGCATCGTGATCTGTGTGATCTTGGGTCACAAATCCTAATCCGGATCCTCCCAAAGGAACGCACTCTTAGATGATTCTTCATTTTCATTTACTGCAGGGCCGTGTCTCCTCTGTCGTGCATCCCGGAGAAACGTCTTGCGTGGTGCCTGGAACAGACTAGTGCCCAGGAAACGAGCAATCTTAGCACTAGTGGAGAGTCAGTACTGCATAGAGGAAGCGATAGCGCGCAGCGATCAGATTTTGGAAAGAAGAAAAGGAGGAAACCCATTTTGACAAGTAAAGTAGTTTTCTATAAATTTTCCCTTCTGCTGCTTCTCTTGTTTCCTTCCGCATTCAAACGCTTTTCAAGCTAAAGTAGAGGTGCGGTTTTAAAACAGCGCAGAGTGTTTTTTAATGATAAAACACTTTTCAATTGGGTTGATTAAGAGTAAAACCAACGGGATAATAACGGCCATTAAGAACAAAAGAGAGAATATGGCAAGGAACTAATGACAAATCTAAGTAAACGCATATCAACGGATTTAACCAGAGAAATGCGCAATTCGTTGCGAAGTTAGTACTAGTACTTTGCACCAATCACAGAGCGTGGCAAATAAGAGTCAATTCAACCCAAGATTTCGTTAACTTGGAAAAATATATATTTCTTTTCGGAGAGAAGCAAATCTTTACTACGATCAGGGTGGGAGGGGAGCTCAAGAGGTTTGGCTTATTGTTGTGGAAAACTACCCCTTATCCTACGTTAATGCTTCGCATGACGTAATCTTCTAGACCGCCGCAGCAAGACCTCAAAAGACAAGTACCATGATGGCCATGAACTAGTCCTTACCCCGGTAAGCGGCGATGATGAAATGGAAACCTCTTTCTCGTCCTTTCAAATGAGCGAAATGGGACGGACCAACCCCCTCTATCCCCCTCTATACCCCTCTATCCGAGGAAACGAAACAGATATATAGAAGGTAAGGACCTTTTTTATTTAGCATAAAATCGTGTTATTTTGTTTTAGTTCCAACTGTTGCTTTTCCCTTGAAGTTCGGTTTCGTGACTTTGTTCCGTTTTGTTTATTACTGAGAATGTGTTGTGCGTGTTGAGTGCACGTATAAGTGCCACCAAAAACCGAAAAAAAAGGATGGCAAAACATTACCTTAAAGGTTTAATCGGACAATAAACAACGATCAACGACAGGTCCCGAGGGAAGCATTTCAATTTTTTTCCCGAGAATCTTGATGTCCCCGTGGTAGCGCCAACATTGAGAGCATGCGCTGTTTGGGAAAGAATCCAGCTAATTTACAATTACTACACATGCCCGAGAGACTTGGAAACCTAAATTAGGCCCGCTGTCCATAAATTGTCCATCAAAAATGGAGCTTTCCGATAATATCTTCAAACTGGAAAAGTTTGAAAACACCGTATGTGGAGAGGAAACAGATTTTGTAAGGTAGCAGTGGATGTTACCTCTTATTGCAATTCTTGGCTGGATAATAAGACCTCTAATTTGCGCATGTCCGCAAAAGTCATTTAACGATCCTGCAGAGTCCAGTGAGGGCCATGATTCCATTCTTGCATTTTCACATTTTTTTGGTGTGGTAGTAAAAAGTATCTCAGTTTGAACTTTGAACTGTTGTGTGTTTTTACCCTGAAAACGCCTTTTTGAATTGCGAAAAACATTTTACACTCAAAGGAGACTTCGCATTTGATTTTGAAACAAACAGGAAAACAATCAAAATCAAAGGATCAATTATTTTGATTTCTTACAACCATCAGGTAGTGCGAATAGCATGTCATTCATACATTTGTATATTATTGGAACTTTTTGCAAATTCCACTAGGACGACGAAAGGAAATCGAGTTGGCAGCCAGGATGGGTCTTTATTCAAGTGAAACCATCCTCCGACCAGAAAACTAGACACTCACAAAATACGGTAGTGGATTCCATGATGACATCCGTCGAAGGCAACGAAAATTGAAGACAAGAAAATAAAATAGGACAACGTAATGTAGCACTTTGTAAGCAAGAGAAGCTTCTACCTAATTCACATATATTGATTTTTCATTTGGAAGTTCTTTATAATTAGATTCTGATTAACAAAGATAGTACCGTTCCTTACACTGCCTTTAAGGACAAATTCAAAATACTGCGTTAAAGATTTACACTGCTTAATTGATTTTTTAAACAACTCGAACAGTTTGATTTTCCTTCATTATAAGAGAAAAATTGTAGTTGATAAAACAGGAACTAAGTTATTCATTAGTGTTCCTCAGTTTGAAACTTTTGTAAAGTACTTATGAGAATTCAACTTAGAGTAAAAAGTGCAAACGCTTGGTGCTGTTATAAATAACAAATAAAGCTACTTTTAATGAATGCTGTTTGCGGATCTAGCACACATAGAATTATGCGAAATATTTCGAAAAAAAAGATAGCAAGAGTGAGAGATAGAAAATACAGTCTTAATTTTAAAACGGAAGCGAAACATTTGATCCAATCTAGGGCCGTACTGATTGCAAATTTCAACGTTTTATCTAAACCCGATTTCCGCCACCCAACCTCTCGAGCCTGGTCTTCGAACATAACTTCATAGAGAGAGAGAGAGAGGAGCGCGGGCACATTTCCCAAAAAGCGGCAGGTAATTGAGCTGACACTCTCGAGGTCTCATTAGCAATTCTCCCTTCTACCTGCAACATACTTCCTCTAAATGGTTTGGAGAATTCACTCGAAGGTCATAGCTTTCCTTGTGCTCCGCCCCTGGAAATTACATGTCAAGCTGAATCACATACGCATTTTGGTTGGTGCTTAATTACTCTCTTTTGGAGGACAGATGCATAAATGATCTCACCAGTAACAACATTTTTTTCTCTCATCAGTCAGATTTCTTTTCTTTCTCCCTCTATGGCTTTATTTTTCTACCGTGAGTCCAATTGTGAGTTTCTTTTTTTCCGATTTTTGTTTAAACGACTAGAAACTTTATGCTTCTGACATAACTGTTGGTCTTTCTTTTCCACTGTGCTTGGCAAACTTGCAAATTAATGTGGGGATATACATGCATATTCATTTAACAAATGATTCGGAGAAGCATTTGAACTGATTGTTTCAAAATAAATTTAATTTGGGCTGATTATTAATTTTTTAACTTTGTCAGGTATTCACCTGTCCAGAAGTTCTTTCAGAGACCAGGTTTGCCATTAGAAGCCAGTAGGCGACAGAAACCTATCGGCTGTCAGACCATTTTGCGCAGGCTAATCTAGGAATTGTGATCAAACCAAGAAAATAAGTATTTTTGAATGGATTCTAACATCAATGTCCGGCTAAAATAAGTTACACATTCCAGCCAAATATGCTCCTATAAAGGAGCATGCCCCTGCACCCTTCCTACATGTAGAAGAGCGTGATGTTTTGCAACAAACTCTAGGTGATGCGCCTGAAAATTCCTTTCAGCAAGCTACTCAGTTCAGATCATGCACCTATTACCACCCTGTCTTCCCAGACACAAAAGTCGCCATTTCTTTCCCCATCAAACATATCTAGCTATTTGCAGTCACAATAATTTTTGTTTGCAAAATAAAGCAAAGTTGGCTTATAATGGTATACATCTAACGAGACAGCTGACACATTGACAATGACGTGCATGTATATGAGCTGTTACAGTATCATTACAGGGTTAAAACAGCAGTAAAAATCTGAAGAATTTTTAAACAAATTATATCAAGTTATCTGATGTTAATATAATATGTCACCTCATATTTTTTCCATTATTAAAGGAACAGGAGCAACTATTTTACAAGAAAAAAGCACAACTAACAATGAGTGTGAGAACCTATCACAGTAATCTTCTCATAATTTTACCCATTGTAGTTACACTTAATCTCATGTTCTTTGTATAAAGAAAGATTTTCCATGTGCATTAAGTTCCATTTCATACAAGGCATGCTCTGTATACAACAGCTTCTGAAGCTGGGCTCTTCTAACCTAAAACAGAGAGATTACAAAATAAATGTAAATCTATAAACACTATGAGATGACTACAGAAACTAAAGACCCTGACAGTTATGTACAAATGTACTATGCATTTGCTATCCAACTTTACCTAGGTGAGTACTGTGCAGTTATTTTGACAGGTGGTTATTTTGTATTGTAAATAAAAAAAACTTGTTTGACGGGTTGGCTATGCTTGCATGAGTTATAAAGCAGTTGAATAATAAATTACTGAACATTTTGGTTTGTTGTTATAGTTGTAACTTACAGCTGTCAATTCTTTGTTTGCTAGAGAAAGCTCTTCTTTAGTGTCAGCAGCCCACTCTTTCAGCATTCGTCTCTCACTATTCTGCAAAAAACAGCCAAAAGCTTCAGATTCAATTAAGTCAGGGTGTCATGTAACTAGCTGTGTCATTGTTAAACATCATAACAAAATGCATTTGGCAATGCAGAATGATTTATTACCAACAGACACCTTTGGGATAGATCCATGGCCATTTAGTTGATACCTTTCAATTCAAACAATGATCATGCATTACCAGTGGTATGATATGATGAAAATGACCCAATTTCAGGCTTAAAGTTTGTATCATTTAGTTGTCTATACATTTTTGAGAAAAACTGTTCATTTGTAATCTTGTGGCAAAAAAATAAATAAATAAAAAAAACATTGTGCCACACTCACAATAGGTGTAAGAGGAATAGTGGAAAATCAAGTAGAGTAAGTTGTGGAAAGATGAATAAGTAATTTGAAGCACATTTCATTGCAGAGGAACAGCTCTCAAATCCTTTTCACCAACAGTAGAATATTTCAGGCCATACATTAAATGTGCCCCATGGCACAACAGAATGTGTCTTTGATTCAACTCATTTGTAATAAACTTTAAATCAATATATAATTTCCAGTTAACAGCACATGCATCTGTTGTGACAAAAAAAGTACACTTTTGCCTTGCTGCAGAAATCACAGGAGTTGAACACAGTACAATGTATTTAATATCAAGGGAATGGTAAATGCACTGTTCAACTGTATGTGGTTGTCTTTTACAATATTGAAGGAAAATTTTACCTCTTCCTGTTTTTCCATCCAGTCTGCAATCTGGTTGATTCTAATTTCACTGCAAGAAGATAACAGCATTGCAAAGTAAATAATCCAAGATGCCTTAACAGCCAGGATCCCCACCTCTGCTTTCAATTTTTATATTGACCTCTTCCATCTCCACATACAAAGAGCTAGATGAATGGACACGTAGTATCCAATATCAAGATTAATGGGTAATGTGTATTCATTCAACATGTACAGTGTACTTTACTGTACCTCCATAGAAAATGTAGTGAGGCTCACTAAATTCTTCATGGGATTACCATTCACCACATTTTGGGGAAAAAAATTTTATATATTTCCCATATCACTTTTCACAGGTAGATCTAACTAGTCTTAAACAAGACTGGGAGAATCATTCTGCAGGTGAGATGCCCACATATCCCAAAAGAGAAAATGAGATTCATATGATGACCCTGACAGTGCTACAAATACACATGTGGGTGAAAAAGCACAGAAACTTAAAACAACCAAATGTTAAATTCATTGTATATCACCATAAAGTTCTCATAGACGAGGGCATTGGGGTCCAAAAGAAACCACAAAACAGTACTAAGTATCAACCACAACCAAAATCCTACAGCAGCCCTTGATCAAAACCAAAAATTATGTGCAAACCACAGCTTTTTGAACGAGGAAAGTTTGTAAAAATTCTTTAAAAAGATATCTAATACATGTAGCTCTAAAAACATCCAACAAGAAGCCATCTTTTTACCTTGAACTTTTGAAAAGTTAGATATGATTTGGTTCGAAGATTTGACTACAATAAGTACTCAAAACAATTAAATACAAGCAGACTTGGATTGACTGTAAAATTTGTACAGTCCCATAAAATGCAAAGGCAAAGATGAAATTAAATGGCACAGTTCACTACATTAATAAAAACATTGTAGTCAATAACAGGCACAGAATTTTATATTTGTATTGTCAGTGGAAACTAGTAAGTTCAGATGTTTACTGGCCACAAAAGACAGCAGCCAATTATTGAACCTCACTGCTCTTGCAAACAGTGATCTTGCTCCAAGGAAAAAAAAAAGTGGATGTCCTATTTCACTGCATGAGTTTCTGTCTTCAGTTTTGCAACAAACTGGAAAAACAAAAAAACCTAATATGCCATATCAAATCTTGAATGAACATGGGTTTTACTTTTGAAAATGGATTGTCCTGTAAGGAAATCGCAAACTAATACAGAACCAAAAAAAAGGATTTTTCTCATCACAAAAAACAAAAAAACAAACAAAAAAAAAAGGTCAATGTAAAAAATTACCAAAACTGCAAAACCAAACACCTCAAAGTTCCTCTCCTCAAACTGTGGTTATACAATCGAATAGTCTGCAAAATTATATGGCATGCACGTACATGACTACATGTACAAACTTGCACCAGGATTGTTGAAATACATGTAAGCTGGCAACTGCCACACTTCACAGCTCTACTATGAAAAAAATGCATTAGCATGTGATTCAGTTTTCAGCATGGAACCATGACACTGACAGAAATAAATCTGCTTGGTGCATCTCCTAAAAATCTTTTTGACAACTATGAAGTAATGTACATTGTCAGGAGTTAAATGGGCTCCTAACAATTTCTATTAACATTCCTACAGTATCAACTAGGACAATACAATGTTCTAATTTTTTTCATATTTCTAGATATATACCAGGAAACAAACTCCTCTGATTGGTCAAAAGTTAAAGTTACCTAAATTGGTTACCTTTTCACTTTTGCTTCCTGTTCTGAGTTGCACTCATCATTCTATAAAAGAAAAAATCCTGACTTTTTATTTAAAATATGAATTGTACGTATTGATTTAAGTCACTCCGTAAGATAAAGACAGCTTCGTACAGTTCTTGTGAGTTCCATCTATTAAAGGTAAAATCTACAAATGTTGACACTACATGCATGCAGTGCTGCTTGTGAAGGGAATCAGTGGAGGCCCTCAACGCACATATTTTCCTTAATAATCATTCCTTTCAGGAGTAACTTCATTGCAAGTAATGAAAATTACAGTAGTTCAAATAAGATGTGTTCAGCGCTGGTTTAGGAATTTAAAAAAATGATAATAATGCTCGAAAAGTTTTCACGTACATCTATCACTACGGTACAAAATCTCTCAGGTTGTCGCTTATTTATGAACGAAGAAAGAACCTACCGAACAAACTTTTACCAAGAATTAAGATATTTTAAACGTACAGTAATATCGTCGAGTGTGAGATACGAACGTACAGGCAGACCTTTCACAAAAATGACGATGTATAGGAATTTAGGGCTTACTGTTGTCGTTCCCTTCAGACCTACTTGTCACGAAATATTAAACAATAATCATTGGCACCGGATAATAGAAGGAATATCTTTTCTTTGCATTTAGAAGGGAAACAATTCATGCAGCTTTCACATAATCATGCCGAGATACGGTGTATTCAATTTCGTTGATGGGTTTCATCGATGTTGAGATAACTCACAAACCTTGATTCTTTCTTCCTGTCTTTTCAGAGCTTTCCTGAGGTTTTTCGCTCCGGGACGATCCACTTCGTATCTGTAATTCGTTGCCATCGACATCTTGGCAAAATCGAAAGTCAAAAGAGTAAAATCTCACTTAATAACTCTTAATCCTAAAATCGCTCTGCTGTTTTGTTAGTTTACAATGGCGAACAATCAAGCGAACAAAAGTTGAAAACAAACGGCCGCGTTGTCCTGGTAACATTCTATAACCCAGTTCTCTCCGCGTAGGTCTTTTCCAGGCTCTCGTTTATTCCATCGAGAAAAGCGAAGCAATCCTTTGAGGAGGAGGGGGGTGGGGGAATCAACTGTCCTGTTATCTTACCAATTTATTAGAGACAGCTCAGAAACCAAAAGTTCACCATAGGTAGTTCTCTTACCGTTAATAAGGTGGATCAAAAGATTACAAATCATGACGCGCCTCTAAAACCTCAAGTCATATCATGCGGTTTCCTATGAATGGCTGCTGTAGCCTAAGTGTAACCGTACCCTCCCCCCGCCCGAGGTAAAACGGAGGCGAAGTAGTATTGATAAAGTGGCAACGTTCAGAGATCAAAAGAGTAACACTCAGAAAACTGAACTTTCGAAAAAGTTGATGTCAGTTATCAACTTTCGCCTGTAATCAATAATAACTAAGTTTAAAGATCATCCTCAAACTATGACATTTTCGGCGCTGAAACAATAGATGGACGCGATACATTCAGCTGATGCGGCTTAAATAGGTCGATCGTTACGTTTGCCTCGCAACTTAGGAAGATTGCATTTCTCCTTATTTTCAGTTGAATCATTTAACGTTCTCCATAGCGCTTTAAATTCACAAAAATTGAGATTATCTCAAAAGCAGCTTTATTTAGTTTCTCTAACAGCTTAGGAAGAAATATTATTATTTCAAGTGTTATTCTATTAACCAAGTCTACAAATCTTAAAAAAATCTATGAAATTCAAACAGAAGCAGAACAGGACAACTCACATTACCTCAGAATTACGAGGAGCAGCGAAACACTACTATATTTGATAATCAATTAAACTCCGTCATACTTTGGGTCCTCCTTAAAAAAATTATTAACATTTGAATGGTTGTGAAATAAGTAAGGCAATAATTAAAAAAAAAAAAATCAGCTCAAAATATGCTTCAATTCTTTAATGTTTTGGTTTTAAAAATGAAACTGTCTGTTTGTCCGCACAGACTTTGCTCCCTTAATTTTTGCCTTCTTCAATGGCTGTTACTGTTGAGTCCTCGGTAGTATTGTGGGCATGTCCGATCGAGTTTTCTTGACTGTTGGTGTTTTCAGTCGAATCAAACCCATCCTCCTGGCTGTTCACTCGATGTACCCTGATCGTCCTATAGTAAAATTTGAATCGTGTCAGCAGGGACTCATATTTGACATTTATGAATTATTTTCTTTCCGACATGTAAGTAAATCCTGAGTCTTTTTTTGTGTGTGTTTTTGTTTTGTCTTTTTGTTTTGTATGTTTGTTTCTTGTTATTGTTGATTTTTATTTGGGTGGGGGGCGGGGGCGGAAGGGGGATTTTGTTGAAGAGATACTTCAATTTCCACCTTCTGTAGTTTACTTTCTCTGTGAGGATCAGTTCTTCTCTTGACTAACGACATAAATAGTCAACAAAAACCGCAACTATTCCCGGTAGATAACAGTCTCTTACTTCACATGTACTTGTTTCTGTTTTTCGGACTTTGGGCTGCCCTCTTCAGGGAGTGGCGATTCCGCCCCGGAGACATCCGCAGAAGAGTTCAGCCCTAAGTCATACAGTGGGTTAGTTAGACACATTCCTGTCCTTTTGTAAGATGTGAAAGACGTTTCCATTTCATCGTCGCTGCTTGCCGGAGTGAGGGCTGCTGCAGGGCTAAGATGGTGTTTGTCTTTCGTGGTGATCCTGAGCCGGTCTGAAATATAACATTAGGCGATGCATCACTCATAAGTAATTGGGTATTTTTCAGAACAGTTGAGAAAATCTCATTAGCTCTCGTCCCTCCTTAATTATCCTCATCCTTTAACATTTCGACATATAAGAGAAAAGCTAGATTCATTCCCAAATACTTCCAAAAGAGTAAAATCAACTGATTTACTCATATTGGCTCGCTTTACCCCAACTGTTGTAATTTAGGAAATATTGCCTAGAGCGAGGAGACGAAAAGGAGAGCGGAAATAAACAGGTAACTACTGTACTTGTCAATCTGTGTTTAAAGCTTTTCTTTTTTGCAGTGATTGGTCGCATTGCGTTGTCGCTTCCTTCATCCAAAAATGAGTCTGCACCACTACTAAGGCTTCCCGTTTCCTCATCACCAGCCTGCTCGAGGTTCCACACGCGATGTATTTCAGGAGTGTCCGGCAATGAAGAAAGGGCCCTGTATTGAAAAATAAGTAAATAAATAATATTTTACTCCGTGAAAGTTTCGTCGTAAGGTCTAATTTTTTTTACACCAGCTTCAGTATGCTCTTCATCATATGCTTTCTTTTGTTCGAGTCATTCATTAGCATCGCGATGACTTAGGATTCTGTCGGAACGCTATTGCAATATGTATCAGCTCTTAACCAAACAACTGTCCGACCTATCACGCATGATACGGTAGAACCAGGCATTTTGGACTTACATTTGTGTATTTTTTGGAACAAGACTCAGTGTCCCTATATCACCAGCATACATTTGTGGAACAGCTTTCTCATCGGGTTGTAGTGTATCAAAGTTGCTACCATACATTCTTTCAGTCAGGCCTCGTTTTCTTCGCATCGAACTGCAGAAGGGAAGCTCAATCTCGGTTCTCTTATCCACAATCCTAAAAAAGTACAATAACATCATGTTACTATGTCTTTAGGGCTTGGGACCGTTGCATCTGGAGCCTTTGTCCAATTCTATATCGAGGCTGGGACAATTTCTCTGCCCTTCTGACCGGGTTGTCTGAAGGGAATCGTGGACAATCCATAAACTATACACTGGATAAATCTCTATCCGGTAAATGTTTCCCTAACAGCTTACTTACATCAACTTACCATGAATACTTCAGTGTGGAGCGAGGCGATGCAAAAGATAACTGTATTGCCCTAAAGCGCGCCCTGGGAACCCAGTTAAGGTTTAGACCTTTGCTATTAATCACCGGCAAAAGAACCACCAGAGCACTGGACTTCTCACAGGGTGTCTTTCATCTAAGGCATATTTAACATTTCATCAGCGGGTTCTTTGCAGCAGAAGTTAAAGTAGAATATTAATTTTTGATAATTATTTGCTTAAAATGTCCTAAGATCAATACCTTTGTGACTCTTGTTTCTTTTTATGTAGCCAATACACAAGAACACCGACAACAATAAGGAACACGCCACAGCAGACGCCAGTCACAATCCATCTCCAGGCCCCACTCTTTCCTTCATTTCCAGTGATTAAGATCTTGGCTGTAGTTTGATCACGTGATGCGAGGACAGCGCCGCCTGTGGTTTTATCTAACTGGATCCAAACCACACTCTCGTGTACTTCTTTCTTGTCACTGGCGACGTTGATGATAAACGAGTCGTTCCACTGACCATCAGCTAACGACACCTGTCCAGATTTCGGCCACACGATCTCCATACTGTCAGACGAATCATTTTGGTACAGAGACCATTGCACAGTTACGTCACCCAGGGAACCTTTCGCTCTACGTACTGGAAATTCCAGTTTGGTGACTTGTCTGGAGCGGGTAACTTCTACGGCTCCATTGTCATTGTACACTACAGAGACACAGGAAATGAAAACATAAGACGCATATATAAATATGCCATTCAGCTTTGAAGATGACCGCATACTTTTGTAAAAACGAAGGACCGTGATATATTGTTATTTTGGTCAGAAGTCGAGTTAAAAATGTTGAGAAATGAATGTGCCCCGAAGCAAACATCACCCACGTCAAAGAAGTGCAAGCCTAGTGATAAATTCGCTGGGCCAAAATAATATTGAGTAGATGACGCGGGTAATAGAAAATGAACAGTCTACAAATTTCAATATGTGACTCGGATTTGTGCTATATAGTTGCTACAACTTTTCTTTTTCGATGTGTAAGAAAGATAATTTGTTGATTTATCAAGATCTAGATCACAACCTCTAGCTAATTCTACCCTCATGACTAATTCTATGGATAAAGCTTCCATTGGTAAACCAGGTCTAAATTATTGCTTTACAGATTATGGATTTTTTCTAGTCTTATGGGGGAGGAAGGGCCAAAATGGCACAACTACACTTACTTGAGTTGTTTTTATCGAGTAAAACCAGACCATTTTTTGCGTAGAATGACCAAAGGAACGAGAACTGAGTCAGGTGACAGACTTTCACTGTCAACAGTTTGATCGACTTGTTCACGTGACTCCAGGGCTCAGGGCACGTGAGCGCTGCATCAAACCTAAGCGAGAGATACAGAGCAAATAAGCAAACAAGGAGCTAAAATTTAACTTGATGATGAGGCTGAAGTGATGATGACCTTTCCAGTTTTAAAAAATAGGGCCTAAAAAATCATCTCTAGCGTCTTAAGATTTGAAATTGAAATCCATCACTGTAAGTTACATGCTCTCTCTGAATAAAACAGCGATGCTTAGCACATCCTTTAAGCATCGCTTGTAAGGTATACATAACTTTTAATAACCTGCGGACAAAAACTTACCAGGTTTCATTCTTGGGATCCCAAAGATACAACACAGGATCTATGTCTTCCTTGGTGAGTTCATTATTGACGTGCTTTCTGTTGGCTTTCACCAGGTTATCAACGTCGTAGAACATGGCAATTGTGATTGGCTCAGCAAATTTGAAGCCTTCTTTCACCGTGTTATTCTTCGGGTCTAACGCCTTGATGACAAAACTGTAATTTCCAAGCATGAATTGCTGTCCAATTAAGAAAGGAATGCTATGAGTGAGTTTGTTGCGGATGCAGCGAGCATTTTTTTGTACAGAAAGAGAGACGGAACAAGGAAACGAACAAAAACAATTGTCATAATTTAAACAAGTCAAAATCATACCTTGGGCCTAGTGTACTTAGGATTGCTAACGGGACCCTCCTCAGTCTGGTTCGTATCCATTGTTTTCTCATCCAAACTGTACGATCTCAACTTCACCTGCTCCTCGACAGCACCTTCTGGTACAGTCAATGTCCCGTATGTCTTTCCCACTCCACCGTCCTTGCGCGATCCATCTTCTTTAACATTCACCGTATCAAAGAAAAACTCGGCGGCGGACGCGTTGTCAAAAATGTATTCCGACTTGCCGACTACAATCCCGTTTGAAGACAGCTTTTCTGACAATAGACCAGCTCCGTTTGTGGCTCGCACAGTGGCGTAGTATTTGTTTCCTACGCCAAGTGCGTTGTCTTTGAACTTAGCTAGCCATATCGTTGTGTTGGTAACTTCCTCGAATTCCTTGATATCTGTTGAACCAGGTGCAGTTCCCCACGCAACTTCATATGACGTCACACCACTGTCAGGATCTCTCGCCGAGAAATAGGCAAAGATGATATCAACAAAGACCTATGATGGAAATAAGTTGAAATGTGGGACATTTTACGATGATAACTACACTAATAATAAGGATAAAAATAATGACACAAATGATGATGATGGCAGAATAACAACGAATACAATGATAGTGATACGTTTGTTTATGTAATAAGAAATCTTTTAGCAAATGAAAATCAAAATGGCTTTCTGGCCTTTCAAACTTCTAAAGGAACTAATGTCCGAATAATTCGGTGAATTTGAGCAGTTTGGTGATATAGCGAGAGACAAATACAATATTTCATCTTAGAAAATATGTAACAGGTTATGAAATAACTCAGAAGAATATTCTTTACTCTAGCGTCAGGCATTCATACCTGAAAATCCATATCAGGCCCCATAATTCCATCCCTGACATATTCCATCACAGGTGGTGTGGTATCTATTGTGACGCCATCACTGTGAGTGGCAGAACATCTGCGAGCTCCATTGCAAGCTACAACTGTCACGTAATAAGAGTCACCTTGCCCAAAGTTAAGACCGTAATGACTTCCGTTTGGCCTCAATCCCGTACTTTCACACTGCCGAATGTCGTCAGTCATAGGCTTAGATCCTATACACCAGAAATACTCTACAATGTCGCTTTCTTCGTCGAGGAAGTCAAGCCATCTGGCGTGTACCTCTCGCGTATTATTGGTATAGTCCACATCAGTTTCTTCAAAGCTGCGAGTAGAGCACTGACTGTCTTCACCGAAAGTCGAATTGTCCGAGCAGTTTGTATTTGGGTCGCTGCCAAGTCCATCGTAGACGATTCCAGTCTCAGGGGATGTCGGATCGATCACGAACGACTCCGAGAGAGAACTTGTTGAAAGATAGGCTCGTGTTGTTTCAAGTAATTGTATAGTGTAAAGGTTTTCTGGACCAGGGACGAGAAATGAGTCATTCGGGAACGAAAAGTTCATGCCATTTGTCGAGTTATTCACCATCGATCCAGAAGGACAGGAAAACGAATCACATATACTTGATTTAAAACTAAACGGATCATCGCTTTGAGGTTTTGAGCAAGACATTCCTTCGCAATCTGAGCACATTTCCACAAACCCGCCAAATGACTTCTGTCCAGCCTCGCAGGGCACGCAACGTACAGAACCAATTTCCTTGATCTGAGAAACTCGAACTCTTACATGATTGGTAGGGCAATATGTTGCCACATAGACCCTTCCAGTACCTGAATCCTCGCCCTGTCCTGGCCACGTGACAACATTTGGGGCTCCAAACAAAACGGTATCATTGTCGAATGACACGGAAGTACGTGGAATTCCATCATCTACTCTAAATCCACTTTCTCGTGCGACCACACGTCCTAGGTTTACGCATTTTTCAAGATCAAGATCTGAGTAGATTCCATGGAAACCTACCAGTTGCACACCATCCCGGCCATCTAATGTCTGCATACCTAACGCGATAATAAAACTTCCATCCCGAGCACTGACATCAAGGTATCCACTCAGACGTTCGTTTGGTGTGAAATCAAGGTGACATACATTTTTGTAAGACTTTGATGAAATGTTGAGCTGAAGAACTTTTAATGACTTGGAGTCCTTAGAGACCATTATTAGCGCGTCAGTCTCCGTAAGATAAAGTGACAGAGAACCTGTATTATCTTCGAGCTCAGACATGCAGATGGTCAAGTGTAATGTAAAAGATTCGACAGAGTATACTGAGATACAAGAATTCTTGCCTTCTCCTGTAGCTACTGCTAAGATGCGCGCATTCAAAGTCAAAGACAATCCAAAGTCAGAGTCACTCTTTCCTCTTCTCAATGCTTGAGCAAACAACCACGTTCCATTCCGCTCCTGGAATACGCCCACAACGCTGGCGTTCGTAGATGAGTTGATTCCCGTCATAGCGATCGTATTTTGATTAATGGCTATAGCATGTTTCACATTATCGGCCCACTTGTTGTTTGTAGCACAAATATAAGTTGATACAGTCTTGCAATTTCCCAGAACTGCGGTCTTAGTTAATTCAAGGTCGCCGGTGTCAATGACTTCACTTTGATAAATATAAGCTTTGCCATTGGCGAAGAATGCGGACCTATTACCGTGTGATACTACAATGATAGGTGATGTCGGAGAACCAACAATGTCATCTAGCAATGTTATGTGGCTGGCGGCCCTGTTTCGAAGGGGCAAAACAAACGCCTTATCTGCAGAACCAACAACAAAATGATCGTTTGGTAGTCTAGCGATAGAAACACCAAAATGCTGGGACGGTATGGTGGTTTTGAAATGCGTATCACTGAAGACAGATTGTAGATCAACTGGGCGCCTGGTACAACACGGACCCTCGGGATTGGTAAAACCCGGGAAAACTTTCATTACGCTGAAATCCTCAGTAGTGTTAGTTTCATTGGCCTCAGACGTAACTTTTTGGACAATAATTTTAAATTCCTTGGTCGGGCTGAAAAGATTGTGATCCAAAATGAAAGCTGTTCTATTGCTAGAGTCATTTAAGCCGCTTCTCACAATCAATTCCACCTCCCCAGGGGAAGAAATATATTTTATCTCCGAGTCTAATGCACTGTCGTTAACCTTGGGCAATCTAAGATTTGGAAGCCAACGTAGGGGCTCTTGTTCAGCGGCTTTATCTGAAATAAATAATCCACGCTTTGGAGGAGCAGTGGGCTCGATTCTCAGTCCATCACTCGCGGACTCACTATAAATACCTCCCTCGTTCCAGACCCTCACAACCCCTCGATAACGTTCCCATGCTTGTAGTTCCACACCCTGGATAGTCACGTTTCGTTGCCATGTCAAAACGTCCATGAAATCGTGTATTAGGGGTTCGCTACGCCAGGACCTATCCGAATTAATCTGCGGTAAAGACAGGTTCGAGGAAGGCTGTGTGATGGCTACCTGAATACGCAAACGGGAAATATCCTTAACATATCTTCCAATCATCTCCCATCTGAGTGAGAGGCTTTCCGCCATAGATTTCCAGTCAATATCAGAGAGATTGCTCGTGTTCAATGTAGGAATGTCAATAACTTCCGCAACCTTAGGTGCAATGGATATGACCTTACAATGTTCAGACACCAAACGAGTCCTCAATCCTGCTCCATTGATGGCGTATACTGTAGCAAACAGCAACGTGCCTGAAGGGAGTCTCTTCACAAGAGCAGCTCCTTTTGTCTTTACATCCACCGACCTCAAATTTACCATATCACAGAGCCCTCGAGATGTCCCGACACACCATTCATACCGCGCTAGTTGGCTCTCTGGATCTTTGAATTCATCCCAGTCAGCTTGTAATAGTTCTTCCAAGCACCTGAATCGTATATGATTGCTTCCTTGAGTCGTGTTGTTGGGTGACAATTGAAGCACCGGGCTAACGGTATTGTTTCCGTCAGGAGTTTCATGAGTTGTGTTGATCGGACCGTTGTCGATGTCTTTTAAGACAGGGGGTGTTGCATCGATCAATAATCGATTCGTTGTTCTCTCCGAAGATAATCCAATCTCGTTTGTTCCTTTGATAAGGGCATAATAGGCTTCACCATGGAGAAGTTGTAAGCTATGGAAAGTGAAGCTTGTATTCATTCCAACGTCAATATAGTTAGTGATTGTACAGTTCCCAGGCACGGACGTGATGCATACTTGATACTCCGAAATTCTGCTTTCAGGGTCAAGAAATGGATCCCATCTGCGAGAAAACATAAGGTAGTTTAGTACGATGATGAAATCATAACTCGTATGAGCTAAGCAACTTTCGGGATGAAATCGTGTAAATTCTAGACGAGCTCATTAATTATCGCGATTACCATACAACGGTAAATTATGTGGCTACAACTTTCAAAAGAAAACACGTCACGATTGATGAAAAATCTCTATTTTTAATTACTAAATATATATATTGATTATCGTATCTAAGAATCTGTAACGTACTGACACACTTCTACTGTTACAGATATACATGTACATGTGCTGATTTTACAAGGATTAACTTAAGTCCTTTTTAAATCAAGTCTCTTGTTTCTTAAAAACTATATCAGCCACCACATCATTGTCTAATCGTAACCGAGCATACATCTCATCCTAATAGCTAAGTGCGAATTGTGTACAGCACCTTACAACCAACTTCGTCAAATCTGATTGGTATTTGGCGGGCTCAATTCCAGTTCCTAATCTTGCTGTACTTGCCAAGGGAGGGGTAAAATCAACTGTAAATCCATCGGAGGAAGCTTGAACATGGAGACCAGCGAAGTTTATGGCTCTAACGATGAGAAAGTACTGAGCGCCACTCTCGAGGTCCAATCCTACAGGAAAAAACGTGAAGATTACTCCTATACTTGTAGGACGTTTTAAGGTGTACAATTTGATAAGAATATATCAAAGTCAAACATTCCGGTCAAAAAAAACCTGCTTACTCTTCACTCAGTCTATCATCTAGATTCTAAAACATATTCAATCTTACTTTTACATGAAGTGCCCTGAAATTAAACAGAACAATGTGAGTATGGTGAACCAACAGCGAGCGGTATATGTCGCTATCTGCAAATAACCTTAGACTTAACTTTATTGGAGTGGCATTTCATTAAAGGCGGGGAAGATTTGTGGTACAAAGCAAGACTTCTTCTTGGCAGTTGTAACATCACTGAGCGTTTGTTTGGAACCCACTCATACAAACGTATATATCGTAATTTGTACACATTAAATATATCTCACCTGTTACTGAAACGTTTGTAGCTCGTCCCACTCCAATGAAAGGTTGTGGGCAAGAGGAAAAGTTCCTGACGTCACATAAAGCGATCTCATAGGATTCGATGCCAGATTCTAAGTCTTCAAAGTTGAACCAATGTGCACGGATGTCTTGTTCCCCATTCACATATTTGACATCTGCGTCACTTCCATCAATAACATTTCCGGATGTTGGTGGCGTTTCATCCACTGTCACTCCATCCGATGTCAGTGAGGTTTGGACACCTGCACCGTTCATTGCCTTCACTGTGACAAAGTACCGCCCACCGTTCGTCACGGGTTCAACGAGAACCTTGCTCACGGACGTACTGGATGTGGTAAGTTCAGTTTCATTGACCAGATCGCAAGAGCCTGGTGACAAGCCGGCGCACCACGTGACACGAATGATTTCACTTTCAAGGTCTTCAAATGCTTTCCAGTGAGCTGCTATGTGGGTTCTGCTTTGTTGAATGTCAATTTCTGCACCTTCATTTGTTCCATCCATAATTTGTCCTTCAGATAGAGGACCTGCAAGGAACAACAAACCACATCGTTTTTGAAATCGACGAGGACAATGAGAACGTGCTTAAGAAAAAAAAAGCTGCAAAAGCCGCCTAACAACGACTCCATCAACAAAAAGGACAAAAACCGAAAAAGTCCATAAAGTTTCCCTTTGCTCATAACTTAGCCTGTTTTAGATATTGACGGACTGTGAAATTCCTCCACTGCGACCCAGAATATTCTACAGCTCTATTCCTGTTAAGGTATCAACTTACAGTGAAGGTAGCAAAGAACAAGTTAAATATCAAGATTGCTTCACGTTCTTTCAATATCATAATCCTAACCATGCCTTAAAACGAGAACTCGCCCAAAGTACCTGTCTTGTCAACGATGACGCCACTTGAGGACTTAACATCACTGACCAGACCAGCTCTGTTCTGTGCCCTTATAGAAACAAAGTACGTCTCGCCTTGAAGAAGCTGCAGGTTTCGCAGAGTGTAACTAGAAGCGTTACCTAGGTCAGTGAAATTCATGATATTACATTCGCCAGGCTGGGTGCCCACGCAAAGATAATATTTCTCGACTCTACTCTCCTTGTCAAAGAATCCACTCCACTCTACCGATATCTCCGAGTCGGTGAACACCTCAGAACCTTCTCCTAAAGGTAGATTCTCAACGTGCATGATTTCACCCACTACTGGGGAAGTTGAGTCAACCACGAAGCCATCCGATGACGACTCTCTAGATCCACCGACAACGTTTGTAGAACGAACTGTCGTTACATACTTCACGCCCTCTTGAAGCTCTAAGTCAGCAATGCAAATTATAGTACGATTTCCAACATCCATCTGCTGTAGCAAACAGTTGGTCTCGTCGATGGCTGCACAGATGGACACTTCGCTCTTTAATACACTACTTTCAATATCCTTTGTTTCCCAGCTGACACAGTAAGCGTCTTTGGCAGTTATGTAGTCTTTATCATCAAAAGGCGATCGTAACTGTAGGTCGAATACCTATGTGAATGTAAAGAGAAACAAGTAAAAACATTAACTGTGGCTGATAGGATTTGACTTGTTGTTTTTCTAGACCTAATAATATAATAATAGGGCTTTTAAGCAAGTAAAATGAAAAGACAACTTTTTGGAACATACTTCTCGAATAATTTTCATTCACAAAAAGTAATTGAAATTCCGAGGATTGATACAAAACAAATAGATGTCATAGAGGACCTAAATATGAATTTATCAGTAACATCTAATGAGAAACATTAAGTTACCTTAGAGATATCAGGAGGGGTGCTGTCTACTATAACACCGTCCGAAGACCTCCTTGTAACTGCCCCTGCACCGTTGTAAGCGCTAACCGTCACAAACACAGCCATTCCTGTAGCTAAGGAAGGACGAATCTGCTGACCAAAAGCAGTGTGTTCACCAACATCCGTTTCAGGAATGATGTCACAGGTTCCCTTTATTGTTCCAGCGCACCATGCGTACCTGGTTACCTCAGACTCTACATCCTGAAACTCGTCCCAGTTGGCATAAATAAATGCACCGCCAGCTTGGAAATCGATGTCCGCAAGTGTCTCCCCATCTCTGACTTTGCCCGCAACAGGAGGAGTACTGTCAACTTGAATACCATTAGAGGCTGCCAAGCTGCTATAGCCAACCTCGTTCGTTGCTCTAACAGTGACAAAATATCGCCCAGAGTGATTCAGACTTAAACCAGTGATTGTACCTTTAAGAGCCATTCCAAAACTAACAAAGTCACTTACATCGCATTTTTCTGGTGCTGTTCCCACACACATTTCGTACTCGGTTATTCTACTATTAGAATCTGCAAACGGCGACCAATTGGCGGAAATTTCACTTTCAGATATCTGCAGTGCTGCGTCATTTCTCTCGTCCGAGCCATCGTATACAATGCCGGAAATCGGTGCCGTGAGGTCAAGCATGAACTGATTAGACACAGCCTCACTAAACAACCCCACCTTGTTGTGGGCCCGCACCACGACAACATAGCAAACTCCAGGTTTGATGTCAAGAGCGGAATTCCTTATGCTCCTTTTAAGTCCAACATCGACAAACGGAGTGATGCAGTCTTTTGTAGAACCAGCGTGACAAACAGCCCACTCAAAGCGACTCAATCCACTCTCTTGATCAGAGAAACCGCTCCAATCTGCCGTAACAGGCTCTTCTTTACGCAGGTACTCAGTTTCCAATGTGTCTCCTACTATTACGGCACCCTTTGTTGGCTCAGTATTATCAATAAGCAGCGGTTTAGAGATGGCAGTCGATATCATGCCAGCACCGTTTGTCACCTTAACTCTAATCAATACTATAGCCCCTGATGCAAGCGGGTGCGAAAGAGAGTGCTTGATCCACGTTCTACTTCTTTCTACATCTGTCCATGGGACAATATCACATAATTCCGGTCTTGAGCCAGCGCACCACTCTACAGAAGAAATTCCACTTTCTGTATCGAAAGGTGCTTCCCAGGAAAACGATAACAAACGATCACTTTGTTGCTTGATGTTGCATGAAGAATTATTAGAAACGTTGCACCACTGGACAGATGAGGAGGTACGTAAGGACGAAACACCCAAAGCGTCGATTTGATCTGCATCATCTGGTGTGTCCCATACAGATCTTGCTAACCGACGGGCACCTGATGGTGAGGGAGGCAGCGAATCTGCTTGTTTTTGAGTTTCACTAGCCAGTAAAACTTCCCCAACGCTTGGCGGAGTACTGTCCAGCATAACGCCATCAGAGTAAGCTGTTTCTTTTAATCCAGCACCATTTAGAGCTTCTACTGTAAAGAAGTGCCTCTGACCTTCTTTAAGGACAACGTAAGAATGCGCTCTTGTTTGGAGATTTGCAGACGTCATGTTGTGTACGTTGCAGGCGCCTGGGAGAAATAAAAAACTACCCTAAGGGTTCATGTATGAAATGCAATCTCATTTCTAACTTTTCGAGTTAATTGTATGAATTTGTTAGGAAAAATCGATTAGAACAAAGCTTCTAGATCTTCCCTGAACAGAAGAAAAACTGACTAAGAATGCTGCGAGTTTAAATGCTTCTACCTCAACCAAAAAATATCAAAATTATTGAAGGAATCGAGGTAAAAACTACATAGGGTGTAGGTGCACGCCCTATAAGATGGCTTAGAGACGTCATGACTTCACCGTGTGACGTGGTTTTCATAAAATTGTCGAGCCATACAAAAAACTTAGATTCTATAATTTCCATGCTCATTAACCTTCTATTTTTTTTAATAAGATGCTCTCAGGAAAAAAAACGTCTTACGAGTATAAAAAAGTTAACAACTTACCTTGCGTTGTTCCAACACACCAGCTGTATTCAACGACACCGCTCTCAGTATCTTGAAATCCCTTCCAGTGGGCAGACAGTACCCCATTCTCGTACTGATAATCTATATCGAAGAATTCTTGACTACCCATGGAGGTAAGATTTCCATCAATTACAAGACCAGATTGTGGTGGCGTCCAGTCCACTACAACTTGCTGTGATGTCAGAGTGGTTTTCAGGCCAAGCATGTTGACTCCAATAACTGTTACGTGAAAGACTAGTCCTTGGTGGAGAGTAAAATTAAGTTGGTCCAAGTCGATGGAACGACTAAGGCTGTCTACACGTTGAAACCCTAGCAAGTTGTCTTGGAATTGGAAACTACCTACACCCACAAGAAAATGGCTTATACCGCTTTCAGGATCGTCTATGGACCACGTGACTACAGGGGCAGAAGGTGCGTTCACGTACAAACTTCCTTTTCCAGTTGTGGGAGATATTTGAAGTGACTTTCCTATTGGGGGCGTTCGATCGACAACAACACCATCCGATGAAGCACTGACATGCTCTCCTCTGTAGTTCTCAGCTCTCACTGTAACATAGTATTTCTTGCCGTGTTCAAGTGTCAGGTTGTGGAAGCGGTTAGTGGACGTTTTCAGATGATGTGACTCCAAGAATGGCCACTTACAAAGATCAGATCCAGAAGGGTTAGGCGGTTGATCCCTAATGCACCAATCATACCTGAAGATACCAAATACTGGATCCTTGAAGCCACTCCAGTGCGCCCAAATTGCTTTGTCGTCTAGTTGGAAGTCAATATCCTTCGCTGAAATTACTGGGCCATCGCTTACTACCCCAGCAGAAAACTTTCCAAGTATGACAAACAATCCAGACGAGCAATCAGTTCTTTGAAGTCCAGCGCCATTTCTAACTCGAATGCAGACGAAGTAAGTCTTATTTCCGACGAGGGTTTGATTACTGATCACCACTCCACCCACTGAGTCGTCTGCGATAACATCGGTATAAAAATCGTCGGCACTTGATTTAAGCGAAAGAAGATCTTCACCAACAGCCCAACTAGTCTGTCTAATACCACTTTCAGGATCTACAAAGCCTGTCCAAGTTACCACCATCAATGATCCTGGTACTTCATTCTTGTTCCGATCATAATTGGTTGGGAAAACATACTGAGCAACCACAAAGCCAGGGTCCGGCGCAGTTCGGTCGATTATGACGCCATTTGATGCTGTTTTACTAGATAAGCCGGCGTTATTTACAGCAAGGAGCCTCAAGAAATACGTCCGACCAAGTAGCAAAGGAATATCTGAAATCAAAACGCTTGACATAGAAATTGACACTTTTGTAAAGTTTCTGATGTCGTTACTCTCTGGATTAGTTCCCAATCCCCATGCGACACACGCGAGTCCACTTTGGTCATCCTTCGCAGTCCATGAAGCGCTCACAGAATCATTATTTGGATCATATGTTAATTTTAAGTCGTTCACTTCAGGAGGGGAGCTATCAATGATAACGCCATCCGTCCAATTTACTGAGGACAGGCCGACAGCGTTAAGAACCTCAATACCAACGACGTAGGTTTCTCCTTCTTTATAGTCTGTTGAAATTCGACCTCCTCCTGTTATTATTGCAGACCCTGTGGAGTTTACAGGTGTCTTTAAAGTATAAAAAGGAATAGCGTATTCGCTCGTGCGTAAGTTTTTAACTGAGAAACGATAGCGAAGTATCGGGGATTCATTATCATAGCACAACCATGAAATGCTCAGTTTGCTTGAGCTTGGAGCGTATTTTAAGTCCTGCTGAAGATCTCCCTGACCATCCCATACGTGCAAGCATACCGGAGGCGAAGTATCCACGGTAAATCCATCTGATTTCATAGTAGTTTCCAACCCAACACCGTTCACTGCTGTCACATTGACAAAATACCTTCTCCCACCATCAAGATCTTTGGCTAAAATCAAAGCCGCTGTGGAGACATTGCCGTTGAAACTGAAGAATCCGTGAGCGTCTTCGACTGAGCTGAATACCTTCACTGCATATTCTTTTACACCACTCTCCGAGTCAGCAAATTTGAATTCTACAGTCAAGTTTCTTGTAGAGTATTGGTATTTCCCATCTTGGACATAAATTAAATCTGGAGGAGTGTCATCAAAGACAACACCGTTCGAAACAGCAATTGCCTTAAGGCCCACATTGTTGGTGCATTTTATCGTTGCAAAGTAACGATATCCCAGTTGAAGATTGCCCGCTATTGTAAACGATGTTTTGTGAATCGGCAAGCTTGTGAAGTTCATAACATCGTCTTCTCCAGGCTGTAAACCAAAGGCAATCTCTATGGACGCTAAAGATGTTTCTGAATCATCGCAGGTCCATGTGGCAGCCAAGGAACTTCCTGAAGTAAAACTTAGGTCTTGATTTGGATCGTCACCATCGAGAACCGGTTCTGAGAAAACGGGAGGTGTGAAATCCACCAAAACACCTTTGGAGGAAACCATTGCACTAGGCATACCAAGCAGATTAAATGCAATCACTGTCGCATAATAACGACTGCCACTTGTCAACTCTGAAATTTGTAATCTAGAGCTTGCAGCTGTGTTTACGAGCCCTACATCTGTAAATTGTTGCACATCCTGGGCTCCAGGAGACGTGCCGAATGCCAGCTGATAAGTTAATATTTTTGTTTCTTGTTCGGTAAAGTTAAACCAAGAGGCTCGAAGAACTGAACTCTCGATTTGTACGTCAATTTCCATTCCAGGTCTTCCATCGGTCACAGAGCCTAGAAGGGGAGGAGTGCTATCCACAATCACTCCGTTAGAGTGAAAAAACGCTTGATTCCCGGCCCTGTCTGTCATTTTGAGGCATGCGTGGTATCTTTGACCAGAAGTCAAGTTCAGCCCAAATAAGACATGATAGTTTGAATTGGATGGAACAATCTGTTCCTTCTTCACATCGCAGCTAATTGAGTCTGCCTTGCTCGATAAACCTAATAGTACTGTTTCAATACCAGAGAAGTCAATAAAGCCATACCAATGGGCACGGAAAAGGGTGGAGTAGCTTTGATACTGGGCATCAGCTGAGCCCCATCCGTCTAGGACGATTCCCCCTTTTGGGGGTTCTAGGTCAGAGAGTAGAGGGGGCGATGATTTGATGCTAAACAATCCAGCGTTGTTGATGGCCCAAATGGTAATAAAATAACGTCGGTTGCTTTCCAAGGACAACAAGTTTGGCGCTGTCCAGTTGGCTCTCAATGAAGACTCTGGTTTACTTAATGGAATCAATTGGAATCTCATGACGTCATCAGCCCCAGGATAGCTTCCAACTCCCACCTTGTACGTCGCAACTCTCGATAAATCGTCCTCAATTTCAAAATACGCTCTGAAAGTAATACGCGGTTTGTTAATAGCTGCCAATGTTTCGCCAAAATGTCCATGCTGGATGTACGTTATTAGAGGGGGACTAGAATCAACGATGAATGTATTTGATAAACCGCGAGCAGCAAGACCTGCTTTATCTTTTGCTTCAATAACCACTGAGTACATTCCATCTTCGAGGTCAATGTTGCGCCCAGTAACCCTAACCCGTCCAGCCGTCTTAGGCGCTGCCAATAGGTCGTCATTCTTCAAAGAGGCCACTGAAATACCGAAACCTGCAACGCCACTATGTACATCGTAGAAGCTGTCGTTGCTGCACTGACTAGAGTCGACTGGTCCAAATACTCTCTTCTCATCCGCTAAACACCAATTCCATCTTGCCCATACTGATTTACTAATCCATTGAAACAACTGAGGAGGGCCTGTTAGTCCGGTGATGACTTTTCCAGTGTGTGGAGGAATAAAGTCCACAATGGCTCCGTTACTACTGCCATTAATACACATACCAACCCCGTTGCAGCCAACAACTGTAACAAAATAACGCTGACCACTGCTCAGGAAAAGACCTCCAATGGTCACTCTGGTTTGGTAGCCAACTGTCTTAAAATTCTGAATGTCACTGAATCCAGGGTTAGTCCCTAAAGCAACGCGGTACTCAACCAGGCTGCTTTCTGAATCTGCAAATGCTTGTTCCCAGTGCGCACTAAAGGTGTATCTTTCACTAGTGTAGTTCTTATCCCTTCCCTCTACGCCATCTTTAATGTATTGTGAAGCCACTGTGGGCGGCGTATTGTCAATGATAATTCCATCGGACCAAATAGTTTTCTTGAGGTTAGCTCCATTTATGATCTTAATGGTGACGTGATATCTGACTCGCGGAAGAATATTGACATCAGAGAAACTCGCAAATAGCATACCACCTTGGATGACTTTGTGGGTAACGAAGTTGACATCTTCAAATGCTCTCACGTCATCTCCTCCTGGATAAGTACCAACTCCCACCAGTTGTGCGCGAAGGCCACTTTCCTGATCTACACATTTCCATTTTGCTTGAATACTGCTCAATTTTCTAACAAAGTCTACATCAAGTAAATCTTCATCGTTCGTTACGTCAATAGCAGTCTCTTCGCAATACGGCGGTGTATTATCTGGCACAAATCCATTTGTCTCAATAACTGTTTGAAGTCCTGCCGCGTTTGTTCCACGGAGTACTAGTTTGTAAGTTAAACCAGCTTCAAGAGAAAGGCCATCCATGAAGGGTGTCTGTTGAGTGAGTGCAATATCTACAAATGACGTTACATCTTCATCGGTGTTGTTTCTTGAAATCTTCCACTCATATCTCACCAGAGGGCTCTCAGGATCTTTGAAATGATCGAATTTTCCCCGAACACGCCTTAGCGATGGGAGAAACATTGCATCAGCTTCACCAGCACCATCCTGGAAATACCCAGCAAAAGGAGGTGTCGTGTCAATCAAAATACCATCGCTGCACATGACTGATTTTAATCCAAACAAATCCATCGCATAAAGGCGTGTGAAATATTTTTTGCCGTGAATCAAATTCAGGCCAGAAGTCTGGATAGTAGTTGAGTCACCGAGAGTGGTCAAGGGAACGATATCTGCTTCAGCTTCGTTAAACGTGCAGCTGGGAGAGGACGATACTCCCCATTTTGTGTATGCGATATCCTCTATATTGCTCTTGAAGGCAAAATTCATACCTAAAGCGTATGTATCTGACTGATAATCCACATCTTGATGTTCATTGACACCATCGTAGACATACCGAATCTGAGGACTCTTACGTCTCGCCGTAAATTTAGGGCAGTTAACTAACTTACTGTCACGCCCCATGTCATTTGTCGCCAATACACTGACATACACATCTCGTCCGTGCATTATTGGAAGATCGTTGACAACTACGCTTAAAGATGTTCCCACCCATGCAGAGTAGTCATCGCCAGAACCCTGAATGGATCCTATCCTGACGTGGTAGTTGTTGATTTTAGTATCTTCGTAGAATCCATGCCACTGTACGAAATATTTTTTGTCGGCAGCTTGCCTTGCAGTACATTCACCAGCAACAGGAGGCGTCGTATCAACATCTTGGTGGCAATTTGTAAAGAGCGTCCGGTCGATCGTTCTCGCTGACCACCACCACTCCGCAAGGGTCTTCTTCGAACACCATCTAATCTTTATACTACATCCAAACAACTTGCATCTGATCCTAATGCAAAGACGGAATCTGTACCACAACCAAACTCTGATGCGAAGTGGAGTCATTCGTAACTTAAGTTCTATGCAAGCTTTAAGCGGCCACTTATCGATCTTGATTCGTAGTTCTGGTACGAAGTAGGATTCTAGAAGTCTTGCTTCAATCGTAATTCCAGCTTCTACGATAAAAATTGATAAAGAAGCACCAGCGTATACAGAGATCCAAGCTCCAGGAATGAGACCAAGTCTGAAAACTTTGTCTCTCGTGCAAACTTGCCCTTGATAGTCTACACTATAATAGCCACCAGCCCCAGCGAACAGTCTTACTGGTATGCCAAACACAATGATGGTTTGTGAATATTCAGGGAAGAATTTCTGATATCCCCTAAGAACATTTCCACGGAACAAAGTCATACATGATCCAAGATCTGAGGTTTGCCTGCGCATTCTCCTATTGCTCTTATGATCTTCTTCCAGTTGCTCAGAGTAAACATCAGACTCCAATAGCTCTTGCGAGGTGCTTCGCTTTCGTGTAGTTCCGCAAATCATGTCTCCGAATGGAAACAACCGCCGCGGTCGCAGAATGTAGTCATTCATAACCGTAAAGAACAAGCAGTTTTCTTGGATTCCAAAAGTCATTTTCAAAATCGGAAGTCTTAGGTAGAAATATCTTTCTTCAAAGTCACCACCTATACGCTCTACATTATCTTTCTCGGCATAAGTACCACTTGAGAACGCCACTGCGATTACTTCACTGTCAACTCTGGAGACGGACTCTAAGCCCGAGGGGGTTCTGACGACTCTAGAGAGCGTGTTTTCTCCGGTCTCATCACCACCACTAATGTCATGGAACTCCAGCTTACATTGGAAACCAGAAATCATGGCACATTTCGAGATGCAAACATACTCGGTACTGAACTGTCTGACGATAGCCATGCCTTCTGCGTTTGCTCCGATGATGATTACTCTGTCGGGTGTTAGGCCAGAAGGAGACAGATCCCCGTTAGCAGATAGCTTATAGCCGTAGGCCTTTCCACCTTTGCCGTCTGTTACCCAAAGGACATTGGATGGCTCATCGTAAGAAAGAGAAGTTGCAGTACCTTCAACTGACGCAGATTTGGACAAACCAACCCAAGATGGCTTTGGCGACGAGAATGAACTTGTCACACTAGATTTCTTTACGGAATAAATTTTGTTTGACGCGCTGTCACTGATCCAGATGTAATCTCGAGCAACAGCCACTCCTCCTATTTTTACAACTAGAGGGCTTCCTTGACTACCAAGTTGAATTATCTTTTTGACTCCATTACCAAAGTTGGTTACTACTAAAAGTGATGCTTTCCCTTTGTTGCTAGAGACTCCATGCATACCCAAAATAACCTCGCTTTTGGAGAGCCTTGAGATTCCCTCTACTTTATAGTCATCAAACAAACCTGGGGTCAGCCAACGCCCACTCTTGTCCATAGAGGAGAGGTCATCTAGATGTGGGAACTTCCAAGTGAAAATGGTTTTTAGGTAAAGTGATGACGATCGTTTGATTGATCGTACACAAACTTCTTCCGAACAATAGGGTATTTGTTCCCAGGGTTTGTAAGCCCTGGGGTCTAGTCCTCTCTGTCGCAGCTGTAGCTTGTTAAGAAAGTCTGTAACCTTGTCCAGAAAGTTGTTGACTTTTGTAATAGTATCAGTGAATTTGGTGGCGTATTTGTTAAGATAGGGCTTCACAACATCACTGAGTTCTCCCGTTTCAGATAAGAGGTCGATAATTGGGCTCGAGAATGAATTCGTCACACCTTTTAAGCTCTCAGCATATTTTGAAGCATCTTGGGTAACAGTATCTAATGCTTGCAGGACGTGGTTGATATTCTTTGTCTTTTTCCAAAGTTCGTATGATAGTTTAAGTTTGGAACGCACATCTTCAACCGCTTTGACATGTTCTAGAACAGCATCATCGTAGACATTTCTCATTGCTTCGAATGTGTTTTCGAGCAAGTCTTGCATTTTCTTCTGAGCTTCCCTTGCCTTCTGTACATAGTCCACGATTCTTTCGATTCTTTCTTTTACTTCTTTTATGGAGCGCTTTTGAATACCACTCCCCTCATCGTTCTCGGCCTGTCGGCCAGTGATCTTTTGGAAAACCGCCTTTACTCTTTGAACATCATCTTTAAGGGAAAAATTCTGGACTTGTTCCACTAACATTTTCACCGTGTCGATAACAGCTGTGATGTTATCAACCCCTTGTTCGCAAGTTTGAAGCAGGTCAGTGTATCCACTCGCTTCTTTAAAGTTGTCTTTAAGGACATCAACCTTATCTTTAATGGTTTTAGCTTGATCAATAAAAGCTTTGGAAATGCAAGTTCCACCCTTGATACACTTCTGAATTTTAAAGTTCTTCCATGTAGCCGGAACCATGTCATATAGAACTCTCACTTCCTTATTGAAGTCCTTGTACTGATCGATGACGTATCTCCCAACCCCAAAAGCTTTGCGGACGCATGGTTTAGTGCTCTCTATGAGTATATTCTTGATCTGCTTGCAGTCAGGTAGTTGACCTGCCGTCTCTAAAATAGGCGAAAGATTGTTGATGAAAGGCTTCAGCTCTATTAAGACACCCATCATTTCACGCACCATGGCCTTGATATTTCGTAATTCGTCTTGCATCTCGTCGATGGGTTTTTTAATTCTAAGAAACTTCGACACGGCTTTGCTTATGAGCTTATCGGCCTCTTTGTTGAAAAACGTATCAACTTCTTCGACAATGTCATAGTTTCCAAACTTGTCGAGCGTCTCAACAGCGATGGTCTTAAACTCGTTGCAGACATCTCTTATTCGCTGATCAAAGTCAAGTCCAAATTGCTTTCTTATATCAAGCTTCTGGATCTCTTTTTCGTAGTCTTGAGCTTTGTCTGCAAAGTTAAGTATATCATCAACTGTTTTCCTTGCTTTATTCGCATACGCTGGAAGATTCCGGAGACGCGCAAGGGCCTCGTTGATTCGAGCAGCTATTTCACGAACGGATTTCAGAAACCCTTTCTTTGTGTTAAGAACTGAAAGAAAATCTGATATGATCTGGGCAACGCGAGAAATCTTCCCGACACGAGCTGCCATGTTCTCTTCATACCACGTCTCGACATTAGACACAGCGGATTTCAACTGTCCTCCAACCTTTTTTATGTTTGTGGCAACAGGTCCAATGAACGATCCTAGCTCCATAAGTGCTTCACGAGCGTTTTCTTGAACTTTATCTATTACGTCAGCGGAGAAATTTGCAGCTTTGGTGCATGCACCATTGACTTTTGAGGCTGTCCCATTGGCAAAGTCCACTATATCATTTGCAAGATTCTGAATATCTTTCAGTTTGCCTGTGAGCTCTTGCAGCGAGTCTGAGACGAATCCTTTTGCAGCCGTGGTAAAGTTACGTTGAATTTCGTCTATTAGAGAATCTACAAGGACAGTAAAGTTAAGGAGTTCCGTTAGTGCACTTTGGGTAGTATTCTCTACGAGCTGAAGCACTTGAATTCCTTCCTGCTCAACATTTTCTCCAAACTCCTTAAATTCCTGGGATGAATTCAAAGCCAGTTTATACAATCCACAGATACGCTGTACGTTCTTTTCCGCGAACTGCTCCATTGCCGGCCCGAGCTCCTGAAAGAAATCTGTGATATCACCTATTGCAGAGACATTCGCATATTGAACGTCAAGGACTTCAAGAAGATTCTCTAGGAATTCTTGCAGAACATCACCCGGATTAGTAAAATTCGAGTTAGAGTTTCCGCCCAAAAGCTCGTTGAAAAGTAGTCCAAGATCTAAGTTCTTGCCAGGTAATATTTCTTCAAAAAACTTTTCGAGATCGAAACCCGGGAGTTTGAACTGTGCTAAAAAGTCTCCAAGTTTCTCTAAAACAGTGATAAAATTCTGGAAGCCCAGTGATTTCAGATTGAGCTTGAACTTTAGGCTGATTCGCCAATCAAAACGTAGACCAAAGTTAAAACCGCTCCCTTGAAAAGAAGGGAATCGTTGGTTCATGTCTGGTAACTGTAACCTGGGGAATCTAATGCTTTGGAGAAAATCAAGCAAAGAAGACATATCCAGGAAACGATTGGCAAACCGTAGAAGATTTAAGGAAGTTTTCTGAAATGTTTCCAGAGAAAACGAAAGGCGGATGGAGAACTTGAACGGAAGCTGGAAACGGAAACCGTTAGGAACAGACATCCCTAGGGAATTGAAATATTCTTTGATTTTATCAAAATGCAGGTCGACAGAGACTGAGCGAAGAATGTTCAGGAGTGTCTTGATATTGAAATTTCCCGGCAGATTATGGGGCAAATAGTTTGTTATTTTACCCACAATGCCGAGGATGTTGTCCAGAGCTGCAATAACGTTTTGAAAAACGTCGTCTATGGCAGTCAGCCTTCCGAGACTTTGTTGTATTTTCTTTATCATGTCTGTCAGCCACTTCCAGTCCTTGAGGCGGCTTAGAACATCTTTGGTAAATTTTATGATTTTTCCAATCACATTAATCGGTCGTAAAGGCTGCACCAGATTCTGCACAAACTGAACGAGCTTGTTGACGAACTCTGTAAATTTGTCGATGTGCAATGGTAAATAACCAGCAAGTTTGCTGATAAACTGGTTTATCTGTTCAGCAATCACGCTCGTAATACTATCAAACTGCTTAAGGAGATCATCTCCAGCATCTGCAACGGCGTGGATGAGATCTTTCGGGAAATCATTCTTAAAACTGGCGGATGCCTTAAAAGCAGCTTTACCTCGGACGACTTCAAATCCAAACTTGAGAATGTAGGCATGAATATGCGCATAGTTGTCAAGATTAATCTCAAAATTTCCCCCAAAAATGCCAATTCTAAGTTTTACCTGATTAATGAACTGTATGATTGATTCGGCTCCAAGCCACTTGCCACCATAGGTCTTCAACCATCGCTTTGACCGGCCAAGAGCAAACTCTCTTGGACGGAGGAATGGAAAGAGAGCACGTTTTTGGCGATGAATTGCTCGTCGTCTTTTCCTTAAATAAAGTGCCTTGGGGTGGTCACCGTGATTTTCAATGAGCTGAATAATCATAGAATCAAGAGTTTCGCTTTCTGGGGCGTGCCACAGCGCATGCTCTAGGCCTTTTACCACTGAGTCGCTTAAATGTTGATGACGCTCAACAAAGATATTAATAACGGCAGTTTTAACATCGGGATGTTCATCTGCGTATAGTGCATTCATTAAGTGTTGATTCGTGTGCTCTGGAGGAAGCTTGCGTAATGCTGAGATCACTGCCGATCGTATACCAGAGTTATCGTGGTCAATGTGTTGAAGGATAACTGGAAGTCCGGAATGATGTCCGAGATTTCCAAAGGCCCAGATGTGGTCTCTTAGCTGTATTTCGTGGTCCGAGCTGTCGGGATCATACAATGTTGATCTGTTTTGGTACCTGTTGTGGATCATGTCAGCGACGCTTTCGCATAAGGTGTCATTGTACCCCGATCTCTGTGCTCTTTCAGCTAGTCCTGCTAAGACAAGCATCGCTGTAGATGTGACTTCATCTCCTTTCTCTTCTCGTGACACAAGGTTTAACAAGGCATCAAAGAGTTGTGAGTGAAGTGGACCTTCTGGTAAGTAAAAAATTCCGATCAGAAGTGTCTCATACTCTTCTTTGCTAAGAGGTCGAGGGTAATCTGCCCTAACTGCTTGCGCTAAAGTGTTTTGGGCCTGGTACTTTCCGTGACCGGCAAGTGCTGCTACATATACTGCCCAAGACGTGATGTTTTGGTGACTTCGATCCCGAACAAGTCGATTGATTGTTCGAAAAGCGTCTTCATCTTCGCGAACCATACGATGCATCTCATTAGAGCAATCAGCGATTTGACGCTCCTTCATACTTTTGTCGGTGAAACAGCGCAGTACTTCATAGAAAGGCTTCGGCTTTTTCTTCTCTCCACCGATCTTGGACCAGTTTATCTTCTCAGTGTCAGTAAACAAAAGATTGTCTCTGATAAGAGTACGAGCTATCTTTAAATGCTGTTCCTCTGTTGCTGATCGCTTGGAACGATGGTGTTCAGGTCCTAGACAAGATCTTAACGTCAGTTTGCTGTATCCCTTTGTTGACATTTCAATGTCTTGCTCTTGGCCTTTAAATCCTTCGAAGTTGTCGGCCCTTGGATGACCATTGGCAGGTCTAAAAAATGCTTTATTAGTACGGTGAACTCTCTCTACCTTACCGTCTTTCACATGAATATACGCATTGTGCTGAGACTGCACCTTGTGTTCTGCCTTGGCTGGGGTGCCGTCTGCAAACGTTTGGTAATCTTGGTTCGTCCAGGTGCGATGCAGATGAGCATGCGTATCGTTGGCTGACATCACACTGTACTTTGTTCGAAAGAAACCAGAGTCATCGTGTTCTTGTACTTCATAGATGTTGGATCTGTGCGCGTCCCTAAGGTTTAGCTGAAATGCGCCTGCAATACCTGTTGTCAAACAACGAGTAGAGGGTGCAAAATTGTAGGTTGCTCAACAAAATAACCATACTGGTTAATCACATTGGATTGAGTTCATTTGCATAATTCTGAGCTAACTAAAAGAAACGCTCATTTTCCCGTGCATAACATAAAATAGAATAAATTAAAAAATCTGCCATTCCAGTTGAACAGCATCAAAACAAAAAAAAAAACATAAACAAAAAAAAGCGTGTTTCAAACAACCTGAACACTTTGAGTGAACGGTGTTTTGTTTTTGTTTCACTTTAGTTCCATCTTATGACAAAGAGAGAGATTAGGCAGTTTGTCATTGAGCCACAACCATACATTTACAAATGAGATTTATTTCGAAAAGGCCCAATACCAATACATAACGAAGGCCTTAAACGTGAAATATTCTGTAGTTTCTCAGCTCCTCAGTTAAACGGCTCTAACATCTTGTAAAATTTGAGTACGAGCATGCTCGGTCCATCGAAAATTATATCTGGAGGTCCAAACAGCTGAGATGCTGATACTGTGGAATAATCTGGTAATACATTTTGTCTTTCTACGCCTTACCTTTTTTGAAGGCAGCAATTTCGGGAGACTCAGACCTCTTTGGGAAAAGAACGTCAGTAATAGTACCATGATCTTCCTGCTGGAAGTAAAAGGGCTTTGACAGCTGCTCTTCAAACTCTTCATTGACAGGGTGATTGGCAGGAACACGCCCATGTTGTAGGCGCCTTAAGCGGGGTTCCCGCACGTCAAGCTTAATGAGATGCGACTGTTCCCTCCCATTGAAGTCGCGTGATGCTGGTGTTAAGTCGACCTGAAACAGAACATAACTTTCTGTTCACAATCTGAGGCCATTTCATCACAGAAAAAAAATGTAAAAAAAAACCATTTTCACCTTTTTATAATTTTTAACGAAACTGGGCTTTATTCCAAGGTTAAGTAGAATAACGAATGAAATCAGTTGCTCGTTGGAATAACAACTTTGGTTTGATGAAATTAAGAGATCCTCGCAGCTAAGAACACTACTGAAACGAGTAGTTTTAAATAGGATCTGAAAAAAATTCAGGCCCGTACGGGATTTGAACCCATGACCTCTGCGATACCGGTGCAGCGCTCTACCAATTGAGCTAACAAGCCAACTGGGAGCTGGTCAATGAATTGGGTCCAAATAAACATCCAAAATTGGTTTCTCTCCTTGGCATAGGCATTATAAATATTTTGTTCTTTATTCTGTGGACAATATGTTCAAATGTAATGTGGTAGGCAGAGCAGAAAAATTTGATTTAAGAGGAAGACTCTGAAGTGTATAGCTCAGAGAATGCTGCTAAAGTGGACAATGTTCCTGAAAAGTAAACAATCGACTAGTTATTGTAATTATTAAACCCGTTTCATAATTAGACGTTAGGACATCTATGCACAACTTGTTGTTTTTGGAAAGTAATAGTAACTCAGGCTCGGTGATCCATATCAAGGTTTCATATTTTTTCTATAAGTGCCCAAGTAAGGGAAAACTGACATAAGTACTGACAAGCACCTAAGTGCTAAGTGCTCTTTTCTTGCAATCTTCACTTCAAATTTCGCTCTTAGAAAAAAACAGGAGGAATATTCGCCTTAAGGACACGAGGACTTTTTAAGTCCCATGTTGTTATTTTACTACTATTTTTTTTATTTATTTTTTTTTCATCTTCACTGGCAAGGACGACATGTTGTAAAAAAAAATAATAATAAAAAATAAAAAAAATAAAAAATATATATATATAAATATTATGAGAGGAAAAAAGGACGCAACTACATTTCCCGACAAGCCTGTTTCCTGAATCGCTTCACTTCACTTCGCTTCACATTAAACCCCTGAAGAGTGAAGCGATTCACGAAACAGGCTTGTCGGGAAATGTAGTTGCGTCCTTTTTTCCTCTCATAATATTTATTCTGCTCTGCTTCAACGTATTGAGCACTGTTCCACGCGAAAATCGACTTGCAGACTTCCTTTATATATATGTATTAGTCCGAAAATAAACTACGTGTAAATTTAAGCTCAAGACGTTGTGGGATGCCTTTTACTCCTTTCCATTTCAGATTCTTTAGTGCATGCATACCGGTGAAAATAACATAAAAGACATGCGGAAATTACGCCTGAGGTAAATTTAATTGCGTGCCGGTTCGTGTAGGATGATTCGAGAGTAATATTTTTGTAGAATACGCCGCACACCAATATTATGAAAAAGTGGTCAGAATTGAAACCATAATATCGAACAATAAAATCCAATTCATGACCTTACATGGTCAAATCCTTGACCGTACGTCTTGAATTCTTACATCATTGTGCCGGGGAATTCTTGGAAAAAAGATTAATGGCTCTTGAGCCAAAGTTTTTTAAATCACGCGAAGTTTCGACAGGATGTGACATATATTAGACGCGCGTTTGAGTGGAATCCATCTCCAAGTGACGGAATGATTCCTGTTGCCACAACTAAACATTCCTGTGGTCCTATAATAAACCAGCTATGTGCCATCTCAAAAATAGTTTTAGTTACAGTGGTGCAACTCTCGGAAAAAGCTTACCTTGTAACTCTAGAGTGACAGATTCACTAACTGAATTTAGGCGCTTCCTTCATTTAGAAATTAGTTACACACCATTTATGGAAAGAAGGCTGTCATTCAGTAAACAACTTGGTAAAATATACACTGCAGTAAGCAATTTGTTGTGTAAAGATCAGTTTTTTAGCATGGATATAAATCCGTCTATTGCTTTCTGCAGGCTGATGAATTCCATTCGGCGTGTGGAAAGAAAGATTGAAGACGGTTGAAACAACCCAGCAAGAATAAGTGATGATAAATTTCGATTATACGAGAATAACCTGAAAGTCTTTGAAAATGACCTCAAGTCCCACGAAATATCGGCCTCGCTCCAGTTGCTATATATATTGCACGTATAGCGTTTAACAAGTACTAATATATGCTAAATAAAAATGGATTTGGTCTCAGCATTTCCTTAAAAATTTCTTTGAATTGTATGCCGTAACTGCAAACAGTAAGCAAAAATAGAGAAATTTCAATCCGCGTAAGCGCTAAGCCAAACACCATTTCCAGGCAAACGCAAAGGCTATCAAAAATCACCACTCCAAAATGCGATAATGTCCCTTTTTGATCAGTCAATCCAGTGTTATTCTCTTAATGCTAAGAAGCAATTATTTCAGCGGTTTTCTTCTGTCGTAGAAAACGCAGGCCGAGCTGTTATTATCTCTTCCCAAAGTGAGATGTCCATTTTATCCGATTTGTCTATTCTCTACAATATGAATTTTAAATACGATGTGACAAACTATGTTTGCTCGAAGAAAAACGTAAGTCATTTGCACATTTTGTAACGCTGTCGTACATACAAGAAATCAAGGAGATTTAACAGTGTTACAGAATTCAAAGTCCATTGACCTGAATTAAGATGAACCTTACCAAAGCGTGAACTTGGTAACCATCGCTATGGGTGGACTTATCTCCTCGAGCGGTGTAAACTGTCACTTCGTAATCGTAGGTACATTTTGTGAGGTGCTGAAATCGCAGCGATTTCTGCGTGGCGCTTTTCTCTTGCAAGCCTTCAACCTGTAAAATTATTAGCCACGCAAGGAGGTACTTGCTGAGCATTCTAAAATTTGCGATACACACTCTTCTTCAATCTTATTTCGTGGATACACTGTCTTAAGGTTTGCTCTTTTTTTACCGTTTGAGAACAATTTCAAATGTATTGACAAACCTTAATTGATCCAAGGTATTCTCCTTCTTAGAAACCGCATTGCGGAAGTCAGTCAATAACGATCACGAAATTAAAACCGCAGTTATATTGAACGAATATAAGCTTACAGTCAATGTCGGTATATCAAACATTTTGTTTCAATTCTGTGATGACTTCCGTCACAGGGCAGTTTAAGTGCATGTTATTGTGATGCAAATCGTGGATATATTTATCAGAGAAAAAAAACCTCTTCTTAGAAAAATCTACTCTGCTGTAAATACTAGCATTAATCAGAATTTAAGAATTATCTCAAACAATTAATCGTGGCTACTTGCAAAGAGAAAAGCTAATCTTAATTCTCTATTGTGGCAGAGACTGACTCAGAAATGACAAAGTTATTTCTCGTAATATGGCTTTGTTGCGTTTTGACTGAAACAGAAGCATGGAGAAGACGGCGCCGGAGAAGGGCACCCCCTCCTTGCAAGGCAACGAACTGTCAGGTTGGAAGCTGGACAAGTTGGAGTTCGTGTTCGCATCAGTGCGGTTCGAGTGGTGCACAAGCACGAACGCGTTCGTTGATTACAGGCGCGTTCTGTGGAGGAACATGTCCGTTCCACTTGCGAGAAACTCAGGCCTGCAATAGAGGCAATTGTCGGAACGGAGGCACGCCGGTTAGCGGCAGATGCAGCTGCAGAGTGGGATACGATGGGAAATGCTGCGAACAAGGTTAGTCCAATAATACATGGATCTGAACTTTTGAGGTCATACAGGTGGTGTGAACAAGGCTGGATCAGTGTAAACATACAACTCTTGACAAATCTCTGACAGCCAAACTAAGTTGACGCGATCTGTTTCAAATGTTGTACCCACCTGTTAGCCAGTATCAGTACGATGTATATGTTCAAAATATCATTTCTAAACTAAGAGCCGAGATGTTGAGGAAATACTTTCAAAAGAAAAAGGGCTTCGTGGTGGATGATAGGCGTATTTTTTTATTTTTTACTGTTTCACGATTGTTCTGTGATTCTCATGGTGTAAAAAAAGGTGTTCGTTAGACCATAAAAAGTTGTTTTGAGTTCCAAAATGCTTGAAATTTGCTGTACCCTGTAAAGATCAAGTGAATCTTTGAATCTACACTTCATTTTGAAAGGAAAATGATTAACTGAGCAGCGCAGAATTTGCTTTTCGGACACACACGAACTCAATAGGGTGGGCGAGGAGTAACAATGATTTCATTTTCCCCAAAGTTTTACTCTGACCAAGAAAGTTATTAGAAAATACATAACAACGTTCGAAAAAAAATTTTTAAGACCGGTAGAACTAAAGGGGGGGGGGGGGGAGATTAAAAGGGGTTATGAAAGATGCATTCAGAGTGAAGCAGCGCCGAACATTCCAGCCAAGCTGATATCTTGCCTCTGCAGATCCACTTAAGTTGAATGTCACAAACAGACACCACAAAACTCTAAATCACGGAGGCAAAACTTTCATAAAACGTCAACGATCAAAAATTCAGTCAACTGAAAACAAATCGAAAAGTAACACGTTTTGTGGTTAACTTCACAGCGAGAGACAAATTAAAAACCGCTAGAAAAAACACTTTGAAAACGGAGTGAAGATTAAAAAGAAAAGACAGTTGATCGAATCCCGTTTGTTGATGTTACTTATTTAGAGATTACTTACCACGAGCGATGCATTAATTGCGCAACGGAGTTTGCGAATACTGAATTACAAAAGCCGTGAAAAAAGGGTTTTCCGACAGCGCCTCCTTCTGATGTAGTTGCGTATGCAGGCACAATAGAGTTTACCAATATAACGGGAACTGAAATAGTTTGAGCTTATGGGAGTTCGTAACATTTTTACCTTAATTTTTCTGTTATAATTAGCCCTTAACGCCAACGTTCTTAATGCTGTGCCCATCGAACGTAAAGAAAGGTTGCATTAAACAAGCGGTACAGATGAGCGGTAATTAAAATAAATCTTGCGAAGGAAAAATGTCACAACAAAGCAGAAAGGTCAATTAAAGATCTCTGTCTTTAAATCGTGTTTTCGCTGGCTTGTTTTTGATGAAACTAAAAAAAGAAAAGGCAATTACTTATACAAATAAAGTTGTTGCCTTGAAAAAGAGACTGGTCTCAACATGTCGAATATTCCCTAAAAATACTTCCCACAAATAATCCACTGTTTCATGCCCACCCTACATTATATTGAAATTTGAGTTTGCGTATACAATTTGAACAACAATATTTCGAGCGGAAGTTGTTTTCTTCCCGATTGGCAGCGGAGAGTACTTTATTTCAAAAGAAGTGCATCCGTGTTTTCAAGACTTTGGAAAGTAATTAACTTTTACTAGAATTTGATAAATTAGGTTAACGAGAAAACCGACAACGTTATTAATCAAAAATCAAATTCCTTCTAGTGATTAAGACCACGAAGCAGATTGTTAAGACAATGCTTTTCACGTAAGGAATGTTGCATTAAACAAGCGGTGCAGATGAGCGGTAATTAAAATAAATCCAGCAAAGGATAAATGTTACAACAAAGCAAAAAAGTCAATTAAAGAAGATCTCTGTCTTTCAATCATGATTTAGTTTGCTTGTTTTTGATGAAAGTAAAAAGAGAAGGCAATTACGAATACAAATAAATTTGTTGCCTTAAAAAAGAGACTGGTCTTGAAACATAGACTTTGCGTGTACAATTTGAACAAAATATTTCGAGCGATTAGCAACGGAAAGTATTTTATTTCAAGAGAAGTGCATCCGTGTTTTCAAAACTTTGAAAGTAATTAACGTCTACTAGAATTTGACAAGTTAGGGTTGCGATAATACGGAGCAAATACAAAATTTTTGACCTAACAAGATGAGCATTGTCTTAACGACAAACGGTTGTCGCATTTAGACTGTTAGTCTCGGCATGGGGGAAACTACTCGATGAATCAACCGCAGTTCATCATTTGTAATCCTTACGGTATGGTTTAGAATTCTCCGTCGTTGAAAAGGCAATAACCTGAACATGCTTTCTACCGGAATGTCCCCTGTTCTCTTATCAATGGGTCAAAATTTGATTTGTCATATGCACTATTTTAAAACCTATTTCGTTGTCAATCGTGAACCTTTATCATTTTGATGACTACCTTAATGTTGTGATGTTGCACCGAAACAATTATCCCCTTGTGTTGGATATAAGCACACCTTATGAACAGGTCAAAATGAAGAAATTTTTACCTGAATTATTTAAGAGCGAATCTCGCCATAAATTGTATATACTTATCATTTTCATGTTTATGTTCATGTTGTGATGTTGCACTGGTCAATTTTCTGTATGTATTGGACTTAAGCACAACGATAGAAAATAATTATGAGGCTAAGCACGCGGCAATTTTTGTCAGTCGGCTGAGCTATTTTTGGACAAACATAAAGCAATACCGGATAGTTTATACTTATTGCTAGAAAGTTAGCAACACGCCAGAGACGGGGGCGCTTTCAAGTGGATTTCTTTCTCGAATTACTTGCAAACAGGACAACCCGGCTTTTTTTAATTAAAAGAAACAAACTACATTTAATTAATTGTGCGATCTAGAAAATCCACTGAGGAAACGCAAGTAATTTGAACTAAATGACGTATGAGACACAATTATTCCAAGCCGTGTGGGTATATTGTACTAACCGCGATCTGTTTCAAAATAGATATTTCGAGGTTTAGTAGGTGTGTGTATTGGTGTTTCAGACGTTCTCAGCTCGTTGCAATACACAGCTGTCTGTTCCCTCCTTGTTGATCGTAAATACATAAATAAACTTTTTACGAACAGGACATTCTAACTCCAGGATCTGCTAAAGGAGTCGTCATCACGGATCAACCACTGTGAAATCTCACAGAGAAAATTTTCTTCCGACGATTAATATTCTACCGTTATTGAAGCGAAAGTTACGTTATATTGGTTTGAGTAAAGAAAAAAGCGATTCATCGGAACAGGAAATTAAGTCACTGTCCCATTTCAGTCGCCCACACAAGAAACTATTCAGATGCTCCCACAAACACCGCCGCTCACGAAAAACAATAATGTATGATACGTCAAAAATACACCCAAGAGAGTGTATCGTGTTTTTTTTTTTGTTGTTGTTTAACTAAAACAAGCAAACATTTTGGATCTCACAAACGAAGGTCAGATGTCTGTTGAGACAAATGAAGCTTGAATTCGCAGAACGTAAGAGTTCGTAACAAGGAATTTATATCGGCGTAAATCAGCGAGTAAAAATATATTAGTACCGAGGACGACTAACACTTGCGGAAGTGAAGGACACGGGATCATTGTATGTTTTAAAAACCAGAATTTGTATTCCAAAATATGCCTCAGCGTTCCAAAATCCAAGAGAGAGAGCTCTCTAACAGTATGTCCTCGCTGATAGGTAATGCTTTTAATAAAAGGAACAACAAGGAAACTTTCGAGGAAATCAAGATTGACGCTTAATCTCTCCTCACTAAATCAATACATTTTTTGCACGCGTCTATGGAGGGGAGGCAAACTAACAAAGGGATACTCTTTGTCTGAATCGCGCTGAAATGCGTGGTGTTATTAGGAGACTTGACAAGGCATGTTGTAAGTAATAGTTGACATAAGCATGTTTAAATATTTAATTTGGAGCTTCAGCTCCAAAACAAGCCGTTGCGAATTCACACCATATTTTGATTGACATGTGGCGAACCACGTTATTTTTGAGGAAATATTTTCCCCTTTCTTCTCCCTCTCATCTCAAAATTTTAGTATTTTTCCTAAACAGTGCAATGCAACACGAATGGTGGGTTGTGCAATGATCTAAAGTCGTGCAATTTACACGCACGATCCCGCCGATGCGCGAGCATCAATAACTCGGCGTAAACAAACGATCGAGACTTAACGCTTCGCTGATTTTAATGTGGGCACGTCCCTTAGCGCACACGCTGCTCTTAATACGCGAGAAACCCAATTTACGAAGCAGTAAAAGAACTGTAAACAAATTTTTCTACTCACCAGCGCATGAAGATCTTAATACGCGAGAAACCCAATTTACGAAGCAGTAAAAGAACTGTAAACAAATTTTTCTACTCACCAGCGCATGAAGATGAAATCCTTCGCTGACTGTGGAGCGTGTACCTCTTGCAGTATGGACTGCAACTTCGTAATCATATGTACATGTGCTTTGCGCTACAAACGAGAGCCTCTGTCCTAACACTGCTGCAGCTCCTGCATGGTGAATCGTTAAAATAATCTCTAATATTATCGGAAAACAACGAAGCCAGTGCATGACTCCAGCTGCACTGAGACCTACGTGCTTACTGAAATTCTGAAACGGGGGGTCTGGAATTCATTTGACTCCGCCACGTAAAGCCGTGACGCAATTTCAAACTTTACACAATAAAATTGTAAACAAGATTATGACACAATAGCAACAATATTTATTGACCACAAATTCATCGGACACGTTTTACGTCAACCACTTTCGTGCAGGTAAACAGCAAAATCTTAGTGAACCCAACTCTATCGAGAGTGGTCGAATAGACTTGAGACTTTGTTCCTAAAACAATTTTATCTGAAACCGTTCGGTGGTAACGTTTCGAGCAACGGCTAACCACATCGTTACAGAGTTGCGTTACACGGGTTTATTTTGGGATCTTCAACTTTCACCTTTCATTTAAAACGATAAAATTTCGTTTAATAGTTAAATTCGTAGAGAAAAGATGCGGATCACCGAATTTTTGGCTATCGTTTGGGTTCTGCTGGTTCTGGCGAGAGACACCGATTCGTGGCGGCGGCGACGACGGCGACGTTCTCCTCCTCCTTGCAGTGCACGACCATGTCAGGTTAGCTCTTGGAGTTCATGGAGTGCTTGCAGCCAACCCTGCGGAACAAGCGGAACTCAAAAAAGAACAAGAAGAAAAACTGTTGTTCAAGCTTGCGGGGGATCTTGCCCGTACCGTTTAGATGAGGTACGAGCGTGCAACAGAGATCAATGTAAGAACGGAGGAACCCCTTTTAGTAGTGGATGTCGGTGTCGCCCTGGATATCGGGGAACGTGTTGCGAAGGAGGTAGGTAGATCCATGCACGAGTGAACGCGAAAGTAAACACTCTCGTGAGCGAAAGCTGGAAATCGACATCCGTTGACATGATTATGCAAAGCTGACGATTTCAAACAGAGCCCTTCATTTAAATTTTTTTTATTTCTTTTTAGCAATGTGAAGTAAGCAAATGAAAAATTTCCATTTTTTTTTTATCGCTCCGCGCGTTCGCATTTAGCAACTGTTCCAAATGGATTAATAATGAGTGTGGGATGTTTAATCTCCGGGTATTTCAACGCCTCTGTAAATGTGATAAAATTTAACGCTCTTCAAGCGCCTACTTCAGACATGGAAAAGGGAGCTTTGATTTAAAATGATTCTTAACTTGTACGCTTCAATTAATGCTAAGTGCAGAATAGTGTATATGGGCATGATTTCGAATACGGGCGCAGCATCCGCCATCGATGACAGTTTGATAAACGATGAAATATCGCACATGCGTGACAGCAACTGTTTGAGAGCGTTGCAGCGGCGCGTTCTGGACATGTAAAAGCGTGGGATGAATTCCTTCCCTAAAAAATCGGTTTCCACGTTTTGATGCGTCTTGAAACAATTAGCGCTCTATCAATTGAAATTAAAGTGGAATTAAATAAGATTTTTTAACTTGAAATTGTACTTAAACCAGTAAAAAAACTGAAAAGAGTAATTGAGTGAAAAGACTCAAATTGCTGGTTTTCAGTGTCTAAAAACCGTTCAATCGATTTAGTCTAGAATCTGGAAATAGAAAGAAGCTAGATATGTAAAGACTCTCGCCAAGATTCATGTCACAGCAATTTTTCTTACGGAAGATATGAGGAGAAACGTTTTTCTCAAATTTATAGAGATTTGTATGGAGCCGCCATGCTGGTGCCCACCAAGATGGGCACCAACATGGCGGCCGGAAACCAAGAAACATACTGAACAAAAGCGTGAATTTATCTCTCTAAGAACTCATAAACGTAACAATAATACTTTATTCTAATACAAGAAATAAATTTCCCTAAATAAGTCAAACCACGTCACGCAAAAGCTTAGAAATTCAAGTAGTCTATCACTAAACCAAGAACCCATTTGGAGTGAAAATTTGTCTGAATATTAGTTTTTAGCTGCTCTAATACATCATGAAAGTAAAATCTCAGGAGGATCAATAGTTCTGAAGTCTGAAATTTAGTGACGTCACGTGAAAACCAGCAATACTGATCATTTAACGAGTTAGGGCCTATCCGCACTAGCAGACGAAACTAGAATTGTCCCGACAAAATCGAAAGACAAATTTAGTCATAACAATTTTTTTTCTCCTCTATTGCATTCGCGCTAAAAATGTCGAAGTTGTCAAAGAACTGTCAAAGTCGGTTAATAGCCTTATCAATAAAGGGCAAAATTACTGAGCGCTGATTGGTTGAGAGAGAGGGCATTTTTTCTTAATCGAGGGCATTTTTAGTAATCAAGAGAGGGCATGATTACCTGTTAATGATTGGCTAATCCGTTGCATAGCAACCGTTCGTTATCTTGAAATTTGTTAAAAATAGACTGCGCGCGTGATTTTCCTTCGTATAAATTTTGCCCTTTATTGATAAACAAGTAATCCCATGAGACCTCGTACTATTAAGGATTAATTGCACTTGAGTTTTCAAAATTTTCCAAATTGCCCTCGTCGCTTCGCGACTCGGGCAATTTTGGAAAATTTTGAAAACTCTCGTGCAATTAATCCTTAGTAGTACTTGGCCTCATGTGATTACATATACAAAACAACACCGATATCATATTCCATTGTAATTTATTCAATTTAGCTGTGCGCACCAAAACATCAAACGTTTTGGCGGGATAATGGAACATGTTCAAATGCTTCAACTTGTGGCGTGTATCTTGCTTTTAAATTTCGCTCAGATCGAAATGATGTTCATGGTGAGCCTAGTGTTAAGGTCATTAAGGCATCAATTTCTTGGACACCAAGCAACTCTTTTAATGATTGAACACCGTAGAAGACGGAGACGCCGGGCACGTCGACACAACCCGTACTCTTGGAAACCGGTCTTGGTTTTAGATCCACCACAATGACCGAACAATTCCCAGGGAGTTTATCAGAAGGAAACTGCGAATGGATCGTTGTACCTTCGAAACTCTGCTAAATGTTTTGCGACCCGCTGTAACACGCGAAAACACAAAATTGCCTGACTGCATTGCCCCAGAAAAAGTACTCGCACTTTGTTTTTATCGTCTGGCGCACGAGAACTCTCGATTTCAAAGTTGGAAGATCGACTGTTCTAGAGGCAGTTCAAGATGTTGTGGAGGATCTTGTGCGGCCACATCTACAGCGTTATTAATAGTCTGGTGAAGCGGCGACTGGAAAATTCCTCCACCGTTGTAGGTTGCCCCGACTGAATTAAAATTGTTTCCTTGTTGGTCTTAATAGGATGGCACATTCCGGCGCCTGATCTGCTCATATGACTGGTCGCTATAATTCGCCAATGTATTAAAACTCCAATTACCGGCATTCATCTTAAGTTAAAGTTGTAAAATCTGCGAGTTTCGCAACGATGCAGAATTACTGCTATCTTCTGGTAAACTGAACCTAGTTCAATTACCACACTAATGGTGGGGTTTACGACAAATGATAGACAAGTTTATCACGGTTTTGTTTGTTTAGTAAATTTCGCCAAGCTTTTACCCGGTACAAATTTTGTCAGCGGTGCGTTTGAAAATTTGTCCGCTTCGGCGAAAAATTATCAAGTCGTGACAAACCATCCGCACTTGTAAAGCGTTGGTGATGACAGAAAATTTGTCTAAATAAACAATTTTGTCGCTAGTGCTAGTAGGTTAGTTTACTTATTGCTCAAGAAAGACAAGTGCTTCATTGGCCATTTTGTATGTCGATTGTAGCCAGTGCTGAATCTGCTTTATATATTACGCAATTTAAAAGTTCAGAGTTTTCTCGCCTTTGTTGTGACAATCCTCCGGGTCTTTCTCTTTCCATTTTGTATGTCGATTGTAGCCAGTGCTGAATCTGCTTTATATATTACGCAATTTAAAAGTTCAGAGTTTTCTCGCCTTTGTTGTGACAATCCTCCGGGTCTTTCTGTGGAAAGGGTAAAGGTCAAACAATTATTCGATAGCCCACATGCAAAATTGTTTGCTGTATGCGTCATTCTTGCACGCGTCTCTTAGTCCTGGAAAAAAACAACAGCAATTTAGTCACCTCTTTACTTTCAATTCGACACTCCAATCACATGTAGGCAATAGTGAAAATGTCATGCCGTCAAAAACGGTTAACGCATCGAGCTATCGGCGAAAATCTTATGGGAAGATAACTTACGGTTTTTTCTGCAACTTTTCACCACATCACTGTAGTGTTATCTTAAACATCCTTACATCTAACTCAGTAGCTTACTTACAGGTTTTTTACTCTTCATGTCCTATTTCTTCTTCCAACAGACGTCAATGAGTGTAATAACAGACCATGCCAGCATACTTGTACCAACACGTTCGGTAGTTTTACATGCAGTTGCCATTCGTGCTACACCAAAGTGGGTTTAAAATGTGACCTGAGGCAGTGCAAAATCAACAACCAGTGCTACGCGTATGGCAGAGTAAACCCCAGTAACCAGTGTCAGGTGAGATTTTAATTCGCTTTCAATCATGCGCGAGAGAGGTGAGAGAGTACCGTTTTACTGGAATAAGGGCCGCGGCGCTTTTTAATTTTTCACGCCTCAATTGAAGCACTTATTAAAAGTGGCCGCGACAAAGAAATATCCTCTTCAATTCAGCGGCATATTCTTATGCGCACGAAAATTTTATGGTAACTAATTGCATACACTGGGGTTTTTACACTCAACTTCGATCTCGAGCCTAAGTGTTCCAGCGTGAGAGCATACGGCACTTCTAAGTCTGAGTCAATGCTTTCTTAAGGGCTTCCGTCAAGATATCCAATTGCGAAGTACTACAACGAGTGAAATAAGTCCTTGAATTAACGCTGCACCGAGACCGCGGCGCTTATTAACCTTGCTGTCCTAAATGCGACGCTCATTCGAGAGAGGCTTATTCGGGGGCGGCGGCTGTTTGAGTTGATACGGCATTTCAACAACTTAGATATGGAATAAGGTAGACCTTGCTGAAATAACGCTTTTGGAGAAAAAACAAAAACTAAAACTAAATAGAGAAAAAAACCACAGGGATAGTATTACCGCAATTAGGTGTATAGTGATGCAAGGA